CTTACCGCAGGTGATTTGGGTGTTATGCTAGGAAATAATAGACGGAATTTAGAACTTGGAATCTGAAGGGATCATTGGAGATATTTACATTGTGACTGCTGCCTGTTAGATAGCTATTTATATGTTGGTTCGTATGTTTCTAAGCATGTTCCGACCGCGTCTACCGTGACTGTACCAATCCGAGGGTTAGGAGTGACCATTGAATGTTAGAAACAATAAAAACAATAGACGTCTGAAGGTTTTCTAAGGCTCGATTTGAGGTACCTTTGGGAACATTTTGCGGTCAGTTCGCATACAAAAACGCGCAAGATACATCTAGACATTTTGAAAGTACTTTTGGGAAAGCTTTGCGGTCACTTCCAGCGAAAAAAACGCGCAATATACTTAAGGTTAATATTATAACGTTAGCCCTATTACTATATACTCATATAGTTTATAGACAAACAGTTGAACAGATTGCATGGCATATGTATTGAATGTATACCCGTAAGCAGTGCTCCAAATTACGCAGGGCGCGTAACCCTCGTATTCTCCCGTCTTCGTCTTTCACTTTCTTTTTCTTCCTTCAACCCCTCCAACTTTACCCGTACGCGCCTTTACACCATCCCCTTCATCTCGTCTTTTATTTGTTTTTGTTTCAGTGAATCTGGAGATTCTTACTCCCCTCATCATGGGTCGCACCGTCGACCAGGAGGTGCACGCCGCGTTTGTCGAGTTTCGCGCCAAGGAAGATGACAAGGTGTGTATTTCGTAATATTTCAACACAGTCACTAACATACGAAAACCCGTTTTGGGTGTTTGCGTCTGTATAGTGTCTCTCCGTGCAGTGTATCTACTGTCAACAAATTCGCGCAAAGAACACCTCGCGCCAGAAACAACATCTCCTCGAGTGCCCCGGTCTGCGCGGTCACCCCAACGCGCCTCAACCTTCCCAGCCCGCCCAGCCAGCCCCTAACGGAATCGGTTCTACCAATGGCTACCCCGGCACCCCCAATGGCGCAACGGCCACTGCGACTGGCCCAGCAGGTCCTGGTGCCATCCCAACTCCTAACGGCACTCTGATGACCAACGGTGTCAATCCTCATGCTACTCCGCTTCAGACGCCGCTGCAAACCCCACTGCAGACCTTGCAGAATCGCACCGCGATGCCGACCCCAGGTCCCCCGACTGGTCCTCCCTCTGCTCCTTCTAGTGCTGCGCCTTCTCGCCCGACCCCCAAGCCCAAGTCTAAGAGCTCGACTTCGGCTTTGCCCGCGCCGCCACTGGACGATGTGCACGCTGCTTTCGTGGAGTTCCGCGCCAAGGAAGAAGACAAGGTAGGATATCTTGGCAAAGCTACGAATGCGTATGAATGCTAACAATGGATAGTGTCTTTCCGTGCAATGTATCTACTGCCAGCAAGTCCGCGCAAAGAACACTAGTCGCCAGCGCCAACATTTGCTTGAATGCCCTACCTACCTCAGTGTTATGAAGGACTCGATCCCTGCCAACAACTTGCTTCACACATTCCCCGAAGGCGATGTCGCCCGGTCATTGCAAATCCCCGCGCCGACGCTGGAGCTGGACTTCCGCATGAGCATCAAGATGAACCCCAAGGTCTCTGTCGGCCCTGGCGTCTGGGGTCAGAGAGAGTGGGTCTCGTTTGTCGGTGGTCAATGGGCCGGCCGATGGGGCAAGGGAATTGTCTTGGTAAGTTTTGACCATTGCTGTACGCGGTCACTTGATATTTCATATGTCTAACCATTGAATACAGCCCGGCGGCCAAGATACCCAGATCGTTACCAAGGACTCGACTACCAACCTGCGCGCCAGTTATATTCTCCAGACCGTCGATGAGCCACCAGCATTCATCATCGTCCGCACGGAAGGATGGTTGACCGGTGCCAAGGATATTCTCGAGAAGGTCATTGATTCCAACATGGCGGACGGTGTTAACCCCGGCAGCTACAAGTACCGCGTCAACCTTTCTATGGAAACTGGTGATGAGCGGTACACGTTCTTAAACACTTTGATGTGGATCGGTAGCGGTTGCCGCAGAGGTCACGAAGGTACGTTTCTCTTTTTGATACGCTGTCTGGTATTTTATCCTAACATGTATCGTAGTCATCTTCGACTCGTTCAGGGTTAACTAAACGCTGACCGAAACTTTCGTCAACCGATGTCTTGTCCGTACTTCAGCGATTGTTTGTTTCAACTTGATGGGAAAATGGTGTTCCTTTTGTTCAATTCTTGATCCGCGGCGCAATCCTTCTTTCTTGTTTGTTCTTCTTTCTTCCGGCTGTTTACTTCTTGATTCTATGATTGATCGTTGTATGCCGCACCCCAACTCCTCTGCTCATGACCCCAATTGGCAGATCGAATTCATTTCGACTCTGCCGTGCCTTTGCTCTTTTCTTTATCTTCTTGTTTTTCAGTTCTCTTCTGATGTAATTCTTTGTTGCGTCGATAATCTCGACCCTGTAGGGTATTGCTTGTTACGGTCTGTTATCTTTACCTCTCTGTGTAACTTTCCCTCGGTGCGTTTTCTATGTTGTTTCTTTTAAACGTTAGGGCCGATTTACGACGAAGTTACGCTTTCAGTTCTCTTGATTTGTGATTATATAGCAATAAGAATGTTCTGAGTCTGCTTTACATGTTTTCGTTTTGGAGGGATTGGTAAATCGTATATTAACACATGAAAACATGGTAAGTATTGAGAGTATTTCGAGTAGATATGTAAGCCATGCCCCTTCGGTATGGTAACCCTCTTGACGGGTACGGTTACAGTACGGCTTCGGGATGTGGTTCCCCCGATGTCAGGGTACCAGTATACTGCCCGTCATAAGATTCTCTTCCCGTAAGTATTTAAACACTTGGAAATCAATGAGTAGACCTTTGGGTTCCAGGCGTGGTTTTGCGTATTGTAATTATTGAAGAGAGGTACAAATAGTATCAATGCTAAAGTTAGAGACGCCGCCGCTTTTACTAGGGGGCTCAGGATCAGGCTGAGTAGATATCAGGTTTTAGACTGTGTGAGCTGTACAGTACAATCTCAGTATAAGCCAGCAAGATTCAACGACCTTGGGTGTTCACTGATTACCCCGAGGTTTATCAGAGGTCTCTATTGAGCACTCAGTCCACGCCTCGCCCATTCCCAGAGATTCGCTTTGTCCTGTAATACTGTTCATTATGAGACCTTTTTTTTGAAGAACCTTATGCACCACCTTGCTTCTATTTGTTAAGGTGTCAGGTGTTTTAATTTCATTTTTCTATCCATTTTTCTATCCGAAAATATCCCAGTACAGCATGATGACGCATGAATGGAAGGCACCCCTCGCCTCGAAGCCGCTGCCACCGTCAAGCTGGACGACCGAGGTACTGACTCAGCCTTCCTCTACAGCCCGTACTGGATTGATTTGCTGATTTATATCTCCGGCTTCGTCATGAATAGCAACGAGACCCTGGATCACCATGCTGGGGTCTATATACCAACGGATGGGAGACACTACGGCTTGCAAGGCCGCTAGATTCAAATCAGAGCTACCAGTCGTACGTAATGATGCTCCCTGATGGGAAGAATATAGTAGCTTGAAATGTTTGAATCCTCTGCGATGGTGCGGTTGTGGGTTTGGTCGAAGGTGTCCAGTTCCAGCATATTCCGCGGGCTCTTCCCGATCTACATTTGAAATCTACTGGCCAGAAGTCCAGCATTTCCCGGAAGGCAGTGGCTCAGAGATCTCCAGCCCAGTTGGCGCCTACCGCAGTCCGAGACGGGAATGTACGACAGGAAACAGGAGAGCGAAAGCTGATTCAGCTGTCCTCGACCTACTGGCCTCTGAACTCGGCGTCGACACATTGAAAGTCTCATTTGGTGACCCTCTAGCAATTCTGGAAGTCGATTCATTGATATCCTTGTATTCGCTGGCAGGATTCTTGAAAACTTTGTCTTTGGAATCCCCCACAATCAGATGACAGAATGTGAAACGGTTAGAGACCTGTCGGACTTCCTAAATCCGGACCGGGCTGTCCTGAGCATCAGCCTGAGCCTAGTACCCCTGACTCTTATAACTCCTTCGACCTTTCGGGATCCTGCTAGTCCATCTGTTCCGGTACCGGCTTGTACTGTTGGCGACCCATTACATCTTATAAAATCCGTCATTGTGGAGGAAACAAGCATTGCACCTGAAAACATCTCTGCTTCTACAGGCTTTAGCCATCATGGTGTTGGCTCCTTGATGTCCTTGTGATCTTTGCCGGGCTTCGCGACGAGGGAGTAGATCTGTCCAATGACTTTTTCGCGACAATCACACAATGAATGCCATGTCAAATACGATACCGGTTAATCGATCCCAGTCCACTAAGCAACCTGTGTACGAGGTGTCCAAGATTGCTATCCCAGTCTGTCACGAACCATGTGAGTCCAAGCTGGCACTGATCTGCGCGAGGCGGAAAAGGGGCCCAGTGAATGAAGTGCCATGAAGTGGCAGAGAAAATTCAGTACGGAGGTAATTTTAAACGATTTCACATCCACTAATGGACCTCATACAAAATATCATAGAATTGAGTTTTCAAAGAAATCATAGTTACTGGGCAGCTCTTCTATCTATCAGAGGGTGTGCCAAGAAGACTGCCTCTGTATGTAGGGTTTGTCGTTCCTTGATCCATGAGCATTAGCATGCGTCGACGCTAGAAATAAATAAGCATAAGAAATGATCGCCTTCCGCCAAAGAAGCGCTACGTGGATATAAATACCCAAGTGTGCTCGAAAGATATATACATTTCTTTCTTGGCGCCACGTTCCGTGATATGAAACCAATATATTTACGGGCAACACGGTACAATGGACATATAAGTTACAGGTACGTACCAAGACGCCAAATATTTCAGCACGGGAATAACATTTTACTTCGCATGGCGAGCAAATGATCTGTAATTCTTTGTACTATCTTGTCTGTACGTTGCTAATACGCAAACGCCACACCAAAGACACCCAGCATAAAACATTGGTATAATACGTCCCACTATTCATACACCGACGAACCACCATACGTCAGAAATAGATCATTATCTGACATACCCAGCATATCTGTGTAATTGCCTCCTTCAGTCAACATATAAGGGTTGAAGAACGGGTCATTCGCACCCCACGGTAGCGAAAACGGACTGCCAACGGGCAAGGGCGGAGGGCTATCCACGCGACGTTCTGGACGAATTCTTTGCAGCGCACCCCGATCCTCGCCAAAAAATTCTTGAGAAAGACCGAGGAATTTCTGGAAAAGATTGCGGAGTTGAACAAGGGGATAACTGATTCCGTTTTGCGTGAGGCAGTCGGCGATGGCTTTCATTAGGTTGAAATCGCCAATGTCGGATGTTGCTACTACGTTGCAGAATAGGACTAGGTATGCTGTCGCTGGGTAGAGGAGGATTGTCCTGGGAATTTGATGAGATGAGTACTCCTGTAGAAAGATCCGTGGGAGTACATATAGGACTTACCAGTTCAAAAAGCTGACTGCGGCTTGTTTCTCTGCTGTGTAGCACATCGATACGAGAGCTGATAGTTCCTGGCGGGCAGACTGAAGATAACTTTCCGTTGAACGGGGTGGTAGACCTTGGTCTACCTGAAGAAGGTAGAGGATTGCGGTCATTATTGATTGGTAGGCGAATTTGAGAGCTGACATTTCGGTTTCGCAGTCGAGTCCTCTCCAATTCGGGGAAGATGAAGCCATCTATATGGGAGTTTAGTATGTGAGATTCAATTATGGGACTGGGCTGTTAGTGTTACCCGGTTCATTCGTCCCTGTATGGATTGCATCGTCCGCAGCATGCTCTCTCCCGTCAAAAGGGGGTCCATAGATCGAGGGGCTGCCAATGAATGATTTGGATACGACACGACTGCATCCTGCACCCTAGCAAGGTCCATGTAGATCAAGAAGAGTTCAGACATTAGGGGGTAATGAGAATATAGGTCGTAGAAATTGGATGGCAGCTGGACGTCGAGGAGACACCGGGAGCTTCGGACTTTAAATGCATGGTTCCTATCCAGGGTGTAGCACCATAGGAAACAGAAGAGTTCTTCCTCGGTTGCTTCTCCCTTCATAGCGGTGGTGTGTAGATCCAAGTCGATGCATGTTTTACAAGCGGCTTTGGTAAGATCACCGCTCGTATTCACGTCCCCAGACCCTTGGTGAAGAAAGACCTAGATTCAGATTAGCTGTGAAATGGTACTGGATGAGATAAAGTACAAGCATACACCACAGAGAATTGCCTGAAGAAGGCCAAGCGAGGGTGGTATTAATAGAGGGATCTGCTTTAATGCAGCTTGGGCTGTTGCTCGATACTCTCCAGCATTCCTCCTTAGCTCAAGGGCAAGGTCGGCGTCGGTTTCAAGGTTGATTGTTGTGGTGAGAAATTTATATGCAGCAGCATTCACACAGACGGTGTATATTATGGTATCGAGAGGCGACGACTCGTTGCGAAGAAGTGAGAGTCCCATCTGCTTTAGCTTTGACGTTGATAGATGACGGAAGTAATCGGTGACAAATGGTCCAAATCTATCAGAATGGATATCTTGCAGATGCTTGATCAGTTGACTGCTCATGGTATAGTAAGGTTTTCAATCTAATATACCTTTCAACATCCAACTGAGGAACTCGACAGATGGATATTTCGATGAACTCTCGGCATTGGCATTACCATGACTGCCTTGGACAAGGTCTCTCGAGTTGCCAGACAATAGGCCTATGACATTTAAGGCTGATTCAAGAACCCTGCGTCTATCCAAAGTGAGATTTTGGAGATGCCTCAGTTGACGCTCTATAGTTTTTTGTGCATCATGGATTGGGTCATATGTGATCCCAGTCACAGGCCACTGCATTTCCTCTATATCAGCGCAGCAAACTGAGCCAGCGACCGGAGGAATCTCTATCGGACTACCAGTTTCCGATGCAGTGAGTTCTGCTTCAAATACTTCATCGGGTATTGCCTGGAGTCGAGAGACAGGGTTTTTGCTTCTGTGACGGCGAGTTGTCGTATGTCGGCGCTTCACCGTTCGACCACGGCTACATGACACTTCTGCATCCTGACAGTTTCCACATGGGTCCTGTCTATCGCACCGGACCTGCAGATATAATCAATATGGTTCAATATGAACTTCAAATTGATTTGCTTTTTCTTACCTTGCGAGAATGGCACAGGTCACACTGCAGATGATAGTTATTAATACCGGGGTGTTTGATTGTTGTATGGGAAACATACCACTGGTAGAGTCTTCCCTCTTGGTTCAAGTGAAACACCAGTTGGCATATTGAGACACAACCTAGAATCCAAATGAACGAACAACGATCTATAGAAATGGAGGCTGAGATGGGGAAGAATAGAGAAGGTGGTACCGGGCCCTAAAAATAAAATTTCATGATCCCGAAGTTTGCGTGTCTGCCAAGAAACCGACAAATAGGCAGTGCAAGTCACCTTAGACGGGGTTTCTCTCAAAAGCTTCTTGGCATCCAATTATCCCCATAAGTTAAAGTAATCATTTGTTTCAATAGTCTGAGCCATTGCCCCGGTGTTAGCTTCGGTTAACTTCAGGGCGTTGTAGAGGCGTCATACTGGCCAATGTTTTACACAGCACTCTATACTTAGTTATGTTACAGCCTCACTGAGTTGAAACAATGAAAGCTGAAAATAGGTCTAGATGCACTGATTTAGGTTGTAAGATTCTATGAGTGATACTTCGGTTGGGTTTTAACCCGGTATCTCCTTTCTTACTCTCTACTCCGTACGTATTCTCAACCTCACTGGAGAAATGACAGATGCCTTTTCCCTAAAGATTGGTCGTAACCTCTATCTATATCTCTCGATGGATCGTATAGATACATCACTGCAGAGTTAGCCAACCGTCTCTTGCCCCACGGGAGTCCGATAGGAATCTAGCGTTGCTCTCTTCTCCGCAAATGACAGTCTCCATTTGAAATCCCCAAGAAAGATGTTCACACACATTTATACCGAGCAGCAACACAGTGGAGTGAAAGAATCTAAGAGCGATCTGGAACCAGTCAACCCCAACTACAAGAATGGAATCGATTTTAGCTGGTGCTCCGCAGCCCCATCGCCACGCTAGTATGCAAACTATTTTTGCGCTCTTCATTAGCACGAAACAAGGAAGAGCCATATGAGCCCCTGATTGACCAAGCCTGAGGCACAGATGCAACCCTCAATTCACCTCATGGATTTCAACGAATGTATATTTTACAGTCTTGAGCATGGGGTATCCTCCCAGAGAAAAACCGTATGTGAACAGGAACCTTTCTAAAATATGTGGTTTGAAGAGTTCAAATCTCATTCCAGGTGATCAGCTAGAAGCAGTAGTCGGCCTCCGCGGAACCCGCGGGGCCCACTTCCATTGTGCTAAGCGGGTCGACCCATTTGGGCACCTGCAGGCATCGGCGAGTCCGATGCCAATGTCACAGCATTTGTCCCATACTTAAGGCTTGGGTGCCTAACGGGTAACTCTTACTGCATACCCTGATCACAACTGGGTTTCTCGAGTCCAGTATGTCCAACTCTTCTGTGATCAATAATCGTAAAGTAAATTTCACAGTAGCCTAGGTGGTAGGCTACTCCTGAAGCTAGAAGCTAGCTCTTGGCGGTTAAATCCGTCATTTCGAACTACATTTGATACTAGGATTAGCGAACATGCCTCGTGTAAGATCCCATACATCTAAGCGCTTAGAGCGAATACAGCCTGGCATTGGAAATTATATGAACCGTGTAATCGACATGCATATGAACAGGTCATTCACATTGTGCCATTTGGACAGTGTGATGCTACATCTCAGCTCACAGTGGTAGAAGGAAAAAGGGCAATTTATTATTAGGAAGAAGTCTCCTGACTATATCTTATCTTAAAGCAAATACAGAGATACCGGGGCTTCAATATACCATCTAAGCCAAAAGCCCCTCCCGTTAAACGAAATTTGCCTTGGATTAACGCCTGGAGAAACAACATAAGACCCCGGTCTTTGCTAGGAAGTAAAGAGCCCCAAAGAAACGGAAAATCGAGAGACCAGAAGTACCCCACAGAATGACTTTGAAATACCATGCTGTGCGAGCTGTAGATGTATTCTAGTTCGTCTTGTCAATATAAATGAACGCAATGGGAACTTGATATCTAACATACCGTCAAACAGAGTCTATCAATACTCGAGTTGTTGATGCAGAGTGCCAGCAATCCATTGCTGAAAGTCCACAGGAGGACCAGGTTTGTTCGGAAAGCTTTGTATGAGTCGTCAAGAGCAATTCCCTCGTTATCACTCGGCTCCTGCCATGGCGTCAAGGCTCGCTTGACGGTGGCCGCAAATTGCTCATCAATATCAATCTGAGGTTTTTCCAGCTCTTCAACGAAAGCTGTTTCTTCCTCTGTCTTGGTTTGTGCCGATGGAAGTTTATCTGGAGCATCGGACCCTTTAGTGCCCCACGAGACATCATGCCAATTGCAAAATGCGTAGACCATGAGAACATTAATTGACGAGGGCATACCAAGGAAATATGCCCATGATGAGGTGAGCATGTGCCAAGGGTCCGCGTACAGAATACTCGCAAGGAAGTAGATTCCGTAAGTTGAGACCAGAGCGACGAGAACAATACCACCAGTCGAGCCGATGAAGCCCGATACCAACCCCGAGAATCCGTGAGCAAAGTCAAAGACGAGATTCTCGGGAGTTAATGCTTGTGCGACGAGATAGAAGGACAGCACAAGTAAGTAGGCTTGAACCACTGAAAAGTAGAGGAAGGAGACCGTGTATAGGAATTTTGACCTGGTTGGCACCACTTTAGTGGAATTCAGACAATGGTCATATACAAGTCCTGTACATACCCTTTTGGACGGTTTCCAAGAGCCAGGATAAACTGAAGCATGAGGAATGCCAGATAACCAATCTTTAGCATATTATTGATAATTGGTGTAACATCATTGCCGAAGGGCCACCCCTTGAACTTGTTCGTCGAACTTGGTGTTCCCACAATGTCGAGGATAACTGAACTGGTCAACCAGTAGGAGGCTGATCAAAGTCGGTCAGTCAATCTATCTTGGTATCACCATTTCTCCCAAAGCCTTTCGCTGACGTACCTAGTGAGAGCCATGTCATGATAAGTTGGCAAATATTATAAACCAATTGAACATGAAGCACAAAGAGGCGAAGTATCCCATGGCCGCTTTTATAGATGCGATTGAAATGCATGATCGAATAGAGTGACGCCGCAAAAGACCCATTAAGCCATCGCCGCCGTTGGCTCAGGAACTCTGCCGGTCGTTCAGGCACATCTGTCTCTCCTTTCGAAGATTTGACGTATGTGAGCCGCCACTGACTACCCGCTTTGGCCACTAGTTCAAAGCACAGAATGCGATCCTCTGCAAGAAACATATTCTTTTTGAAAATGTTCATCCCGTCAATGCCTTTTTTACCGAGCTGTTGAGCGAGTGTATGATCACCATGAAAGTATTGCTCCAGCGGCCGACCCATGATAGCCCTATACCGATAGGCTGAAAATGCTCCTGGTAAGACACTGACATACCCAAAGCTACTTTCCAAAGGCTTATCGAGAATGTTAGAAATCTTATACTCGAAGTTTTGGGCTGCAACCAATGGGTTGACGAGGTTTTTCCATCGGTGGCCAAGAAGTGCGTGAATTTCACCACAGGCTCCACCAAGATTCTTGTCATTGTAGAATGCTTTCCAAAGAGCAAGTAAGGACCGAGGTCCTGGTTTGGTACCTGCGTCGATCAAAATACAGACCTCGGGATTCAAGATGCGCCCGAAAGCATTGAATAACCAGCGATGCGAGTTGATCTTTTTCGCATTTTTCTGCTTGAGACAGAACATCATTTGGACTGGCGGTAGATTCATGGAATTGTCTTTGTATGGGCGAACGAGCTCTTGCTTGGGGGTAATTGATAGCTGGGTGGTATATTCAAACTGCTAGTGATTAGAAAGATTCAACCAGACGTGTAGCGGGTCCCAGAGCACTCGAAGAGCAAGTAACTCACAATATGAGCGACGGTCTCTCTTCCGTCGACATCCTGTTTCATAACCCCGTCTTGGAAAACTCCAATAGTCGCCAAAACATCGAGTGTATTCTTGTCGCATGGGTCCATTCCGTCGAACACAAGGCAAACAACTATCTTCTGCCACGCGGGGCCTCCCCTATTCCAAAACTCTGTCTTTTTCAGGTTGACAATATCCCGAACATTTTGCATTACTCCATGCAAGGTTCTAGCGGTGAGAACCTTGTCTTCATTGTAATAAGTGATCGCAATCAGGAGTTCTGTGTGTCTATTGTACATTGATGGACGGAGATTATAGCCGTTTCGGAGCGTGAACTCATCAGGATCACATGTCGCAGCAGTATCTATTGATAGGAAAAAGTGACATGTTAGCATGTAGATGTCGATGTATTTTGTAGTCCATGGACTCACATCTCATCTGCGTGAATTCTTCAGAAAGTTCTCCCTCTGCATCCCGATATTCTGGCTGGATGGCATTTCGAATAGGACTCGGAACAGGGTAGTTGATACTTAATACCGAGCCTTGTATGAGTTTGATTCGCCTTGTGGGATATCGGCGGATGGTACTGGTCTTATGACGATGCCCCGAGCCTTTGGAGGAATCAACCGCAGAGCCCTGGTTAGATAGGTTGTGTAATTTGAAGTGATCAGGTAGCTCTTGTAATTCCATGAAATCTATGTCAGGGCTCATATCTCTAGAATCCCAAGTATAGGCTTGTTGAGTTGCTTCACTAAAGGGGGTTGGGTCTGCGAAAGGGCCGAGGGACACCGTGGAAGGCTGCTGATGAAGCAGGGAAAGGCTTTGCTCATTTGTTGGTTGGGGTTCCTGGAAAATACCGGGACTGTTAGCTCGGCTTGCCGCATATTGAAGACAGTGTAATTTCCGCGTCAATTACACCTACCCGAGGAGAATAGCGATCCCTCATGTTGATGACATATTCATCGCTGTGCCGCCCATGGTGGAATGAAAAAGGTCGACGAGGTGAAGGGTCCATGATGTACCAAACTGAATCTAAGGTGAAATAAGTACTGCATCTGAAATCGTGTGAACTGAGATTTCGAGGTACAATCCCTGGTGCCAAGCCAGTTCAGATGTATACAGGTATGACAGGCTGTGCTCACCAGCATTATTTGGGGAGCACATTATGGTGTACTGTTAAAAGGAGAAATGTAAAGCCTTGCAGCCCCCCCAATCTCAACTCAAAGACTAAAACCGAGACCAATCCTTCACAGTTTTGTCAATAGGTTCAAGTGGCAGGGCCGGCTATTTTAAGCCGGGGCCCGCATCTATAAGCTGCTTGTCCCAACCAATCACAACGCAACCAGTACTTTAAGCGTGCGGCTAAATACCCTTTAATTCTACTCGACCAATGAACATCTTTTACGGATTTCAGACTTCGTGATCGAGGTGATTATACTGTAGCCTCCCTGGTAGTGTGCTTGGACACCGACTAAAAATACTTTGTCCTTCAAAAATCTCTACAAGTTACAGAATTTTAATTAGGCCGAGAGCTGGAGGCATGGGTGAGACATTTCCACTGAGCTCTCCCACTATTCATCTTGGGTTGAAAAATTGAAGGTTATATGATGTTTCAAATTCAGGGTTCAACCCGTTTAAAGTGTACGCGGGAGCTCGCATTTTCATACACAGCACATCTTCAAGCTACTGTTCATGAAATGGATTTACTCATGCTCACACCAACACAGCTTGAGGTGGATCTCAAGTTGGACCGAGAACAGCCAGTCTATTCGGATCGAGATACAGTCTCAGGCGAAGTCATTTTGCAAACTGATTCCCCTGCCGATATATCGTCAATCTCTCTGAGCCTATCAGCCGTAGCAATCGCACGCCTCAAGGATGGCAGACGCGCAGAAGTCCACCAGGTATGCTTTCATAGCACAGGGTTTGCTCACCAACCAGTGACCAAGTAAAGTTTCTGATATTTCAATTTCTAGCTATTTCACAAGTCCCAGCGGCTTTTCCCACCAGAGACAATGATCAAAGATTCAAAACCATCCAGTGTGACTATCCGACAAGGAACTCATTTACACAGATTTTCCATTACTGTTTGTACCCAAGCCTGACTACTAAACCAGGATACCAACTAATTTATCATCTATTAGATTCCTCAAGCCACTGAGTGCTACAAGACCGACCATTGGTCAAATAAGTCCCAAATTACATGCACAAATCTCTGGTGGCGGCGCCGCAATCAAACGGCCCATTTATTGAGAAGATCTCCCCTTCAACGGGTGACTCGGAGTCGATAGCTGAAGTCCAATATAAGTTGATAGTCGTTGTAAATGGTAAGCTGGGTGCAAAAAAGGTAAGGTTTCATGACTTCTGCGAAACAGCATCATAACGATGCCAACAATGAGTGTTCTTTGTGCTAATCGTCTAGAAGACTCGCAATATTTGTGTTTATCCGTCATCCGATCCGATTCCCAGACAAAGGCCCCTGAAGCAAGAATGCTCCATCAACATTGATCCAGGCTTGGATGGTTGTACTCCAACATCCTTCTTCAGAATTGTTGTTAGGCTTCTAAATGGACCTTGTCTGAATTTGGATAGTCCGCTCCCGTTGAATATTCAGGTCACCAAGCTTCCCGGTCTGGACTATGACATATTACTCAGTGAGTTTCAGACTATGCTCGTGGAGACCACAGAGGTACGAGCGCAAGGAATCACACAGAAGTGTGTCAAACCTTGGATTGTGGACAGCACGGCAAGAATAAACCATTTGATACGGTTTGAAGAAGCAACTGTCGATTTGGTTTCCAGTATGAAGAATCATCCTTGCTTCAACAAGCGGCTTCCTTCCGAGCTCACATCAAGCTTCGAGGTCTGCAACATCAAGCGAACATATAAGCTTGATGTAAGACTCGGATTTTTGCTTGGCTATTCGAAGGTAAGCAGACGCAATTGCATTTATTGTGACCTCGCTACTGACAAGGTTCGTTCCCCAGACGATGATTCGTGAATTTGAATTTCCAGTGTATATTATGAGCCCCGTTTCCTCGTTCTCGACCAAGGAGCCTCCAGGTTACTCTCGGGAGAAATAAAACGGGGATTGCCTTGAGGTCATCATTTTGTATAGTCTTTTAGTGAATTAAACATCAAGAATACTCAAGCGAACCATAAAATGAGCCACCAAGGCAAAGACCCACATAAAGCAAATGAACTGAGGGTCTGTCTGCCTCTGGTGGCTTTGACCTAATCGCCACCATCTGATAGTCATGGAAGTAGCAGTTAAAGACCAGATGCTCAAACGAACCGACTCATCCGCCCTGGCAATCATAAAAATGAGTGAAAATACAAGGCCGAGTACACCGACTAAAAATAGCCGGCGTGGGACAGGGGCCAATGATTGCATCGGTCCGAACACGCCAAGGAACTATGAAGATTCATATAAACCGCGTCGAGTTTCATAGTAAATATATATATTGACCATTTCAAAGCAGCACAACAAGATATCCGTATATCATCCACTCGTTCAACGCTACTTCAACTGCAAGCAATGTCAACAACTACAGCAACAGCTGCCGCGGCCACAAGCACTGCGTGTGGAACCTCAGCCCAATACGAACTCCCTGTTAAAGATGCCGCATGCGGTGTTCCCAACTCCGATGGATACAAGTCACTCCTTGCCAAATGCGCGAAACCTGCAGGGGTAACCGCCTATGACGATGACTGTGCTCTCTACAGTCTGGCTGTTGACCAGTCAGTCCAAGAGCTCACAGACTGCCTCTACGACGCTGGCGTCGCTTGGAAAGATGTTTGGTGTTACGGGTCAACCAACGCCACCGCCACTGCTACGTCCTACCCGACTGCATCTGAGACCTCTTCGTCAAAAACTACAGGCACCAAGGAGTCATCGACCACAACATCGAGCTCGGAGTCCGCCACAAGCACATCTGGAGCAGATGTCACTTTGCATCCCGTCCACCTCGGCGTCAAGGCCGTTGTTGTGTTTTCCACTCTCTTTGCGTCGGCAATTTCTTTCGGAATGTAAAAGGTGTTTACAAAAGCATCGTGTCATTCTTTCATTGCTGCATATCGCAAATCCGGGATTCTTTTTCGGGTTCAATCACTGATTTGTACAATAAATTATATATGTACTACTATTTTCGTGCGCCCCATCCCAAGTTCCATGCTTCTGTCAGGTGGCCCATTTCGCTTAGATGATAGTAAACTAATACTTTGTATCCAATCACAAAGATTGTAGACCTTAGATACCCTACGAACAAGCATATCGGAGAAACAGTAGAGTCTCCGATCCGCCTAACGTACGGCTTCCAACCGTATATACGTGCTCTTCAATTTAAGGGCAAGCCCCATGCAGCCGTCCAATTACATGCGACATTATCTCTCGACAGGCACAAAGGACAATGTTATCTCCTAGTTCCTTCTTTGTCGGGCTGTGTTGGCGAGTAGTGAGAACTTGTTCAACCGCCCCAAGCCAATATTTCGACAAGGGTGTATAATGGCCCTATTGAATATTTCAATCGGCTTTGGTTTCGTAGCAAAACGTCTTTAGCGCCGTGGGTGGGCCTCATGAATTGGAGTACATCAAGCGCTTCAAAAATGAGAAATTATACGCTTGCGCGAGAGAACTGTATGTATCCTTCGTTGTGCAACCACCTGTGGCTATATGACGGAGACTCGAACTATTCATAGTTTCGGATGCTCGTATAGGCTAGTTTTAAAAACAACTTCGCCTTCTACGATGCAATAACCCAGACTAAACGGGTTGCAGGAGCGAATCGTACATGTAAACCCAATAAAGAGATTTCACACCAAGAAGGTGATCACCCGTCGGGGGATTTCCAGCCAGTGACACATCGATCAGGGATCAAGGGGCTGTAGCAAGGAATCTCATTTTTGCCCGGTCCAAGTGGGACAGCATGGTCGAGTTTCAAATCCAAGGAGCTAATTGTGCCAAGAGCCGAGAAGCTATCAGTAGCGAATCAAGAAATAACTATCATTGTTAAACCCGAAAAGAGATGCCAACGAGATATAATATTGACTTGAGCGAGTGACCGTGAGGTTGAACGATATGAATCTACAGCACAGAGCTACAGGTCCCGATGGCCCTGTTCCATGCATTTCGAGAAGTCCGAGCTTTAAACTCTAAATGTCCGGAGTATTTTCCGAAGCCAACGCGCATTATATGCGTTAGAAAGGGGCACAGGTCGGAGTATTAGAAAAACGACTAGTATTTAGGGCTTAGATGAGTCTATTGGTGAACTCCTTGCAGCATGCCATCTTAGCCTGTCTTGTTCGAAGATAACTCGTATTAGTTACATCGATGGTCGTGGACATAAAATTCTCCGCAAGACTAGACATCTCCTGAACTCCCTCATACCGATGCTGCATTTCAGAGGGGTAAGGGAATTTACAAGTACCTTCTCCTTGATACATATACAGAGAATGTGCGATAGGCCGTTATAAATACTATCCTTCTTCCCATCCTCAGAACTAAGTCAAGCATACACATCTTACGACCAACTCACAAGCTAAAACTCATCTTCGATCACCATGCGATTCATCTTCGTTACTCTCATGGCCTTATTCAGTGCTGCTCTGGGTGCCGGCAAAGCACCTGCTACGGTAAACGTTACCTATTGAGCATAAATTGAACCCTCTAACAGTGCTTTAGATTCCTGCAGGCGGAACTTGCAAAGCGGATGGTAGTATTGGAAATTGCGCAAGTGGATTCTGTTTGGTAAGCAATGAAAATCCCACTCACACATGTGTCAGCATGAAAGAGTAACATTGGAGTAAAAAGCAAAATCCCGACGAGTCTAGTGGAAAATGCCAATAGGAATTTGACTTTGGCTTGCGGTTGATGTGACCTGCCGTGCATGGTCGCCTCCCAGAACGCGGAATAGCCTGAATGAAATTAAATCCTATTTATGGAAAGAATTCCCAAAATTCATGTAGGATGGAATGCCATAGACAGGATAAGAGTGGCTCTGGTAGTGACGTGAATTCTAGAAGTCCGAAAATCTCCATCGTGTATACTTGGCTAAATTGAAAGGGAGAAACCATCCTCTGCTGACAACAGTGACGACAATCTGCTGCGATGATATCGCCTAATTAGGTCTAGCTAGACAAACTGAAGTCTAACGACAAATATAGGACAGAACAACGAACCTTTTCAAGGTTCCAGTTCTCTCTTTTTTTCGATTTGAGAGCTCCTCTCCCTTTCTGTATCTGATGTGAGTGGTCCCCGGATTTCCCACTGGCTATCAAGATTTTTGGTGTGGCTGTGTCCACACCTCGCAAGCCTGAGCTACACCAGTCTTCGCATTACAATTCGACTCTCCTCTCAAGCCTTCTCCACAGCTCAATAACCTAGCCAGCGCTCCTGCCACGGGAGATAGAAAGTCATGTCACCCTCTGAAATTGCGTCGACACGGTCCTTTGCTCCTATAGATCAAGAACAAAACTAATTTTTCCTCCTATTTCTTATGCTTGCTCAATTTCTAGGAAGAAGTGATGTTCTTCGACAGTCCGTGCGATTAAGCAAGATGAAGATTGGCGACGACCACCCCGACACCTTAAGGAGTATGGCCAACCTTATGTCGACGTATTGGAACTAGGGCCGGTGGGATGAGGCGGAGCAGCTTGACGTGCCGGTTATAGAGACTCGCAAGACGAACCTCGGCGCGGGCCATCCCGACACACTGACGAGCATAGCCAATCTAGCCTTTACCTAGGGATCTATAGGTCGGCATGCCAAAGCAATCGGTTTGCTTAGAACCTGCGTGGCTAAGGCACAACGAATTTTAAGACCCGCTCATCCTCACACTGCGTCCAATTCCAACCACGCTACTAGAATGGGAAACCTGGGTCTAGCTGTCGAGTCATGATAAAGTTATCCCTACTCTGTTTACCTTGTATTGAGTAGATCTGACTGTATTTGGTAGTATAGTTTTGTTTATCATTCACTAGAGTTCAGGTCTACATGACAATCCTTTTGTTTCCCATACGTGACATAAAGTCTTTTCCAAGACAATTCCCCCCTACTACATTGTGTTCATCTCGTTCATCAATATTAAAGTGGGTTGTCGACCCCACTCGCCCTGCCAAGGAATCTCGTGTTTCTTTCGCTCGCAGTTTGCCTCCTTTACAGGTATAAGCCCCGGCCGATCGCCGATGCAACCGTATAGGAAGAAACGGGACATTTTTTTAGCGTCCTATCCGGAAAATAGTTATTTCATCATGTTCGCCCTGCCAAGCAACCTCGTGTTTTTTTGGACCCAGCTTGTCTTCTTTTAGGTTAGACCCTGCCGATCGCCCCTGCGGCTCGTATAGGATGAGGCTAAGGTGAAGAAACGGGACTATTTTTGGAAGCTTATCCAGAGCCTTCAGGCCCCAGATCGTATTCACCCCGGATGTTTTCATATAGGCGATCGTTTTAGCCCCAAGGTAGGATTGATCTTCTGAAGCGAACATCGTCTTCCTCGTATTTTGAGAAAATGAGACTAAGAAAGCCTAATTACGAGCCCTTTTTGGACGAGGATTCAAGTTCTGGGTAAACCAGCTCAAATGCATCAAATCACATTTCGGTCATAGTGCCCCGTCGTCTACAACGCTTTGTTTAGTGCGAAAGGACCATCTCAGCTTTCGTAAATAAACTTCCTAGCACTAATTTTAGACAAATTCTTCCTCGGCGATGATCCTGTCAGTCGATGCTCAATCCCACCATGATTAGACCTGGTAAAGATCGACGCACCACTCAAAGTATAAGTATCCAAGTCCAACCTCCTGCACAACATTCTGGTTACAAGCAAAAAGCCATTCAAACATTTCACCATTTCTCGTGTCAAATTGAACGCGTCATCGAAAGGAAGTGCAGTCCTCAGAAACACGGCGACATTTACCGAAGGATCACCAATACGCAGAATTTTCCTAGTTGCACCTATTCGCCAATATGCAGCTCATGAACTTGGCTCTGACCCTAGCTGCGGCTTTCTCTATGGCCAATGCATACAAAATCACTACCAATGATGTCAACTGTCGCAAAGGCCCCTCAACGACTGAGGCGGTTGTCACTACATACGACAAGGGTGTCGATGTCAAGATCTCCTGCCAGACTTATGGTGAAAACATCCAGGGCAATTCTATCTGGGACAAGACCTCCGACGGCTGCTATGTTTCCGACTACTACGTGAAGACCGGCTCAGACAGCATGGTCACCAAGGATTGTGGCGGCGGCAGCTCTGGCGACGGCAGCTCATCCTACAAGGGCGAGATCAGCCGCAAGGAGATCCTCTCCCGCGGTGAGTACTGGGTCTCACGCCACGTCCCATACTCCATGTCCGCCTATTACCCGGACCCAGATGGCCGCAAATACCGCACCGACTGCTCGGGCTTCGTTAGCATGGCTCTCCATGCGTCTGCTCCAGGCCTCAGCACTGTCAGTCTCCCGGAGATTGCCAAGCCTATCTCTTGGGACGACCTCCAGCCCGGTGATTTCGTTGGCACCCTTGGCTCCGGTACTGGCGGTGCTGCTGGCCACGTTACTCTGTTCAAGTCGTGGGCCGACAGTTCTAAGAAGGAGTACAATACGCTTGAGTGCCGCGGTACCTACGGCTGTGTCGCGTACAAGCGCCCTGTTGGTTGGAAGGTTGGCAGTTACACGGCCAAGCCCTACCGCTACAACAACGTTAAGGAGTAAGCTGGAGCTTGAAGAATTTTGGGGTTGAGAAGGGATGGAACCGATCCTTGGTACATGTACAGTACTTGTGGCGGCTGCGGCCGTTGAGCAGCGGAGGGATAGGAATAGCTTCAGATGAATTCCTGGGTGGATCAGATACGCAGAAATCGAGGGCAAATTGAATTTTCACTACTCTCAAAACTTTCATATATGTATGGCAGGACATCAATACCGCAGAATCTGGACAGGTCCATGCAAATACCAACCCAGGCGTTTATTATCGATAAACTCCACCTACTAATCAACGATTTAATCGTATAAATCTTCGGAGTATAAGAGAGCTCGTAGTCTATTATCGTGTATACAACACCGCCCTCCGACTAGTTGCTAGAAATATCGCTATATTACACTAAGCCAGAATGATCACCTCGTCCTACCTGACCGAGTGCAGATCCCACTGTAAACACCGGTGGAGAAAGAGACGTGAGGTGCTGAAGAAACATGAAGAAAGCAAACTTGGAAGGAGAAAGAGTGAGATATGCACAAACAGACATGTAGAGGTTATATGAAGAACCAGATTCAAAAGTGAAGCAATGACTATTACAGGTTGGATCTGACTATGGATACGAAATACGATGGATAGAACATAGGCATATGAGTGACTGGGAACGGCAGTTTTGATTGATGTTGGGCCAACTATTCTATCTGTTCATATTGAACTTGAAAAGAAGAAAAGTACAAGGCCTCCGTACAGAAAGGAGATGACAACCTTCTCAAGTACCTAAATTCGTTGCAACCCAATATCAGAAACCTAGAGCAGTGGGTTAGCAACGAATATCAAGAGAGAGAAGGCAATAACATACCTTTCTCGGTGTTTCCTTCGCCCATGCTCCTACTGCTGCTACTTCCGCTCTGGATAGCCCCCATGATACCATCCATGTAAGGAGCGCCACTCCACTTCTGGTGGGTTAGGACATCGACGTCGAGTTCCTTCTCACGAGACTGCACCAGACGGACGTAGGCCAGCATTCCCTCGTCCTTGAATGCGCGGGACAACTCTGTTGTGATGGTGGCGTTTGTGTGCAGACCGGCCAGTGAGACCAATTGCAGGACGAATCTAAAGGCAAAGAGTTAGTGCATCTCATCGAAAGGTGAGGGTGAGATTAAAAAATCAAGGCTTACCCCTGCTTGGCAATGTCCCAGATGAAGGACTTGAGGGAGGCCTCAGTGAATCCTTGTCCCATCCAGTTGAACGACGGGCTCAGGTTGTACACGAGCTTTTTGCCAGGGTACGCCTCCCGAACTTGTCCAGCCAGCTTGCCCGCCTTCTCAACGTCTGGGTCACCAGTCTCCACCCAGAGGAGATCTGCGTATGGTGCGAACTCTTTCGCTCGCTTGGTTGCAGCTGGGAATCCGGCGCGGTAGTGGTAGAATCCTTCACGGGTACGTGGGCTGTCGCAAGACCAGACAAGAGGGGTTCTGGCGTAATCATTTGCCAGGGCACGGCGGCGAGAGAATGAAAGATCAGGATTGGCCTTGACATAGGCTTTGTATCCATCTCGAGAGGATTGAGGAGCGCCCTCTGATGCAAGATGGGCATCGACAGCTGGGAGAAGTTAGCAGGGTGGTCTGGTGCTTGCTAAACAAAGGGGAGAAAAAAAGAGAAAAGAAAAAGAAAGGAAGTAAGAAATGAGAGAATGAATACCTTCATCAATTGTAACCAGTTTGTGCTTCTTAACCCAGTCAAGCTCATATGCGTCGATCTCCGATGGCGAGGCACCTTCCCGCTCCATGGCTTGGAGGGTCTCTGCAAGGGGCTCCACATCTTCTGCAACGCCAAGGATGAACTCATGATCACGGACATCAATTGCGCTGCTGATGAGTCGACCACTTTCGGAATCCGTGCGGGCAATGACCAGGTTTTCGCAGCCCATCATGTCCCACTGGAATCGGGCGGCGACCAGTCTGTTGATATGCTCACCCATTGGTACGAGTACCTTGCCCGCAAGATGGCCGCACTTCTTTCCGCCATGGAGCTGATCCTCGAAATGGACCGCCGCAGCACCGTTTTCCGCGAAGAGTTTGGCGAGCTTGAGAACTGCTGACAAACCACCGTGTCTGTCTCAGTAGAATTAGCAAATGATTCCCACCCTCGATGGCAGGTGTGAATATACCCAGTATCGCCATCTGCGACAATTGGCCGCATGTAATCAATGTATGGTGTTGCTTTCCGCTGATCAGCAGTCAATTTCCTTCTCGTATCCCATTGTTTGCGGTCATGCATCTGTTGGGCTTTGAAGAGACGCTGGACTTGGTTGGGGACTGTGTTGTATGGGTAATCGCCAAAGTCGGGGGACACCTCGTTGGTGGTAGTCAATAGGGAAGAGCAAGCCCAGCCAGATACGTAGAGGATTTCCTGGTTTGGTGCCTGCTGCGTCATCTGTACTGGGTCGATAGCTCCCACTGAAAACAAAAAGTGTTAATTTTGTGAGAGTTAAACGTATGGACATCTGACTGGAACCTCACTTGTATGGACAGGCTGCCCAGCAGCCGCTCGCTCGTTGAGCAAATTGAAGAGTTTCCGAGCCATCAGAGAACTGGGGTATGCTTGTTGCAGGGACCCGCGCTTGCTCACAACGTCGGCTGCGGAGTAAGGGCGCTTTATGCCTTCGTACCGAGGCGAGCTCCACCAGGATTTCACATCCTGGATTTGTTGATTAAAGAGAGCGTCCTCAGCCTCCCCTGCCTTTTCTTGAGTGGACAGGAGCTGGTACGCGTCTGCGGGGAGTGTAGTTGAGATGGGGGGTTGAACGGGCGCCATCCGAGGATAGCCGCACGTGAATGGGCGCAATGCCCGGGACGGAGCAGATAGAAGAGCGACAGATCGAGGCACGCGGCGAATTGACCGGAACATGGTTGGTAGGGGCCCGGGGTGACAAGCCGGGAAGAATTGGTCAAGAAGTAAAAACAAAACAAGAGGAAGGTGAGGGAGGGCAACCCTCCGCGGCAACCTCGGCCCGCTTTCTGGGGGTGGAGACTGCCGATAGTCGGCACCTGACTAATCCTTGGCATCAGCTAAGCTTCAGACAAATAACGGACTTCGCATCAGACTTACCTCTAACGGTACATGCGCCCGTTGCGCCGGGGAGGCACCTCGTAGTCAGGGTTCGGGGAAGACTCAATGTGTGTGGCGCGGGGAGGCCCATAATCGAATGGGTGAGTGCGGCTGGGAGGGACATAGTCAAATGGATGAGTGCGGCGGGGAGAGACATAATCAAATGGATGATTGAGAGTAGCCCGACGCGCCGGGTGCATGGTGTCAATTGGCTTCGTCTCGGCCAGAAGCTTTTGCATCGCTGGTTTGGCTGGGCGAATCTCGACCGTGTCAATCTCCATTTCCTTCGGAAAGCTGGGACACAAAAACATGGCATCAGACCCATCGTTATTAGCCTCCTCCATGGTGACATCAACATCAAAAGTGTTGTTCTCCGAGACCTCTCCATGATCCACCGAGGCGTTAGCATTGACATTGAAATGTTCAGACAAAGCTGCGACCAGTGCCTCCCATTGCCCATTGAATCCGAGATGCTTGTGTTGAATGGCCTCTGCGATAAGAGGACGATTGTCCATGATGCTGATGAGGTTTGCGAGGTAAGACTCCAAGGGGACTTAACCAAATGGATCAGCCTATATCACCCCGAACCATGAAGCGTGCACTTACCAGATTGCTCGGCTCCAGCCCAGTGGACACCGAACCAGGCGAACTCGGGGGTGAGAATCACACGCAGCAACAAGGCATTTGGGGTGCCAGGGTCAACGACCATGATCATGTTGCATAGCATCATGGTAATTTCCCACTTGATCACAGCCATGGCGGGCTGGTGGGTTCCATTGCCAAGCAGATACTCGAACGCGCCATGCTCATCGGACTGCTGAGCGGATCCACCCTCGTAGGTGTTCGCCAGAGTCTGCAAGCCGGCCTTCGTGAAAGAAGACATTCTGACAATAAAAAAGAAGATTCGAAGAAAGACAATAAAAAACGAGCAAAAGCAAGAAAAGCAGTGGAAATATGAGACGAAACAAGCTGTGATGCAAGTCAAGAGAAGAAGAAAGTTGAAAGAAGGAAGACTTTCCAATCGAGAGAGAAATCTTTTGCAGGACGCGATAATGCGGATTCCTCCTTGAGCGAGTGTGACCATTGTCCAGAGACCTCCCAGGAAGCAGCTTCAGTCCGTCTCATTGGCCAATATCAAATGGAAAGCCGTCCCAAACGGGACAATAGCCTTTTGATACCAACCCCTTCTTCTCGCCATTGGTCAGTTTTGGGGGTTCCTGGCACGAGGTCCTTGTGATTGGCCTTCTAAGTTATCATATGGTCTACGTGCTGCCACCATCCCTTCGAGAAACGCTTTGGGGCCAATCAGACGTAGATGCTATTGTCCTCAAGTCTGCCTATTGTCTTTCCAAAACCTTAAACCTTAATTTATGAGGCATTGCTTGAGATATTGTATATTGGTGCCTCGTGATGTCTCAGTCTCTTTTGGCCTACTTGGTCCAGTCGTTAATACAAGGACTCGCATTGGAACCCGTTGGGAAGCCTCCTGCCTGAAGCTTTGCTTGTCCGCTTCTCAGACTAGATAGCTTGCAGTTCATGAGGTCTATGACCTACATACCAATCTCCTGGTGCAAAGGGTATTCAAAGAGTTAGTCCAAATCCGATGTGCCACACCATGGGAGTGATTAATGAGACGGATCTCCGGGATATTGTGTCGGCATCCACCAAGTTCTCTACGCTCTTGAAACCTTGTGGCACCCCGTGAGCTACGGAAATATCTTTATATACTTGTAACAGAGATGACTACAGAAGTGGAAGCTGAGAGGAAACCGAATGAGGTACGGGATATATGATGATTTTACGCTGTTGGCAGCATGGTACTGAAAGCCATTGAACATCCTGCTATCTCCAGGGGTATCTCAAGTCGGGTGCTATTGGAACTGAACGGGGCTTACTGATTGCATGTGGTTTCACTAAGTCGCGAATCGGATGAGTGCAAGCGGGCATGTGTTTGAAAAGAGGAAAAATAGCATGACTGGACGAAAAGGTCTCTGGGTATGGACGGGCGTAGCAATGGGTATGAAGTGCATGGGTTGGTGATCAGCTGATCAGGTCGATATTATATTACTGACAGGTCCGGATTGGGTGTGGGTTTGTGACGAAGTGTCGAGTATGGAAAGTCGCTTTGGGGACTTCCTCCAAGGTGAGGAATCGGGTATTGCATGGTTGAATATAGATAGGAATGGCAGTACGAGCCTGGTGATCCACCAGCAAGGTGGGACACCGTTTCCTAAATCGAGCAAGAGTTGTAGTCAGAGAGTAGATCATAGTTTCATACAGGAGTCTCTCCATCGAGGAAGCATTTTTGTCATAAATCATCAACAAAAGACCTGGTCTCGAGACGCCGCGCTGTTTCAACGCCAAATCAAGTCGAGGGCGCAATGTACAATTTCAAACTCAGGATATTCCGATAAAGAGACAAAACAAGGCTTGCGCGCTGGGTCGTTAGTCGTTAAATTAATACAACAGGCTGGGTTGGCGAAGATTGCTGGAAATTCACGGGTTATATGTTCAGGCTAGCCGATGAAAACTGTTTGATCCGCAAGGTCAGGTTATTCTGCTGGTCTACCCGTAATTGGGAGTTATCAACTCACCTTCCCATCCCCATTCGGCCATCACATTCACCCAATGCAATTTGCCACGGACAGTTCTCTCGAACTCAATGTTCTCCAACGATGAAAGTGCAGAGCCTCGGCGCGCCGATCTCGAGGCAGGCTGCCTTGGCTGCCCAGCTATCGAAGTCCCGCGAGCGCTATTCATATTGTAGCTGCCGAACGCCGAGTTACAGAATGTGGAGTCCAAATTCTCCTTATCGGCGGAAGAGATAGACTCGGTACGCCGGGAATGAGTCATTTCTTGATCCCTGCTTGCATTTATTTTGTCGCGACGATTCCAGACCTCTTTCAAGACTTCAAGGCAACGGTCCACTCCACCCAGCATTAACCGGGCTTGGATTGTGGTCCATCGATCCAGCACCCATTTCCGATCATCGTCAGCATCGACCTCTGATCCGGCTGCCAAGAGGGGGAACACTTGGATAATAGTTGTCCGTGAGGTGTAGGGAACAGTAGCGAGGAGAATCAGCACCCTCTTTGCTAACTCATCGGCGGGCTCAGATGGTATTTCCGGAACAGCTTGGTGAAGGTATAGCAATGTAGCCCAACGGTAGGCATGAGCAACCTGAATGCTATGTTGCACTTCAGAGTGAGGATCTTCGGGAGGCTCAAACCAACGTGGGGGTACCCAATCCTCAATCAGACTTTTGAGCTCCATCGCTTGAGCGACAATCGACACTGTATTGGACGAGCTTTTCCGCACATGCTGGATTAGTTTGGCCACTCGACTCATAAGAGGATACAGAGTAGTCGCACACCCCATCAATGGGTCGATATCGTGAACCGCGTTACTTGGGAGCTCGAACATTGAAGAATCCCAGTTTTGAGGTCCGCAATCATCTAGAGAGGTCAATCGTGCAATCACATCCATATAGGACCAAGTGTTGTACAAGAAGCGGATACGGTCCAATTCGTCTTTGCTGATGTCTCCTTGCATTCCGGTGGCAACAACCTGGGACATCAACGCTTTCGCTCCGCGTAGGTGTTGTATGCAGGTACGGGTGTGTTGGTCCCAAGTGTCGGCAAATGCTAAAGCAAGACTGGTGGCCAGTGCCGCATCTGCTCTCATGTTCTGAATCTGCCCTACAAGAGAGTTGATGCTCTGGCGCATGTGCTTCACTCCTTGAACCCGGAGATGGGGATTGTCCCTGCCTGAATGAAATGCTGCCAGGGCAAAAATGGCATGGTAAAGTGCCGGTGTATTTTTTGCCAGCGGCCAGATCAATGTTCGCCATGGGTTCTCACTAGCTCCATCTTTGACTGACAGGATCCCGCACGTGAGCTTGTCAAAGCGCATCACCAGCATTTCGTGGCTCTCTGGTGGCAGAGACGGGCTGCTTGGAATGCTTATATCGTTGAAATCAAAGGACTTTGGCTCTGCTATCTGGAAGTTCCATGGTCCAAGCCCTGGATCCGACTGTCGGATAATATCTTCAATGTCATCATTCTCTTCTTCCAATAACCTGGAGAAACTGAGACCCGATGCATCGTGGAGAAGTTCCTCCGGACCAAAAGACATACGTCGACCTGACCCAAGATCATTAGATGCCAAGGAGTCTGCAAGCGATAGTGAATCCTGATATGGTTCCAGAAAGGAGAGGAAGTTGAAAGAAGGAGAGTCGGCCGACAATGAGACATTAATGTCGAGAGGGGCACTGCGCTGTGATATGGAAACATCTTCTTGCTTATCAGGTAGATCGTCGAGGGAATGTGCTTCAGACGGAAGACTGTTGATGCTCATAGGGGAACTATGCAGCGATCCGGGTGGGGAGTGGGATCGATGGATGTGTGATTGTATACGAATTGGAGATGTCGATTGTTCAGTCGTCGGGGGAGTAGGAAAGCTATCAATATTGATATGTTGCTGGTTGGCTGCTAAGTGTCAGATATGCCAAGCTCCACCGGAATCACACTTACCCTTTTTGGTCTTGGTAGGGCGTCCAGGGGCTAAGTTGGTCTCTTCGAAAGGCCGCCATTTGAAGTCTTTCTTGTATCCTCCACATTGGACTTTGCGTCGATCGCACTGTTGACAAGTTGGCTTGGTTTCGTCGCACTTCAACCGCTTGGCCTTGCAAGTGACGCAACCTATAGAAGTGGAGACCGTTAGTGTTGTTAATAAGGGCAACCTCCAACTTGCTGTTCAACCTTGATCGAGGTCAAAGCTGACAACTTGCCCAAGACCTTGTTAAACGGCCATACCATTGCGACTCTTTGTTTGCTTCGGTTTCTGGGCGGTCTTCCTTGGTGACGGAGCGTTTCCCCGCGCTGATGGGACGTCGGGATCTGAAATGGATGACTTTTTAATGTTTTCCATACCAAGTTGATTTTTAAACCCCCATTCACAAGGGTGCTTGAGGGACAATATAAAATCAAGAAGTAATTCGAGAAGTGAAGATGGTAAACAGAGATAAGAGAGACGAGAACAGCGAATGGCAAGTGATAGGGAATCTACGGAGATAAGCCTATGCGGGGGTGGGCGATCTTGGAGATTTGAGGGAACAATTCCCTATTTATACTTAACCACTTCTGCTTCCCTGGACAACGGTCTCGCATGATATTCGCTTCAGTTTCTCCCTTAAGTGCGAGATATGTATCCATAGTCCCCTCCCCGCACTTCCCACACCTTATCCGAGGGCCGTAACAAAGTCATCCAAATATATCTCGGATATTGGCGATGACAAAACAGAGATACTGGTTCGCTGGTCACCTATCGTCATCCCGTGCGGAGACTTTTCTCCAATTCCGGGCGAGAGCCGAGTTTTAGTCTCATCCTCCGTTGATAGAAACAACCAAGGCGTATCTTCCTCACTTTTTTTGTCACCCAACCTATCGCTGTTGCGAAGCTATCTATTAGCCCCAAGCCATGTTACATTATTCGTTGCACGACCATCTCGCTGGCGAGCAGGCCATCTGTTTATACTTACCGCCCTAGAGGACAGGGATGTGGCATACAGACTGGAATTGAAATCAAAGCGTAGCATTAGGTACACTCTCGCGTGACTCGGACACTTTTGTGGGGTACCAGACAGTTGACGAGAGTTTGACTTTTGACTCCCGACCACAATCCCAATGAGGCTGGGCTGCAATGAAAAACGTGATCGGCTCACTCCCTGCCGTCAATGTGTATCTCGGGTTCAAGCCGGGGTCAACAGCTCCCCATTATCATTTTATCATTTCCACACTGTGGCGAGCAGTTGAGGAAGGCTTTCCATCTTGAACACAACCTTCGCTTCGGTGATAGTCAGCAAGGGATGTGATATCGGCTGCTTGAATTTCCATCATTTCCATGGACTCTAGTAATGCTACTTGCCAGGGGCAGTGGGATCTATGAATGTGCCGGATTCCTCCCACAGCTCCTCCCGTAGGGTGCGGAGAAGGATGCCTTCCCGGTATACAGTAGGCCTAGCTTTTGCAAAATTCCCCTCTAAGCAGTATCCGAACCTTGTATCCATCAACTAACCCTCTTTGCGTCGAAGCCCATCAAGTATTCAAAAGAATCGGAATTTGAATGATGAACCACTTGAACAACGGACAAAGAAGCGCGTCATTCAACCAAAGGGACACAAAAGATTGACTCTATCGAAGTATCAGACAACGTAAAGCTGTCGTTTCCATTAAATACTCCTGTGGCGTGGGTTACGACGAAGAAACCAAGATACCCAATTTTTTTTTTTTTTTTTTTTTTTTTTTTTTGGCATGAGAGGGCGGTTTACGGTCCCTCCCCCTAGGTTTCCAACCTCGTATAGCATTATCTTTATAGTGGCACCCTAGTTATACCACCGTAGAGGCTTAGAGAGCCATCTCTTTACCCAAGAAGGTGGCCTCTGCATGCGTGAACCGGTTCAAGGTAAACCCCCTACCCACGACCCGAATCCCCAGGCCGACCGAGTTTACATTGAACCTGGGAAAGATTAAGCTAAAATATGCACTATTCTGAACATTTCAACGAGATTCTGAGACCTTAATGATAAACATTAGGCCATACATATTTACCTGCTGTATGCTATCTGCCATCTCCTTGTTATCTTAGCTAGGGAGGTTTTCACATTTCACTGTCGACGTAATTCCCCGCGGCAGCCAAAGTGGCATAGTAAAGATCCGTCTCAGCACAAATCACCATTCGACCAACCCCAGCGAAGTTGAAGTTCGCCGTTGTAGAACCGACGTAGATCTTGCCAATGAGTTTGCCTGAGGGGTTCCAAACCTGAACACCGTCACCACACCCGGCGTATACATTGCCCCAAGAGTCACAATGGACGCCTAACCACAATTGAAAAATGTCAGCCTATGATCTTTATCACTGTATATAGTTCAAGGTCCGAATTGGGAACGGTGAGTATCTGTGGATGTCTTCCACTTACCATCAGGGGCGCCGGAGTTTACAAATGCGAATGTCTTGCGATTCTCGAACGTGCCATCTTCTTTCACGTCGAAGCGATAGCTGCAAAACGATTATCAGTATATCATACTTAGTTAAATCCAGAGGAGTTTCTGAAGGCTATCAAGAAACATACATGGAAGCGGGACGAGTAAAGTCCAGACCGAAAAAGCCACTGTCGATACCGGTGTCGGTGACATATGCATATTCACCATCAGGCGAGAAAGTCAACCCTGATAAATAAATTAGTCTGCATGACTTGACTGGGTTTGTTTTGGGTACATACCATTGGGGTGATCAAACCCATCCGCTGCGATCGTCACGGCTCCGGTATCGGGGTTGAATCGGTAGACTTGATCCTGCAGACCTGGAGCAGGACGGAAGTCTTGCACGTATCCGTAGATCGTGTCTGTGAAATAGATGTCTTTGTTCTTTGGGTGAATAGCTACATCGTTCAAGGAGTTGAATTGGCGACCGAAGTAATTGTTCAGGAGTACTAGGTGGTCTCGGTAAGTTATCTAGCAGTCTTGTTTGCAGCGGGGGAGGTTGACAGACCGGTCGTATTGTATGGCTTTTGCGGGTTCATAAGCCAGAGCGCAGGGGGAGTTTTATTGCCCTGGCCTTCACCAGTGAAGATAATTTCCCCCCGATAGTTGGTTGCCCCTATTTTATCATCAGACCGGCCGAAACACTGTCATATCTCTAGAGCAATATCGTAGTTTACCGTTTGGATTGATCACCATCGGCGATGAAGGGACCGTAGAGACCTTTACCAGACCCGCAGCATCACTCTTGCTGGAAACAGCAGCTGCGTCTGCCAGAGAGATCTTTTCTATGATAGCCGACTTGTTCAGGCCGGTGCTAGCGTTTTTGGCCCCTGCATTCTGAACGAAGAAGACTTCATCTGTTTCCTTTGACCTGTTATAACAAGTCTCGAGTTAGAAATGAGATTCCTCTTGTGACATCGGGACCACGTACCAAACGACCGCCTCGTGGTATAAGGGGTCCTTAGGCGAGTGCGCAATCCGGGTGAGAGTTGGAGCTTTTCCGATAATCTTCAAGAACTCCTTGTCGTACACATGGAATGGGCGTTGAGTAAGGCTATCTTCGGTATGCCCTGGAGGAACGAAAATCTGGAATGAAAAGCATTGGCTAACTGTGATATTAGGGGGGCATGAATGGTTGGTTCCGTACACTCTTCGCATTGAATTCGGTTGGCGGTTGAGTCGTATCCAAGACGTTGAATGCTCTTTGGTCGATCACCTGCGCTTGGGCAGGAACATTGCTAGCCTTGACTGTAGGTACCAATGATTGTCCTAGGAACGCTAGAGCAACAAGCGCAACAGATGTGGTTGGCATTTTGAACGTGCTTTTCTCTTGATGGAGTGCAAACTGCAGTGGTGTTCAAGGTCCGGGCATTGCACTGAGAGATGCCCAGGGGTGGATCGGCATTTATTGCGGGTTCTTGCTATTGCGTCGATGCCCAAACCATTTGAGGGGTATCCGAGGCAGGGACTTGGGGAAGAACAAACTTCCAAAATGCCCCCATTCAAATGATCTATTCCTCCAATGGCGTATATCTGTCCTGCCGTTTCTCCACTGGTCGGTGTTGTGGTGTCCTTAGTGTTCTGATGATCTTTCGGAGTTTGTCCGATCGTTGACCCCACAAAATGTTGAAGATTCCCCAGACTGGCACAAGCTCCCGACGTCATCGTCATACAACAGTAATGCCTCTTTTCGATTTGATGAATAACTTGCCCTGTATAAGACTGTCACTAGAGCCTTGTCAAGAAATACTTCTGTCAGTCGCTTGTTGCATATAATGGCGTCAACACTCAAATCCCAAAGCGAGTTGCACGAACCAAATCATATGTTCACATGCCGTCGCATAGAGTAGCTAATGGCGTAACACACACCTATACTACCATCTGGCCTAATTTTGTGTTGCGCAACGACGATATGCCTGCATCGTCAAATGCAGGAAAATCATTTGCTAATCCAGAAGGGGCGGAAAAGGTCTCCAATCTTCCTTAAATATCTCAAGACTCCGCGAACAGACGGGTTTCACTATTTAATCAATCTGCTCGAAAGTATTCTCCGCCAACATATACCTTGATGCCGGCCCCATTCTGGAAAAGCTCGATCAGCTGCGTGTTCAAGTCCGTTATTTGCGTGAGACCCTAAATCATGGCTAATCGAGAAAATGTTCGAGGAATGGGCTGACACGGCGCTCTGGCTATCAGTTATCCGTTCTTTGGAGCCTGCTTCAATGAATGGCGAGTTTATGAATCGGTATAAGGGAACATCTCAAACCAAGAAAGCCAAACTCCGAATCCACATTCCATGACCGGCGCCCTTTTCTACTTGAATGATGGCGAGTCTATTTTGTGACACATTGCCCAATGCTATTTACAGCTTCATAGATTGATGCGCTTCACTGGCGTTCTATATATTCGCGCTCAGTGATACTTGCTGTTCTTTTCACAACCTGATCCGGAGAAAAAAGAAACATATCCTTGGGTTGCACTCTCGTTGACTGGCCGTCTGTAAAAACCATATTAAACTGTGTTTCCATACCTCAATAACTCAAACTACATATTTGTCCTCAATATATTTGCAACAATCAGCGAAGTCAAATAGACAATCTAGATGAACCCGGGCCATGCCACGGTAGTAATTTTCATATTTAGATTCCAATTCGAGAATGCTAGGGTCGCCAAAACTAGCGCCAAAAACATTGACATAACTGACCATTGCTCCGGGCTCATATGCAACGCGACCCTAGTTTCTATTGGGTAATGTCTAAGACTTGGGGCTCCGCGCTAGCTAGAATCGACCGCACAGCGATCATCCAACAAAAGAGGGTAGTGGAATCGAGGACAGGCACCATATACATACCGTCCTCGCGTTTCAGCCCACGCTCTATGCCGACTTTAAATCACGGCTTCTAACGCCCCTTCTAAGGCGGGGTCTTCAATTTTCACATTTCGATAGCCTTGGCGAACGAGTTCAATAAGCGTATGCCCTTCCTAGGTCTATTCACCCTCTTTATCTACCAGGCCAGCCAGACAGCCTGGTCGAGCTTTTCAATGGCTCGTGCCCAGTCCTTATCGGATGTGGTAGCATAAGTAGTGCGATAAATGGCCCAGTCACACGGCCAGCCATCCATCTGACGAAGGCATTGAGACTTTACAGATTCCGGGGCGGTTTTCCACTCTGGCTTTTCTTTTTGTCGGTTTATTCGCTGGCTGAGGGTTTCCTCGGGTGAAAACTCGGAGGGCGATCGCCATGGTGTAGACCATGGTTCGTGATGAAAGGTGCTAGGCTGACGTGGATCAGTCATGGTTCTCACAGTGCTTTTGCAAGTAGGTGTAGTTGGATGGGAATCTCCAGGGGGCTTGGATACGAGATTGATAACGGAGAGTGATTTCATGGATCCCGGATGCCAACCCCATATAAGCCGACTTCTCAGAGGAAAAACGGAAGGTTGCCTGTCGTGCACCGACAAGACATTGGTCACACGTTCAAAAGCCCGGGACGTGGGTCTGCTATCGGCTTTGAAATCGCATCACGTAGTGATCCACGCTGAAGCTTCAAACAAAGAGGTGATTGGGTTTCATGCCCCTCTGTGGGGATATGCGATTGGAAGGGCAGCGTGATAGGCCAATCAGCCTGATCGAGAGCTTCATCTGATTATTGATTTGGAGACTACTTGATCTAGAATGCCTGCTTCACTCGTACTTTCTCTTTTTTGACTTGCTATTCATGTTCAGTAAACTGTAAACATGAACAATTTCCTGGTCTATGGACGCAACACGGCTCCGTCTTTGGCCGTTTGTCGGTGGCGTCGCATGCCCATGACAATTTCACACAATAAGTCATTCTAAATAGGTTAACACGAATACTTGTAACAGTTGAAAGGACCAGGATCGGAAAAAGGATTGTTAGCGCTTACGTGTGTACTCGTATAGTGGATGTAAAGCGGAGGTAGCGGAGAGCTTCATATCTCCGACCTTGTTCACCGCACATAAATACCTCGGTCCCTCTGTCTCGACTACTTTACGATGTCGCCCTGCATTGCTTTTATACCTCCTGGAAAGAACTTACCTCGCCACAGCCTCACACTCTCATACCCTCCTTCTCCAAGCCAATATGCCACTGACAATCCACCACCTCGGCCGCTCGCAATCCGAGCGCATCGTCTGGCTCGCCGAAGAGCTCGGAATCAAATACGACTACGTCTTCCACAAACGCGATCCCATCTTCTCCCCTCAATCAATCAAAGACCTCCACCCGTCCGGCACCGCCCCAGTCATTGAAGATGACAGCTCCCCATTCACCAAGAACAAGGTCGTGCTCGCCGAATCTGGCGCTATCATCGACTACATTATCGCCGCGTACGGAGAGGGTCGCTTAGGGCGCACACCCAAGGACGGCGAAGAATACGTCCAGTTCCTGCAATGGTACCACTGGGCCAATGCTTCGTTCCAGCCAACCATGTTCCGCGTGCTGATTACACGACGCTTGAGCAACGACCCGGAAGCAGTTCATGTCAAGATGGCTAATGCCAAGTACGAGCTTGCGCTGTCGATGGTTGAGACGCGGCTCGGTGAAACCGGGGCTTATTTGGCGGGAAATGACATCACCGCCGCGGATATTATGGCTGTTTGCACTTTGACGACGATGAGAGGTTTCAGTCCAGTCGAGTTCGATACGGAGAAGCATAAACATATTCTAGCTTATCTTAAGCGCATTGGTGATCGCCCTGCGTATCAGAAGGCTATGAAAATTTGTGAGGGTGATGATTTCGTGCCTATCCTCGGCCCGAAGCCGCAGCAGTTTATCTTCCCTTACTAAAGGAGTTGAACTTTGGAACATGAAGAAACGATCGGTTCTATATTAGTATAATATATAGTGAATCACAACTCATAGAAATTATAAATGCTTGGAACTCCATATACAAATGAAAGGAGCGGATAATCCAATTCTCCGCTCCGTACACATTAACAAACGGTAATGTATATCCACAAACCTCGTCAACACTCTCACCCAAATCGGCCAAAGAACAAAAAAGGTCGTCCTAGAGGCAGGTAATCACGCTCTAACCAGCTTCCACCATGGCGCCACCGGCCGACCGCGTCGCTAGCATCATGCTGTTGTGGCACTCGCTCAAGCTCGTCTCCTGCACCACCCTGCAGACCTTGTGGGCAGGTTACGGACAAATCTGTGCCATTACTGCCAAGGCCTCCACCGAGGAAGCAGCAAAGCATATGGACAAGCTTTGCGGGATGGAAAAGGAGCTGCTGGGTCAACTTATCCTCTCATCCTTAAGCTCATCTCGCCCCCAAACAAAAGCGGCGGCAAACAAGATGAAGGACACCTTCGAAAAATGATGAGCTACGAGGTGGAGCAGCATTTCTACAGCCATTTGGTCCCACTGCTGGACGAAGATGTTGGTGTTGCCAAATGTCTTGCCTCGACTAGGGGCATGGACGGCCAGGAGGGTGAGCAAGAACTTAAAGGTCTTATGGCCACCATCATGGTCGATTTGCGTGAAAATTTTCCAATCGCAGGCGAGAAGCGGAGTTTGCTGGACAGCACACAAGTCCATGGGGCAATAGACTGGCTAGCCCGCTTCCATGGTCGTACACGGGATCTGCTACAAAAAGGCCTTGACATTGGTAAACACGTTTTGCCACCCTTTGAAGAATCAATAAAAAGACAAAGCGAAGCCAATGATATTGGCAACGGGCTGTGGCTTAACGGAGGGTACACCTACCTTGCGACACGGCGCAAAGAGTACGATTTTCTTGTCGAGGCCACCGACTCAGAGTGGTCAGAAGCGCTGTGCGAACCTTTCGAAGGATCATCACTATCTGTGGCTGAGATGGCTGCGTCGTTCTTAACACCATCTGGAAGGCCGATTGAGTCGTACATTCACGGCGACGTCAAGTCAGAGAATCTCTTCACAAACCTTACTAGAGATAAGGTCGCGTTCTTCGACTTTCAGTATGTTGGGCTGGGCCTCGGTGTCTGTGACCTCGCCAAACTGTTTACATGCTCGGTTCCTCTGCATATGCTGGTTGATGATATTGAATATGTGCCAGAGGAGCTGTTAATGTGTGATGGCGAGAGGCGGCTGCTCGAGTATTACCGTAAGAGACTCATCCCGGATGGCGAGACGGATGCATATGATTGGCATTCATTCACACGACACTGGGAGACGGCCCTTGTGGATTGGTGCAGGTTTCAGGCCTCGTGGGGCTTCTGGGGAAACACTGAGTGGCTTGAGGCCCGTGTAAGATCGATCTTGCATGACGAGGAGTGGCGAATCTGGATTCATCAGAATGTCAGCAGTGAGAATAATAGACGATAAAGTGCTAGCACTGAGCCTCCAGCCGGATGCTTTCGATTCTTAGAAATTCGATCCCCACTAGTGAGGTGGGGCGTCCCAGGCATAGAGATGCCCAGTGACGTCCTAGAAAATCAATTGCTCAGTATGCAGGAACCCTTCCTAGCATCTGTGTCATCTGACGATCATCGGCCCTAGAGTGAAGAATGGATGAAGTATAGCCGGTGTAGATCGTGACCAAAAGATATGATCCACACGCTAAAACATAGAGAAAGAGTTCAAGTGGGTGCTCCAAGCTAACCACTTTACAAGGTGCTTCAATTCAGAATATCTCTACTTGTCAAGTTCTCTCTTTCCCTTTCATCCCAATTTTGGTGCGACGCTATGCCTTTTATCCAGTTCTCCACTTTGGCTCGATTAGGTAATGGTAGCCCGAGAATATAATCATAGCTCTTTCCTATTAGCCTAACTTGTGACTCTTAACACCATGTATAGAACCAGCTCACTTGCATTTCTTATTTCTCTCTTAGGAAATGAAAATGGCACATGTGGCGGTGGATTGATCGTTAGTCATCTGGCTTCATCCCCCACCTAGAGGCTTCCGGACAAAACTTCCGGCCACTTAGATCGAATCACCGTTCAAAGATCCTGCATATCTTCAGTTGTCCCATTTGAAGTTCTTTTCTTTTCCCAAAATCCCCCTCAATGGATACCTTTTTGGTCTAAGTCGCTTGGAAATGGACAAGCCACTACGGTCATTGGCTCCTCATCCGGCAGGACCCAGCCAGAAGCCAGAGATGAAGGTACCGAAGCGAGAAAACATCTCCCTCGCTTGTTCTGGCTGCAAAGCCCGCAAATCCAAGGTGCGCCGATCTTCTACTAAATCAAGGCACTTTTCTAATTATTAAATTAGTGCGATGGGGCGCAGCCTTGCCAAGCCTGTAGCAAGAGAGGCAAGGAATGTGTTTTTGATGAAACCACAGATAAAAGGCGTCGACTTATTATGAAGCGAAAAATGGATAGCCTTGAAGACGATCGCGACATGCTACTTCAACTTGTAAGCAAACTGCGCGATTCAAGCAACAGTCAGGTCATCCAACTGCTCAATCTGATTCGGAGTAATGCACTTTTGGATGAAATCAAAGATTATATGGACAAGAACATGCACGACGAGCTTGAGAAGACACCCGAATTGATGGATATCGCGAACATTATGAGAGAGGGTAGAGTTCAATCGCGGCGCAGGGTCCTGGATGTGCGACGACTCTCTGATGATCCGCTGTGGGATGTCCCCGCGAAACCCTGGACGAGTCTGACTGATGACAATGCTTTTGTGTCCCACCTGGTTTCGCTCTTCTTTACGTGGTTTCATCCATACTTAAACTTCATAGATCGTGACCGTTTCATCAAAGACATGCAGTCCGGGGATCCAGAGAATTGTCTCTACTGTTCACCTTTCCTCGTCAATGCCATCCTGGCCGATGCTTGCGTATGTTTCTATCGTTATTCGAGCAAATCTGGTTCAAACTCATGCGTCCTAGGCCTATTCAGATTATCCAGAGGCGTTCGCTCAACCAGACGACTTAACATCTAAGGGAAAGCATTTCTACGAGGAGGCTAGAATGCTTTATGAGAATGAAGATGGCAAAGTCAGGTTGACTACGATACAAGGCCTATGTATTCTCTTCTCAAGGTGCGCGAGATACCGCTTGTGGCCGGTAAGCATTCAGCTAATCATCCTACAGTTCTTGCCTGTATGGCAAAGACCGACGCGGGTGGCTTTACGTGGGACAACTAGTCTACGTAACGCAAGACCTACTCGAGGAACACGATCTAGGAACAGAGTCAATATATGCACCAGAGGTGGTGAACCTCACAGTCTGGGGCCTCTACAATATCATGGCGTTAGATGCCCCGACCCCACATACAATTTATGTTTACTGACTATGACAGGGCCAACTCTCTTGTATTTCACAAGCGAATCATGTTTCGAGCCCCAAAAAGGCCATATGGAATGCACCCGTCTCCTCAGCCCAGTCACAAGGACCTGTGGACCCCATATCCCTCTCTGGTCGGCGCCATTCCTGCCCATACAGCCCATATGGTAAAGGCCTATTCAGATTTGAGTGTTACCATATTTGAATCCTCTTCGTGGTTTTTCAAGAGGGGCAAGAATTTGGAGAATATGTCCTTTTTGGAAATGCGTGACGCGGCGGATGACTTATATGCTCGTCTCAAAGATTGGAAAGCGAACATCAACGACTGCATGAAAGAGGAGACCAACACAACACCACATGGTCTGAGTTTACAGTATGTCACTATCCCCCACCCTATTCAATATATCTGCTTACATTGGATCCAGCATGTACTGGAATAATATAATCATGAGCACCTATGGCTTTGTGCAGAAAAAGGCCTATCAGGAGAATTTAAGCCCTGAAAATTATCAGTCAGTGAAAGAAATCAGACTCACAGCGGCCAGAGAGGTCGGACGACTGATAGAGGTACACCGATCCTTATGGGGGAGCGACCGAATCCCAGCGGCAAACATGCAATCATGCTCAATGGCAGAGAACACTCTTCTCGAGGATCTCGACAACCCCGCAAGCCGAAAGGCTTTCATCGATCTCTGCGTTGTTTCCAAGGCTGCTGCACGTCTCTGGCCTTTAGGAAAGGCAATGCTGCGTGCTCTCCAGGTAGCAGCGAAAGAGTTGGCAGTCACTCTCCCCGCTGAAACAGACGCCTTGTTCTCGGATATCGAGAGCAATTGGTCCCCCAGAGAAACAAAGGATATTAGCAGTAAATATCCAAACTTTGCGATTTATCTTAAGTCGAAGAACAGCAATGAAGCGGAACTTGACACGTTTTTGGAGAAGTGGGACGCTTTGCAAATCGACGTCTTGGGCCCATAGCTTAGCGTTCGCTTCAACCTTTCTCAGTAACTCCTCCTATCCGTAGATTCTAGGTTCGGTTCAATCTTATATGTTACTATTGGCGTGTTTGTGGGTTTGATGGTGGTTAAACGCATATTGATCAGATGTAGTTTGGCACCCAGTCCCTTCTCTCTCTTCTTGTTGACGTTTGGCACTTAAACTCTTAAGATTTCTGTCCTGTGATTGTTGAACATGCGGCCAGGCACCACAAGAGATTAAATTATGCGAAAGAGGTATAAAGCCTCAATGACGGCCTAAGACATGAACGTATCAAGCTCCGGTGGGTATCGCATACAAAACCCACCCAACGGACAAGGAAAAGCCGCTACGCTACACGAGCCCTTCCTGCATTCTACGAAACGGTTTCTTCTGCTCCTTGTATTGCATGTCCCCATATTCCTCGATCATTCGTTTTCGGTGTCTCCAGAATGTCAAGCCCGTATTCTTGGCAATTCCAGTCCCGAATGTCATTTCGAATGGGGATTGACTGGCGATAGTGCTGATGAAGCTGACTTTGGCGACCTCGGACTCACAGATATAAAGCAACTCCAATGCTTTAGTTCCCGGCTTTGGGCTGTAATGGCAGAAAATGGGGAGGAAAAGGAGCTGCCGGCGGTCCTATTCACATCGGTGAACAATAAATTGGATTACGTGGATATATGGACTAAGACAACTGCTGCACTCTACCATTTGTTAACTAGTGCGTGGAGACTGACGAATGTGACCTTTGAACTCCTTGCAAAGGTCATTATATCTATTTTGGAAATGTTTGAATGAGACTTAGATATATGTAACAATGTATGATTGATCTCAAAAAAGTAAATACAAGTATGAGAAAAACAATGTGGTTCCTACTCCAGATAAACTCCAGGGAGTAAAGCCACGAGTCGGCGAATGTTCCTGCATAGGCTGCGCCACCGTCCCGTAGATAATATGATACCCCACTCGATCTGTTGTAAACCAAGGCACCGATGTTGTATCGTTGCAGACATGTGTTAGGGCGTTGAAGCATCCTTCCCTTTCCCTGTGAACTCGTAGCTTTTCCCTGACAAGGATTATATTAGTGAAATGTGCTTGGTAGACACTATTGGATTTCGTCAGACATACATATCTTGGTGTGATCCTTTCATCTAACACAACTTTTGGGCAGGGTAATCGGCTTGCATCGCAGAAACACCAAGATGGCCTCGCCATGTTCCTCCATGGCTCATTGTCATGCAGAGCGCCGAGGTGCTTCCCAGGTCTTCCCATGCGTCGTCAAGAGCAGAAACGATTGTCTTGATTTCAGCAGTGGTATCACAGTTGCGCCCGGAGGCGTAGTAGTAATAGTTATAGTCCTTTCCGTTAGCGTCCGTCAGGCGGCCTGTAATGTGATCACAGCTTTTGGCTGCACTTTTCTGATAGATCTCGGTCGCAATTCCAATGATAACTGCCTGGGACTTGTTGGGATCACTGAACTTAGTGCTTCCTGACTTCTTGTTACTCTCGGAGATGGAGATTGCAGTTCTTTTCACAAGTCCAATCTCATTTCTCTTCGCGATGCTTCTTGTCTCGAGCTCAGGAAACCCAGGGTTGCTTCTTTTTGCGCCTTTGTGATGGTCGGAGCAAGCGTTTTTTGGGTCCTGTCCTGAGGCATCGGTGGCGAGACCAATCACTCCGTGCCATGTGCCGTGGTGATCAAAATCAAGGCACACTGCAGAGGCACGCTCAGAATGTAATTCATCGAATGCATCTGAGAGAGCGTTGGTGATGGTCTTTGCTCGCTGAGTGCTGTCGCAATTGCTCCCTGTTGTGTATGAATACGTATAATATTTATACCCAACTCCATTTATAGTGACGGAGGTTATCAGTGACTTGCCACAAATCTTGTCCGCGTCCGGCTGGTTACTAAGCCAACTAAAGTAGTTGCCAACAGCTCCAGTAATCACAAGGCCGAGTGTACCACCCGCTCCAATGACCGCAGCAGCGCCTGCACTGGGCCATTTGTGAACGACTGTATACTGGTCGCTTGTCCGGACAGCTAGCTCCCCGTGCTCACTCTCACTGCTTTGGTCCAAGGTCTCCTTTGTTTCGACCGCAAGTGCTGAGCATAACCCTTGGATAGCTAGCAGGGAAACGAGGACGGATCCAAGGTGATCTGAGATGCTCTTGAACATTATTGAGATATTGAGAGCACTCTCGTGGCTCCGTGGTTTGAATAGTATCTATGTCTAGTCAGCAATATCCAATAGGAGTAAGGCAGAACGGTTCTACCACACATACTGGTATACTGGTAAGAATATGGATGGAAATGCCACAAAAGAACAGAGAAAGAAGATAAACACAAAGATGATCCAATTCTTTGGTGCCTCTGATACAGCTCTCGATTTGTTCGAGGGTGGTGCCCTTTTATATGCTCGTGACTATGTTAGTTATCTGTAAATGTCAAGTAAATGCCTCAATTTCATAGCACTATTCACATATCCATGTTAGATCCCATAAATAAACGGATCTCTATTCGGCCGAGGAATAGCCCCCAAGTCGCGCGATTGTGGGCCGAAGGGGAAATTTATTGTTCACTCTTCAGCAATTGGGGGCGAGAGACGAACAAGGTCAGTGTCTATCGCCTGGTCCCCTTCTGGAAATACTGGAAGCAGGACTGTAGAGCACCTGTTCTTCCTGTGCTTCATCCCAGCCTGGGTGTGAAAGCAAGTCTAACGTCCGAAGTTTCGTCGTTGCTCTGAAGCCTCCAGTTCGTTAATGAGAACTGAATACACGTAAAGAGAAGGCCCCGAAAGTGGATACGGAGGCGCAGTGGGGCGGCGTGCTCTGAGAATCAGAGGCAGCTTAGTGGGGGCGAGGCTTGCATTTGCAAGGGTTGGACTAACGTTGGTTTAGGAACTAACGTTGGTTTAGGGACTAACGTTAGTTGATCACAATCGGTATTATCAGGCTTCTACAAGATATCAGACTTTTCTGATATACGTCTCAACTCTATGTAACTCGAGATTTAACCTCAAGACTAGTAATTCCAATTCTTAATTTAACAACAACACTTTAACGCGCGCTCCATTCTCCTTTCCGCGGCGTCTTCTAGTGGGAATTTTTCGCCCGTAAGAATAGGGGCTAAATCAGTAGAAACGATTAATCCAAGGCAGAGTAAGCCTTGCGGACCTGCTTTGTATTAGAATCATTGTTCCTATCACTACCCGTGTACCCATATAGGAAAACGGGGTTTCATCAACTATTCCATACTGGGTATAGATGAGGAACCACCGGATCTACATACGTCTTTTTCCAGTCTTATTATTGGCCAGCCAGGGAAGCCGGTCCCACTCATGGCTTTTCCGGTTTCTTCAGCCACTTGGGTACCATTTATACCTGAGACAGCTTGGGGCCAAAAGGCGTCGATGTATCGTCATCATGCGATCCTTAACACTACTTACATTGGGGGCCGAAAGAAAGATTTCCGATTTTCCGAGTCAACGCGATGCCCACGGAGGGCAACATGTGAGCGTACAGGCTCTTGATTCTACTCCGTCTGCTTCTTCGGGGAGGATGGCACGATTACTTCTCTATGGGGCTAAATATCTGTATCAGTTTACCACGTGCCCATTCAGGATTGGAAACATAAGAAGCGGACTGAGTTCACTGGGACATTCGCTGTTCTCTTCAGTTCTCTCGCCTGCTCAAAATGGGGTTGTCATCACCAGCCTGCCGTTCTCGTCAGCAAACAATGGCAGAAATCACCAAGCGCGCATTAGGAGAAACCTGCTGTAGCCTCGAATATAATTCAATTGACTAAAGAATAAGCCTAGAATGTATCGCGCGGTCCGAAAGTCGATGTGATCAGTGTTTCTGCTCTCTTTATATTCCTATAGTCCGCCACATTTTCTGGGGACATTCCCTGTGCTCCACAGCTAGGCGCCGAGGCCGATGGTTATCGGTTTAAGGTTATCCCTAGGCTGCAGGTATGGTGCAACAGAGACTACGGGCATCTGACTACTTTTCTAAGGAACCTCCACGGGTGGCTGCATTGACTGGTGGTGAGGCAATTATCGAGTGGCGCCCGGTTCCGCAGACCTCATCTAGCGTTAACGTTCCTCCAACGTCGTCCTCTCATGTCCTGATTGACCCAGCTTTACCTGCAATGGTCGCACACAGTGAACAATGCAGAATATAGACATTTCAAGTCTGGTGGTTGGCAATCCCCTCCCCTCATTTTCGATCCTGACTACATCCCCCCTCAGCCACATTTAAAAGGTCGAACAACTCAAAGCAGCGAGTGGATCCGGAAATATTCATCAAGTCCAGAAACTATCAAAATCAGACAAGATATTTGCGGATGACTTGATATTCTCAGACTGCTTTTCAAATACGGAGGATCTATCCAGTACGGACAGCTGTTGGATTACACCGTATGGAAGGATGTTGCCGACTATCTTGAGGTCTTAGTCTTCATCCTCGATAAACATCCGCCTATCAACCAACTGAAGTTCGCAAATCATGCCACTTCTTACAAGCTACAAATTTGCCTTGGGGATTGGAACCCGTCTTCACGTGGCTTTGGAACTGAATTGGATGTGGTTGATGCTTCCTTTGCCAGGGGAGCCGATCTCTTCTTCAAGATGTAAAGGGTGAATCAGCGATTGACAAGGCTACGCACTGATCGTCTGGGATTCGGGATGCCGTTGTCAGTCAATCTGAAAATTGGTAGTAGCTGAAGAAGTGGCTTCTTAATAAAGGTGTTTGCGCCAACGTTTCCCATGTTGTAGATGTATGATTTTGCACCAGCGATGGAAATGCATCTGATTAGAATTCTTTGTTAATATGGTAAATGTTTCAAGCTTATCAATACCACACGACTCTTATCAGCCTATCTATCCAAGTGGGTTGAATTCATTGTAGACGAGGTCGCGGATCCGTTATATGACAGGGAAGCACTAACCGAATGTAGTAAAAAGATCCCCTCCACCATACAAAGTGTACTTTTTTTTTTGCTGCATCAATAGCAGATAGAATATGGGCTTGTGAGTTTTTACTAGGAGAAGATGCGTATTGAATGAAGCAGCTCGATAAATATCGATGGTTCGCCTTCAGAGACCACCGCGATTTGGAGCTCCGCCATAGTCTACGGCCTTTATCTGAAGCTTCAGGGTTCCCCTCACCACATCTTGATGCCCCTCATTCTTGCGGCTTACGATCCGATCTCTCCTGGACTGCCTAGTCTGTACATTAGATCCGAGTTCGAAGGTTGCTTCTTCGAAGCGCATCCCCTCATTGGAGGTGGCAGACAGACCCTGAGAACTGTACAGTATAAAGGCAGCCCTCTGCTCAAATACAATCCACAATATTGTTTTTACACTACTTCAACCTTCAGTACTATTGGTTTGGAACAATTGTCCGAAACCTCCAATCATGGCAGTTCCCTTCACCTACCACGCTAAGGCGCAATCCACCTTTAAGCCTCCACTTATCGCCAATGAGAACGCCTTCTTGGGCGACGTGCAATCTAGGTACTCATTTAATCTGGTGTCTAATCATGATAGATATTGTCACTAACCCCCCGCAGCGAGAAAGAAAACCCGGACAAGCCCATGTCCTGTGGTTTCTACCGTCTGGAAAAGGGCACCCCCTTGGTTTACACATACACCTACGACGAAATGAAGATTATTGTCGAGGGCAAGTTTGAGATTTCCGATGAGACAGGACAGAAAGTTACAGCGACTCCTGGGGATGTGTTCTATTTCCCCAAGGGAGCCACAATCACATTCACGACAGAGGACTATGGGTTGGCGTTCTATGTGGGTACATCCTCAGCTAGGAAGGGCGACGCTAACGAAAGCAGACTGGACAACGGAAGCAGGGAGCGGCCTGAACATATAGTCCACCAGTCGATAGTTCCATAGTCCCCAACAAGATATTAACAATTATCGGGGTCTCCGTGCCTGAATCCATGGTTTTCTCAGCTTTGTTTTTCCACTAGTCCCAATACGGTAGTATGCTTATCCCCCCTTTCCCCAAGTATGAGTGGACGGGGGGACAATTATTGAAATAATCCCCGATGCATACATGCAAATGTGCGACATCCACTAGTCCCTTCAAATCACTATTATAGCCGAGCATGCCCACCACTCAAGGTTCATAGCCCCATAAGGAGGGGCAGGGATATCAAATTAACCCGCGTTAGGGCCTTTGGAGGCCGATCTGGGAAGAATAGGGCGAGAATAGCGATCGAAAGTGGACCAAGTTCAGCTCGCCTCGATAAACTCATCCACTCTGGTGGGTTTGACACTATAAAACCAGGCGGGATAGCACAGCCTGTATGACGTGGGGGGAGTTGCTAGGGCAACATTCAGGCTTCAGGAAGGGGGGATCGGACAGGGTGGATTGTAGAAAGTGAGAAATCAAGATCACATCGATCGTGGGTGGAGTGATCGACTGGAATAATAAACAACTTTCTTTTTCCGGAACAAAGACCTTTTGTCTTCTTCTGCTTATTGTTCCTTAGTGCCTGCCAAACGCTTATCGGCCCAACGCAACCCCTCTTCAACAACCATCATGGCCATCGGTTCAGAGGATGGGCTTCGTCTCCCGAATCCGCCCCCATTGTTGCACACTCGTCATGAAACGTTCGACCGTCCTTCGACCCCCGCCGAGCATGGCTTCACCAGTCCGCCACAGACTCCCCAGGGAAGTCCCAGCAAGAGTCGGTTGCCTCCTGGCGCACTCGACCTGCCCAATGTCTTCGATAAGGCCATGAAGTTGACGCCTACATCACCCTCCAAGTCAACCTACAACCACTACAATCATCCCATGTTCTCCGGAAAGGGGGAGGACTTCAACGAGAGCGTCATCCACCAAGCCCCCTCCAGCCCGACGCGCAGAGCAAACAAGGAGAACACACCCCCAAACCCAGCGCGCCTGACCAAGGACTTGGGCACCGCTCCAGCAGCAGCAGCCCTGTCGCGCCAAGAACCATATCAACAACGCGATGCCGAGACAACAAGACGCCAGGTGCAGATGCGCGGGCTGACACCAGAGGAAATCGAGAAATTGGCCCAACCCCGCGTCAAGCGTCTGGTCAATGTGACCCAACTCTGTAAGTCCAACTCAAGACCAGCTCCTATACCCAAAGCTAACAGGCAGCAGATTTCCTGGACCACTACTTCGACCTCCTCAGCTACGTCCACAACCGGCAAACCCGCCACACCCAATTCAAAGCCGCATACCCCGATCCTCCCGCAACCCCCGAAGAAGAGCACGAGCCCGCCCTCCTAAAATACCTCGGTCGCGAACGCGCCCATCTCCGGAAGCGTCGTACCCGTCTTCGCCAGGGTGATTTCCAGATTCTGACTCAGGTCGGTCAGGGTGGTTATGGACAAGTGTATCTGGCGCAGAAGAAGGATACGCGCGAGGTATGCGCGTTGAAGGTTATGAGCAAGAAGCTGCTGTTCAAACTCGATGAGATCCGTCATATTCTCACCGAGCGCGATATTCTCACAGCTGCGAAGAGCGAATGGCTTGTCAAGTTGCTCTATGCCTTCCAGGATGATACCCAGATCTATTTGGCGATGGAGTATGTCCCCGGTGGTGATTTCCGCACATTGCTGAACAACACTGGTGTTTTGCATAACCGACATGCTCGTTTCTACATTGCCGAGATGTTTAGTTGCATTGATGCGCTGCATGTGCTGGGTTACATTCATCGAGACTTGAAGCCGGAGAATTTCCTGATTGATTCAACGGGACACGTCAAGCTGACTGATTTCGGTTTGGCGGCTGGTATGCTGAGCCCTGGCAAAATTGAGTCGATGCGCGTTAAGCTTGAGGAGGTTGGCAACACGCCTGTTCCTTTCGGTCGACCTATGGAGCAGCGTACAATGGCTGAGCGCCGGCAAGGTTACCAGTCTCTGCGCCAACGCGAGGTCAACTATGCCAAGTCGATTGTCGGTTCACCTGATTACATGGCGCCCGAGGTTCTCAAGGGCGACCAATATGATTTCACTGTTGACTATTGGAGTCTGGGCTGTATGCTCTTCGAGGCGTTGGCCGGATACCCGCCTTTCGCAGGAGCAACAGTCGAGGAAACCTGGCAGAACCTGAAGCGCTGGCAGAAGGTGCTGCGCAAGCCTGTCTACGAAGACCCGAACTACTTCCTTTCACGACGGACATGGGACCTGATTACGAAGTTGGTTGCCGGCAAAGAAACACGATTTAAAAATATCAAGGAGATCCACGCACACGATTACTTCACCGAAGTCGACTTTGAGAACTTGCGTGAACAGCGCGCGCCTTTCGTTCCTGAGTTGGATTCCGAGACCGATGCTGGCTACTTTGATGACTTCAGCAGCGAGGCTGATATGGCCAAGTATAAGGAAGTGCATGATAAGCAGCGCGCATTGGAGGATATGGCTGATCGCGAGGACAAAATGGGCAAGGGCTTATTTGTTGGGTTTACGTTCCGGTATGTTATATCTTCTCCGTCATACCCGTGGGACAGTCTGCTAACATATTCTAGTCACCGCAAACCGGCTGTCGACAGTGGAGGCCGCAGCTCTCCCCGCAAACCGATCGCGACGGACGGCACATTCGGGACGATGTTCTAGCTTTGACCTCTACTCAGCCTCTTTTTCTTCTACGTTCCGCTGGTGCGTGACTCCGAGCTGGATCTTGGTTTCCTTATGCCCCATGTCCCAGTATTGAGTTTAATGGCGCACTTCTATCTGCTATCTTCCATCCTGCTGTTACATTACTTCCAACGCGATACGTCTTTCTCTTTCTCGCCTTCTCTTGTTCTAGTTCTATTGTCCAGGTCGGAGGTTCCAATTCGATTCTTGTATGATACATACTTAGACCGGCAGTTTGTGTCTCCTGTCGGTTGTTGGTTGCTTGTATGGATATGGAGTTATGACATTGATCTTGCGCGCGTGTTGAGTAGCATGTAGGCTGTAGCTCGTAGATCCCACCACGATAATTGCGATGATGTCTCTAGTAGGTAGGAAGCTGGCGCACCATACGCAAAATCTCAGACTCGCCATCACCAATGACAGCACGGCCATTGACCCAGTCAACAGTCTACATCACAAGCAAATTAGCAACCCAATAATCACCCCGAGCAGAGAAGAAAGAGGGAACATACCACAGGCCGAGTGAAGCTCTCATTATCCTCCTTAAATTTCTTAAGCGCATCCTCCGCATCACGAGCTCCCTTCACCAACTCAGCAACACCATACGTAGCCTTCTCACCCTGTCCACCAACACCACTAAGGGGCGAGATGTAATCCAGGATACTGCGCAGCTGGTCGGTTGTGGGAGGGGAGGTGGTCACCTCCAGCTCGAACTCGCCACGCTGCTGCTTGGCATGGCGGGAGTGATCACTTGCTTGGTCCTCTGTGGCGGTTTCGCCGGCGGTCGAGGAGGCTTGTTTTAGGATGTTGAGGGCTCGTGTCGACGATGCCAGGCTGGGAGAGTGGAAGAGGGTGATTGGGTCCAGGGTTTTGCTCTGGTTTGTATTAGTTTTGTCTGGATTGGCTTGGTGGGGTTTAGGGGGTTAAAGCTGTTGGGTTTGGAGCTGAACGTACGAAGCGGAACATTTTTGCGGTTGGGGGTTGTAATTGGGGGTGTGTAGATGGAATGGAGGTTGAGGTGAGGTGGATGTAGCTCAGTTCCTGGATGATGTCATGTGCTCGTCGGGTCGTGTCGGGCCGACTATAGGAAGTTGCGCTCCTCCGAGAATGAGTCAATGTTTATGGGCATTGGCATTGACATTGACATTGCTAATTTATTGCTACTGGGCCATCCATGGATGATATATTGCTCATGTTTATTTTGTTTGTCCTCTGCTGATCGCCTCCTGGTGCCTTGTTGGTGCCCTTTATTACCGTTGCCTTCAAACCCCATGGAAGGACGCATTTTTACGTCTTTCTACCAAAACTAACCATAGATGACAGCTGTGCAGATGAAGGTAGCGACTTGTGATATATGGATGCTTGATCACAGGTGAGGGGAAGAGTTGCACCGCCTACTGGCTCTTCTACATAACTGTCCACGTCTATCCGTGCTTAAGCAAGGCATGATTCATCTTTGTCTCTCTGGGACCACCTACCATCTTCGTGGCATTGGCTTAGTAAATCATTCTATTGCCTGCCAGTGTTAGTTTTTACATAACAACAAAAGTTCTCGCTCTCGAATCCCTCATTTCGTCAGGTTTGCAGACCCTTTTACACATGACTATGGGTGATGTGATCTGCCCGAGCAACGATGAACTCGATCGCCTGACGAAATGGTCATTATGTCTTGACCATGCCGATAGATCCACATTCTCACAATCCGAAAGCCTTGATCTGAAGAATATGCTTGGGCAGACCACATTTTCTCGGGCAGGGACTCTATCCTCAATGCTTCTTTTTCCTCCGAGGAGCAGACATCACAAGGAGGAAAGGGTCGCCTCCTTATCAATGGGCAGTCGACCTGCAGGACATTCAAGGGGATTATACTCTTGAGCCCAGGGTACTACGCAAAGTTAACTGCTCGAAGCTCAGTGAATATCGAATTGCCGAAAGTCATGTCTTGAATCGATGCTGTTCCCTCAGCGAAGACAAAACATAGGAAGCACATCGAAAGCTGGCTCGAGAATATGGAATAACAAATGTTCTTCCTCTCGTATATATCCCCACATTTTCCTGAATAACTCACGATTAAAGTTTATCAGCAGCCTTGGCAAGCTCCATGGTGGCAATTGGTAATCCTGCAGCGTTCAGAATATTTCTACTCTTTCCCTCTGGCCTAACAGGTGGGAGCGTCATGTAAAAGCCCTCTGCAGAGTGCGAGCGTGTCTGTGTCATGAGGCGCAGAAGCTAGTGCCATGCCGGATACCTCCTTCGTGACCAAGGGTCCGGAAGGGCTGATTGGAGGCTATCAAGGAGACAACGTTGCTATCAAAGTGGCCATGGGTATTCTGGTGGCAATAGTTCTCTATAATGCCGTCGAACTCAGCGTGCTTATCTTCCTGACTTTTCGTCGCTATCACGGACTCTACTTTTGGTCTCTCACGCTATCTACCACTTTGGGGCTTATTCCCAGTGGCCTGGGCAACCTGTTGCATTTCTTCAATATCGGTCCTCTATGGCTGTCGCTGAGCCTCTCAAACTTCGGATTCTACTTTATGATCCCTGGACAGTCCTTTGTGCTCTACTCCCGACTCCACTTGGTTCTTTACAACCAACAAGTCCTACGATTCATCCTTTGCGTGATTATCGTTAACACCCTGCTCATCGCCGTTCCCACATCTGTCACCACTTTCGGAACTGCATTCGTGAGAACACACGCCTGGAACAATGCTTATACAGTCGTGGAGCGGTTGCAGGTGACCTGGTTTTGCGTTCAAGAATTCCTGATATCTTTCCTCTACATTCATGAGACCGCCAAACTATTGCAGCTAAGCCCAAACGACACTCGCCGGAAGACCATCATGTACGAACTGATTGCTATAAACATCCTCATCATCCTCATGGACGTTGCTATTGTGACGGTCGAGTTCCTTGGTCTCTACTACCTACAGGTCCTTTTAAAAGCCGCTATCTACAGCATCAAGCTCAAGCTCGAGTTTGCTGTCCTTGGGAGATTGACGGCGATCGTGGATACGTCTCGCCCGAACTTTTCAGGGAGCGGTAGTGACTACTTTCTAGGCCAGGCCTACCCAGCACCACAGAATGCAATTGAATCGTCCACAGAAACCTCACAGGGAGACAGAGCAACTCTTTCGCCTACCCACACCCGCAGGTAAGTGGAAGTTCCGTCAAGCACCTGAGCTTCTATTAAGCTGAGGAATCTAGGAAAATCAAGCAGCCCATGTCCAACATCAATGCGTGATTATCGGAGCCCTTTTTCCTGGGTTAACAGCTCTACGGCGCTTGCGGTCTTTGTTTCAGGCTGTGTTCTCAGGTTACGGTGCGGAAGCAAAGTTTCGAGGCGTTCCTGTCGGGCGTGGGCAATAGATGACAACTCGACGCATATCATCTACAGACTATCACTCAACGAGGTTCCTTCCCTGGGACTTGGATCATGGCACAAGATCCCAATTCTCCTCTTGATCCGAGAAGAAAAGCCTTTCCGCCTACTATAGAGAATATGGCGATATAGTTTCCTCTCTAGTGCCTATACTCCCTTCTATAAACACGGCACGTAAAATCGCCTACGAGGAGGATCTTATCAGTTCGTTTAGTATACGCTACTAAACAATAGTAGATATCGAACTATATACGAGCTATATCAACTATGTAAAAATATGTTTGTCAAATCCACTAAGATTATTCCAAGCTTCCTTAATGGTAAACGTTGAGCACCACCTAGTAAGGCCTATGATTGTTTGCAATTTAACCTATGGAAAGGCTAGTGTAATCCACTACCCCGGTTTCTTATGTCTCATTTTCATATCCTGCTCAAGCCTGAATCCGCCTTATGTTTACCACTTTCTATACTGAGGCTATACGAGTACGATCTACGGCCGTAAGTGCAGATCGGAGGGAGCGAGAACGTAAAAGCCGAAGCGATTTACTCTACGGGTATTTCCGCACCGTCTAGGCGCTATTGCGGACCCCCAGAGCGCGTCGATCGGTCTTAATTTATCCGCCACATTTTCCCCACGTACTTCCCGACCGGAATTCTCTCTATGCTGGGATTAAGTTATAATCCCTTGTTTTTACTTCTTTCTCTTTTATTTTGTTTTTTATTTCTCTATTTCTTTCTTACATTAGCCATTGCGGAGTTCAATATAGAAACATGGGACAAGGTAGCTGCATAATAACTGGCATTTCCGTAGTTAGCCATTGTTTTGTGTTTTTCATTTCCCTGAATCTTTCTCTCTGTGTATTCCGTCAATTTGAGTCATGCTACATATACAAGAAGAGGATAACATTGGTAAAGTAACTTCTTCGATAGAGATACGATAGAGAAAGAAGGACGGAATCGCTGGACGCCCACCTAAATCAATATGCTTGATGCATTGGTTTTGATAGTAGATGTGAGACATCAACACCTGCATATGTATACATTTATCACAGAAGCGTTGTTTCTCAAGCAAATTCTGCCGAAACTGCGAAGAACTTATATCATGAGCCGCGGCATTGAGATTTCAGCGGATTACCACCTAAACTGATTGAATAGCAGTGATTGTCGATGATAATGAAGACAATGATTACGTGAAGGAATCTGGATTTTAGATCCTTTATGATTTAGTATCGTACATAATCTAGTTTTTCAAAGATAGTAGTATGAAGTAAATTTGGTTGTTAGAAGTCGACGATCTTCAAGCATCAATGCGAATGAATGTCTTGTATTCTCCCTCCTTCAGAACCTCGCCAGTCTCCTGGTCCACGCTGTTGGGGCCTAACAGGCGGAGCTGCCACATCGGACCCCCACTAGTACCGGGTATATGTTCCTGCTGCTGGACACCCCAGCTGGTAACATTGTGGGCACCAAGGAAAATACCATCCTGCTTGGTGCCGTCAATATAATGATAATACGCATCAATCACCTCACTCTCATCCTCAGCTAGACCCCACTGGAGTAGAGCATCCGCAGGGTTGCTGGTGATATTGATAGGCAAATATTCATTCGCGTTATCGTAGAAAACCATGGCTTCAAATCCAATTTCAATGTTACAGATGATATAGGACATTGCATCATATTGATGATTGACGATACTGACCTGGAAGCCTTTTATTAGCATTTTCTGAAGTTCCATTGGTTTGTATTGAGTCATGGGAAGCCCTACAAAACCTCTCTTTGCTTCGGGCTGACCATCCACAGTGATAGTTCGAGCCACATTACGAAATCCCTCGATAGTGCATGCACTGTCGGCGGCGGTCGTGTTCACGCATTGATCCACGATGATATTCCAGGGGCCCGCAAATCCAGAGTTGGGACCGGTCTGCTGGACATTTGGGAGGCTAGCACATCCGTACGGAACGGGGACAGGGGTGACCTCCGCCGCGTGGGCAGTCGCTAGAAGGGAGAGACCAGCGAAAAGAAACGCCATTACGGATGCTCAAACAAGAAAGAAAACGAGCTCTGGGCAAACCGCTATGAGATTGTGTTGTCTTGAAAAATGAATATCTAAAGCGCCCGATCTCCCTATTTATACGTGCACAAAAACCTGGCCAACAGCAGGAGGGAGGGGGCAGGCTTCTAACTGGGATCGCTGGAGACTCCATCTAGATACGACCCCAAATTCTTCGCCCCCAAAGTAGCCGCAAACTAATCACGCTGGGTTACATGCGCTAAAATTCGCTTGAACTATGCCTAAAACCGAGGCCTATTATAACGAGTACTAGCCCCACAGGATACTCCACACTCAGTCAAAACAATATTGCATGAGTCAGACACGGAGGGATGAGGCTGGTTTGATTAAAAGGCAAGATATTGGGTAGAACGCTAACATGAAGGTGATACTTCACCGTACGGCCACTGCCATCAAGTACTGACTATGCTTTTGATGGAACCTGCGATCCTCCCTGGCATGGCAGTTTCTTGGCTCATAATTAACCCCTAAGAGGACAGCGCATCGTGAAATGACCTATCACTGGCCTACAAGTTACCTAGTGAAATACCAATGAGTTCATTTGAAAGCCATTTCAGGCACGGTCCACTCTCCTTGTCCCCAGGGTGGCTCTATACAGTGTAATTTGGAGGTCAGGTATAGTTTCACCCTATACTACAAAATACTCAGTGAGCGGGACCCTAAGCGCTCTTACAAAGCAGTGGCACCCCAATCGGGTAAGTTGCGGCCGCAGCCTAAAATCCGGTTTCTCTCGGTGCCCTATCGATACCTTTTGCTACCGTTAACCTCGAATTTTATAGAGATCTTCTACCGCTCAGGAGGCCGTATTATTTTTTCTACTAAATCCAACAAAGATAGCAGCTATATAAACAAATCGGCGATATGTGATACAAGGTTTCTTGATCATAGGCGAGGGCCGACTATCACCGGAGCCTCACAAGCTTAGGTGCGGTATTCTCGCTGTGATTCTTCTCCTAGGAACAAATTGCATTTTCCTGGGAACTAAGCCCTAAATCCAGGGGAATAAAATTCTTTTTTATGCGATGCTAGTAATGTATCTTCGAGAAATGCCGCTATTTCACGCTTTGTGCTGATTGATCGACTCAGCTCATGTCCCCGCACCAAGAGCGAGGCGCAGTACCCAAGTCTGGACTCCGCACTCAGATTTATATTTCAGCGTGATCTGCCAAGGATAAAATATGCAGAGGAAACTGTCACCTAAGCAATACGATGTCTGGCATCGAAGTGCTTGGAGTCATCGCGAGCGCGATCCAAGTCGCAGAGCTGGGCATGAAACTGTCTGTCAGGCTCTGCACTTTTTATCGCGACATCAAAGCGGCAAATCAGACCATTCAAAATTTGTCGAGCGACGTATCGCTTACATGTGCCATCCTCCACGAGCTCGGAGAGACGCTCCAGACGGATGAGCAGAGTAAGGTTTGTTCCGACCAGGCGTTTCGTACGGTAGAAAAAGTGTTAGCGGAATGCAAGGATGTTTTCCAACAGATTGAAATAATAGCAGAGAAAGAAACTTCAAAGATTGGAAGCAACCGTCTCTCTCAGAAGCTCTCGGTTGCTATGATGAGACCCGACCTGGAAATGTTTCAAACCCATCTGGAGCGCCTTAAATCGACCATGCTACTCATGCTGAACGTTATCATGTATGCTGGCCAGATACGCCGGTTTGTTTTCCCGCACGACATCACAGTTTCGCTAGTCTCATGAGTCAATAGGAGAGCGGAAAACTCTGTCCTCGAAGATCAGCGCAAACTCATTCAAACACTAATTGACGACAAGAAGAACAATGAAACTCGATACAACAGCCTTATAAGATTGATCCGCACTTCTGTTAGCGTTAAGAGTACGCCTGAAGCCTCACATTCTAGTGATATGATTCAATCGACGAGCACGGGAGCACTCTCATTTACAGCTGCAAATATAGCCGTGCGTGCGAATGAAAAAATAACTACCTCTCGAGCAATGCACACAGAGGGAACACGCAATCAGTCAACCATTGAAGAACAAGACACGCTCAAACACGTTGGCGACTTTCAAGTCTACGGTGCTTTCGTGCGAAGGGTCCTTGAGGATATCGACCGTTGCCAACCGCTTCTTGACCCACCCCGGTACCTCAGATTCCGAAACGGAATAGTCAAAATGCACATGGAGGAGTATCCCAAATATCGGCAGACACATTCTATTGGTATCATTGATTCTTCCAAGTTCTTCAGCGATCCAATATTCGACTTTCGCGGTGGATCTCCATCGAGCTTGGTTCAAGGTGATCCAAGAGCCATGCAGCGGGATGAAACTTCAACTTCAGATTTAACAACAAATCCCTGGGGGTATTCAAGGTCTCATCACGATGATAGCGATGATAACGATGATGATTATACCTTCGACAGCGTCGCCGACGCAGCCCTTCCTATGCGGAGCGACAGTTTTGCTGCTAGAGACCCCCTCACCTTTCCCCCGGAGATTATCCCATTGGGGTATTCGACCGATTCACTTGAAAGGATCTCCGTCGATTGCGCGGTGGAGTCAAAATTTCAGTCAAACCCGCTTGTACACAATGAAAGAAACAGCCATCGAAGTGATTCCAATGTCACCGGGACCAGCGTTGAGGATGGAAGCTATACCAGGCCTGTTCGTTCCCACCGACGTCGATTGCTTGGATTATTGAAATCTGGCAATCAAGGCCCAGTATCTATCCAGTCTGAGCCTCTGGATAAAACACTGGATAGATTGGTACTAAAATGGACAACCTTGACCGTGGATGAGATACAGCGCTGAATATCCCATATGACCAAAGCAATTCTATAAACCAGGAGTAACTATTTTACCGTCTTGTTTGTTCCGCCTATGTAGATATCCATGTATTCTCCCTAGGTTGTCTGTTAATTGGGGGCTGTCCGCTACCTTTAATGCAGCATCGTGTTCTAGCACTTGTAAAATGCAGCAAGCAGCGGAATTATGAGAGCACCATGAACAATAGCGCGTTGCTCTGACACGATTAGATGATATTATTACCTAGCGCTATATTCAACCAACCCGAGGGCCGAACTCCGATCCATGCAACGCTATGTAACGTCGCGCCTTATCATGATAACAAGTCCGCTATTTATTTTACGTCCTCCCTTCCTTCCAGTCTCACAGCTTCACCAATTCCTGCAATGTGGAAAATTTGGAGTACGCTATTAGGTGTGAGCTATGCCTCTCAAACGATCTTACGCGGGCCATCAGCATCGGACTTCACCACTTTCCAAAGCCCAAATTCACCTCATTCAATACGCATCCGACAACAAAATGAGACAATCTGTGCCACAGACTCAATGCAGTATACAGGCTGGCTAGATATTGGACATAAACACCTATTCTTCTGGTACTTTGACAGCCAGAATGATCCCGTCAACGATCCATTAACACTATGGATGAACGGTGGACCCGGTGCCTCAAGTATGCTCGGCCTATTCCAGGAGATTGGTCCTTGTTTGATAAACGAGCATGGCAACGGAACCTTTCGCAATCCATGGGCCTGGAACCGAAACTCATCATTGCTTTTTGTTGATCAGCCGGCCGGCGTTGGCTTTTCTTATGTTGATGAGGGCTGCGACATCCCGCGCGATTCTAAGGAGGCGGCTGTTGATATGCATCATTTTCTTCAAATCTTCCTCTCTGAGATATTTCCTGATAAACTGTCTTCGGATGTTCACCTCTCTGGAGAGTCCTATGCTGTGAGAAATTGATTCTACATTTATTTTGGTATCCGACTAACCGACTACATAGGGCAAATACATTCCCTATCTCGGGGCTGAGATCTTGACCCAAAACGAACGATATCCTCAGGAGACCCAAGTCAATCTCAAGTCATGCCTAGTAGGCAATGGTTTCATGTCCCCTAAGGACACATTCTACGGCTACTGGGAAACCCTTTGCACCACTAACCCCGGTGTTTCAACGCCCGTATTCAATAAGACTCGGTGCGATATTATGGCGACTAATATGCCTCGGTGCATGGACGTCGCTGATACATGCATCCACAACCCCGACACTGATATTTGCAACACCGCTAGCTCTGTTTGTATGGACGGTGTGACTTCTTGGTATGAGAATGAGAGCGGGGAAGGAGGCCGCAACCGCTTTGATAGTAAGGAAAATTCTACAACATCCATTAGCCATTCTTGAAATATAACTGACACAAAGTTTCTATAGTCACAGGGTCGTGTGTAGTCGATAACTTTTGCTATAAGGAAACGGAACAAATTGAGCAATATCTTAATTCTCCGGCTGTTTGGGCTGCTCTCTCACCACCAGATGAGGTCAAGGAGTATAAAATCGAATCTGACGCCGTTATGAAAGCGTTTTGGACTACACCAGAGGGCATGACCTACTCATCTGATGCTGTGCTACTCCTCCTTTCTCGTGGAGTACATTTCTTGGCATATCAAGGAAATCTCGATTTAGCTTGTAATACGGCTGGATCCCATCGATGGGCGAATTCGCTTTCCTGGAAAGGTCAAGTTGAGTTTTCAGCGAAGTCACTGCAGCCTTGGATTTCGAAGGTGGATGGTCGCGATGAAGTGGTCGGCACGACTAAAGAAGTCCGGGTACAATTTGATGGTCATACAAAAGTCGCATCACGGTTTGCTTTGGTGACAGTTGACGGAGCGGGTCATCTAGTAAGTGCTTGCTCAATACGCGTGGAACTGGTTAGGTGCTAATTGACGTTTCCTGGCAGCTGCCCCAAGATCGCCCGGATGTCGCGTTTGATATACTGACACGGTGGATTACGGGTGCTCCCTTCGTTGGCTCTTAAGACCCTTTCGAATGCGCTACTGTGTAAATACCTTTTGTCTGAAGCAAATAGTAATTCCCAATGAACAAAAGCCGCCTACAAAAACATGTCCATAACGACGTCCTTCCTTTTTGATATCAGGATCAGACATCCGACGCGGCCGTCCAGAAACTATTCAAGAGCGTTGAGCAGGTCCATCAAAAGCAAGATTGTCCCACCCAACCAGGATTACTCAAAACAACATGCAACTTATTCGTCTGATACTCATAACACTCCAACAACCGTTTAATCTCAGGAAACCGATACCCAGCCTCGGAGGCATAATCCAACGGCGCCTTGCGCTGATAAACCCTCCCATTAACATCCGCCCCATAAAAAAGCAACAATTCAACAATCTCTACATGCCCATTAATGGTCGCCGGTATAAGCGGCGCCGTGTACCGAGTAGCAGGAAAACAAGCCCCAAACGGCGGTTCAATAGGTGACCCATACCGAACCAGGGAACGGGCAAGTTGAGTAATACCAGCCTGCGCAACTTCATAGATGGGCACGTATTTTATCTTTTCGTGTAGGTTGCGGGTTTTGGCGCCACTTGCAAGTAGCAGTTCTGCTATAGCGATGTAGTTGTTTGATGAGGGGTGCGGCCATGCTTCGCACGCTGCATGTACCGCGTCCACTAGGAATACGCCTAGGTGTTCCCTTCGCGATCTGTATATTCCGTTGGTGGTTGTTTCGATTGCTTTGCGTGCTACTTCTAGGTTCCCGTGCTGCATGGCCCAGTCTAGGGCGTCGCCCCAGTTGTGGCGGGCATTGTATTTGTAGAGGCTTTTGTCCAGGAGGGCGTGGAGGGTTTTGTTTACTTGGGTGAATGCCGATAGCGTTGTTTGGTTCATATTTTCTGATATCAGTATGATGAGTTCATTGGGGAGCGCTGTTAGCTTTGGTTTTGGGGGTGTTGTGGTAGATAGGAATTGTTGAGTGAGTTTGAATAGCTTTGCTTTTGAATCTGCTTGTCTAGGGCATTGGTGTGGTGTGGTATTGTACTTGCAAAGGATGGGAGGATGCTTCATAGCTTCGGATGATAGTATGAGAAGATCTAGGTTACCAGTCAGCGAGTATTGGAAGAGGGTTGATGGGCATTGTTCCTCACGCTGGGGGAGCAGATATTCAAAGAATATTTTTGGATGATTGTAAGGTGACTGTCGGATGAAAGATCGATATCAACGATGATGGCTGGAATTCAGTCAGGGAGGTTGGAAGTGAGGTATAGAAAGGACCAAGTGCAGGAAGCAACGATCTGCTGGAGGTATGCTTTTTAAGTGAGTCATTATAACGTTATATATGCCGCGTGGTCATTCCAGGGAACGAAACCGATATTCTATACATTGCAGATGCAGGATAAGAGTTTAAAGCCAACCTCGGTAGGCTCCGGTTTTTATCATAGTTTGCTTGACTGCGTTACAAGGCCACATTTCAACCTTCAACATTTCAACCTTCAACTAAACAGAAATGTGCCAAGTACAAATAAATCTCAATTGAATTAGCTACCATTAGACTCCACGCCATGCAAATAACAAAGTATCGTAAAACATAGGGTATTATACATCCCTCACAAACCAAAGTTCTCAATATGCAAGTAGATCCCCTGCGCACCAGTTCCCTTATGAACAGCCCGCTCATCGCTAAGAGAGACGACACTGCGGCGCACATCATCTGCCAGCCCTCGGGGTCCGCACACAACGACGGCACTTTCGCCTTCGGCCTTTTCCAAGACCTTTCGGATGATAGTACGCGGCATGGGACGGCCGGAGACAATTGTCGGATGGATGATGATCTTCATAGGACCATCGGATGCAATGGACTGCGTATCTGCTGTTTTGGGATCTGGGGTGACGTTCTCGGGCTGAACAAGGGCTGGTCCGGCGCAGGTACAGCTACAGTTGGTGATCTCGTCTTCGTTTTCGATTTGGGCGGTGCAGCAGCATCCTCCGCCGGGGAGACAACCGGCTCCTGTGAGTTTAGGATTTTGGTTTGACGCTGACTGGCTGGAGACGGAGTGGATGGAGACGTGATCCACTCCAGAGCCCTTCTTTTCGTCGAAGATTGATATATCTTGAGCGACACTCTGCGCCGGAAGAGAAGAAGTTGCCGAAGCAATCGTAGGTGGATCCAGCTTCTCATCACAGGTAATGTAGATACTCACTTCGAGCTCTTTCTCAAAGTGTGTCTGTGTCCGCCGACACTCTTCCACATCTGCTAACAGAGACTGTAGCTGGGAGTCAAAGTAAGACAGCTGAGCGCGCGATTTGATTACCCAGATAAACCGTAATCGCTTGGTGGCAGCCAGTCGGGGAGTAGAATTTGAAGTCTGTTCAATGTTCTCGTTTTTCCAGGCAGAGACAACGTCCCGTAGTAGCGGCATCGTGAATGTCGCGCCCATTCCACCCGCTAGCAGGACGACGCTGTCAAATTGACGCAAGGGGCGCATGCTTCCGTAAGGTCCTTCAACGAAAATTGTTCGTCCGCGGGGAGCTACCTCACCACTTCTCAGCACGCTACCATTTTTTGATGCAAATCGGAAGAATCGCCTTGTTCCTCCGTTCTCTGCACGGATGAAGAACACCATCTTGTTGTCTGCCGGTATAGAAGCGATGGTAAATGGGTGGCATTGCAATGGAACGATGGAGTGACAGGTGAGGAAAACGTGCTGACCAGGTTGCCATCCGATACCAGGATTCTCAATAGTCACTCGAGTGACATTTCCTGGCAGCGGCGTGAAAGACGCAGAGTGCGCCCAGAGAGCATTTGCATTTTTCTTCCGGTGGAAAATGGCCAGATTGGTATATGCGCCCCAGGTATAGCGGGCGAAGCGATCAAAAACCACCAGGCCGATCGGCACCCACACCCAGGTCTTGACCTCAGAAGGTGCATGCATCCATACAGCAACAATAAACCCGACAAAGGTTACCAAATGTTGGATAACGAAGAATTCGTAACTGAGGCGACGAACCGGGGCGAAAGAGCTGATGACAATGAAGGTGAGAATGATCCAAGCAGCGAACCCACGCTTGGTCAAAGGATCATTCTTAAGCTGGTAGAGGATATAATGCCAGCGATCCCAGTCACGGAACCAGAATCCCATATGGATAGTAGCCGTCAGCCATAGCGTCCGTGAGATCCAGCGGTGGTACCAGTTGAGACTGGCATAACTCATTCCAACCATAAAGCCAATGATGTTCTGTCTACCCGCTAGCAGGAAGATCAACGGTAATTGACAAATGGCAATGAAGCCTGTGCGATAGCCGACATTTTCCCATTTCCAGGGATCAAGCGTGTCCAGTTTGTAGAAGCACAAAACCATGACTGTAATCAGGTTGGCCAGCATGATGAGGACCGGGCCCAGTGGCGGGAAATGGAGAGTGAATCCTCCCATTTTGAGAGGGTGTGGAGTTGCATAGCTGACCTCACGCACTGTTGCTGTGATAGTAGCATAGAGGTTGAAGAAAAGTGATTTTGGTTTGGCGGGGGTGAACGAGGAATCTCGCAAACTACCTTATGTTAGATTCGATCATTGATTTGGTGTGGCTGTACATACCGATGCCGAGCAATGATGCGGTTCAGCACGTTGACTAGGGTTGCTGCGCCGATAGCACTCCCCACAACAGCCCAGTACATTTTCTGTAGCGTGAATAGACTGGGGACTCCATCTCCCATAGACATGGAGCCCGCGGGCATGTCACCCATTGACATCGACATAATCACTATCAGAGGGTCATAGATGTAGAGAGGAAGATCTCGGAATCAAAAGTAGATACACAACCCAAGAGTAATTGTCCGATTAGCAATAACTTGCTCATCCCAACGTGGGTATGGATGGGCCCACTGTGGGTCCGACCCACAGTGGAACTTGCTCTAGCGTCCCAAAGCGTCACATTCCTGACATTGGCGACTTCATGTTTTCTCTGTTCCGCTATCTCAACTTCCTCAACTACCTCTCAATTCACCATGGACGGAATGGACATGGGTAGCAGCACCAGCTCAAGCTCGGGCAGCATGAGCACTTCAATGACCATGACCTTCAAAAACTCCCACGACACACCACTCTTCTCTAATGCCTGGACACCGTCATCTTCCGGAGCCTTTGCAGGAACATGTATCTTCCTGATTGTGCTCGCCATCATTGATCGCTGTCTCATCGCGTTCAAGGCTGTCATGGAACGACGCTGGCTCGCCACTCACCTCAACCGTCGCTATGTGACTGTAGCCGGCAAGAGCACTGAGGCTGGCAATATCGATGCTGATCCAGATGCGAAGATCGCATCGCTTGTTACTGCGCAGGGTGTCGAGGAGTCTGTGAGAGTCGTGCACAACTTCCCTCGTGGTCCGATTCCCTGGCGCTTCAGCGTTGACTTGCCGCGTGCGTTGCTCTTTATGTGCATTGCGGGTGTATCCTATCTACTGTATGTGTTCCGTTCTGCTCTACTTTGTGAATTGATGCTAATATCCTCTCTAGCATGTTGGCGGTCATGACCTTGAATATCGGCTACTTCTGCTCGGTAATTGCGGGTGCTTTCCTCGGAGAACTGGCGGTCGGACGCTTCATTCACTGGCCTGAGCACGGGCACTGATTACCTTGATGATTTATTTGGTTTGGTTTAATTAGCATCTTTATCGTTTTCTAAGCATAAAAGGGTGCATCTGCTTGGCGTTGGGGGTAATATCTTGTGGATATCTTACAATTTGACTCTACTCGCTTCTCAACTACCACTCCTTTTCCTTTGCATTCGGTTATATTCGCTCAATGCTTGATTCTGGTTATGATCGCATATATTGCGCTTGAGAATATTTGAGCGAATTTCTAACCGGGTTGGGACTAGCGTCTCGGGTATGATCCACTTACCGCACTAGTTATCCACGCTATCCGTATTGGGCAACTCTTCAATCTCTACGCCAAAAGGGTAGGTACATGCCATGCCACATGCATAATCTTCTAGAATGTCCAGTGACACAAGCTGTACTGTTGCAACTTTGCAATGATAGGTATAAGACAATAAAGGCAAATAGAGAAACAAAGCAGAGAAGAGACCGAAAACGGGAGTGCAGCGAAATGTGCTCAATAAGCCTCTAACCAAGGGCTGAAAGGGTCTGGATAGCCGATGTCATTTCCGCCATTTAAGCAGTGGACCCTATCTAGTTCCGGCATCTTATACAAAAGCATCTGAGTTCTCATTTCTCTACTTTCTACCTCTACGTTTCCCTCTCCATCTTCAACTCCTTCTCTCATCTTCCTTCAACTCCCATCAAAATGAAGTTCTCACTCCTCACCCTCGCATCCGTCGTGCCAATGGCCGCGGCACACTTCAAGCTGATGTACCCCACTTCCCGTGGCTTCGACGAGGACACCATGTCCAACTTCCCCTGCGGTGGCATGAGCCAATCCTCCAACCGCACCAAGCTCCCATTGAGCGGCGGTTCCTTCCCCGTTGCTTTGGAGATGCACCACGCTCAGACTGCCGTCGAGGTCCTCCTGTCTCTTGGCAGCGACCCCGGTGATAATTACAACATTGTCCTCGCGCCTACTTTCCAGGTCAACGGATTGGGCGAGTTCTGTCTGCCTCATGTTGCTATCACTGAGACGCTCATTGGCCGCAACCTTACCGATGGCATGAATGCTACTCTTCAAGTTCAGACTAATGGTGATCCTTCTGGTGGTCTTTATGCTGTATGTTCTCTTTTTTTGTTCCACAACTCCGGCAGATATTAATTGTTTCTGTATAGTGCGCCGATATCCAATTCTCCGCCGATATCACTTACGAGAAGCCCTCTGCTTGCAGCAACAACACCAACCTTGCCGCCACTGCCTTCCCTGCTTCTTCTGCTGCCCGCAACGCCAATGAGTCTACTGCTGAGGGTCAGGCACAGAGTGGTTCTTCTTCTACTACTACTACTACTACCTCTACCTCCAAGGGTGCTGCTGTACCTATGCAGACTGCTGCTTGGGGTGTGCTCGGTGCCGCTCTGATCGGGGGTATGGCAGTGCTGTAAAAATTGAATTTTTCTGATTTTTCTTGTCTCTTTGCTTTGTTGGAGTTAAGCGATGGATGCATAAGCATGATTAATGATATCTTGCATTTACTAGCTTTCTACTCAATTCTATCACTTTTGCTTCTCTGAATGAATCATCTTAGTTGCTCACTTTCCGTTCCTTTTATTTGCAATAAAACGACTATTAAACTGTTGTGCTTTAGCTCGGCACCGGCTCTACCGGTATATATACGTCACGTGTGCGGGTAGATTCGCCAGGCAACCGGGAAAATAAATTAGGTGTGTTTATTTGTCGACAGAACCTACGGGGAATTGTTCAGACGTTTGTGTTTCACAGTCATGGATGAATTTGAAAGATTGCGTCCAGTCGGTATGTCAGAAATGGTTCCGAAGATACACAGCTGAACCTTGTCCACTAACATGAGTCAGGTCGATTGGAGCAATATTCAACCGCCCGTCATCAAGTCGGGTTCTATTTGAACGTTGCAGTATCAGCTACATACAACCTCCCAGACTCATTCACATCCCCTATCAAGGACTATGTGTACCAAGCATGCGAAGCCGCAATTGCGGACCACCCGTCATTGTCCGTCATCGTGGCTGACGATCACACCCAAGACCCGTACTTTGTACGACTACCCCAGATTGACTTAGACCAAGTTGTATCTTTTCAAGACCGCCAGCCTGGTCTTCTAGGCACAGAAGCTAATGGCGAACCAACCCCGGATCTGGACCTACAAACCCTTCTAGCAACGCAGCACAACTTGCCTTTCAAGGCGCCGGATCCGTTGTGGAGATTATGTATTCTCAAAGATACAGAGAATAAACAGCAATTCACTGCTGCTTTTGTATATCACCATGCCATTGGTGATGGGACTTCCGGAAAGGCATTCCACCAAACCTTCCTGCGAGCACTAAGCACTGCTCCAGTAGATGAACCTAAATCGGTTATCTTGCCGCCGCAGGTTCCTATGCTGCCTAATATCGAAACTATCCATTCAATGGCTCTCTCCTTCTGGTATCTTACGAAGAAAATCTTCCAGGCGAAGATCTACTCGCGAAGAGAACAGGGATTATGGACCGGCGCTAAGATCCGCAAACCAACCCAGACACGGCTGCGACTCGTTCCATTCTCGGAATCTATAGTGACGGCTTTGAGGAATCTCTGCCGTCAGGAAAATACAACCATCACCGCATTCCTGCAGACACTGGTTGCCCGCTCGCTCTTCACACAACTCCCAGTCGAATTCTCTAAGCTGAACTGCAGCGGCGCATTATCTTGTCGCCGCTGGCTGCCGGATATCATCACAGATGATTGCATGGGCGTCTGGGTCCAAGATTACGAGGAACAATATACCCGCGATGAAACGATCCCTTCATCTGACGATACATTCCCGTGGGCCGAAGCCCGACGATCTCGACAGACGATACAGTCAGTCTTAAAAATGAAAGGCAAAGACGCTAGTATCAGTCTCCTGCAATTCGTCAATGATTACCAGCAGGAATTATGTTTGTCCAAGATTGGCTTGGAGCGCGATAAGAGTTTCGAGGTTTCTAATGTTGGGGTAGTTCCTCTGCAGACGGATCCTGATATGCCTGCTATCAAGGGAATGGTGTTTTCTCAATGTGCTAGTGTGATGGGTAATGCTCTTCAGGTGTCTGTTGTTACTGGTGGTGACGGATGTTTGGTGCTTGCTGTTTCTTGGCAGGAGGGTGTTGTTGAGGTGGATCTTGTTAATGCTTTTATTGAGTCTGCGAAAGATGAGGTATATCGTCTGACGGGGCGGGGCTGATTTAGCTCCATTATACGAGTTATAATGTTTAATGTTTGCTATAGAAGCGTGTATATGTCGATGCTGTTCCTCTGGCGGTGTAAACTAAGCGGTGAACTGGCGATAACACCATCGGCAGAATTGTGGGGGAATAACAGGTTCATCTTTCTCGTTTACTTTGAGTTCTTGCTTCACATTCTATCCAAGATGGCTCCCCGTGCACCCTTCGTCGTTCCCGCGCTTAAGAAGCATACCTCCACGGTGATCATGGCCCACGGGTTGGGAGACAGGTACCTAAGGCGGTCCTCCCCGCGAGATGATAACGTTGACTGACTGTGTTTGAACATAGTGGTGCCGGATGGTATGTCTAAGAGTCAATGCAACAAACTAAGACAACCGCGATCGATCCTGACCCCGATTCTCGAACAGGATGGCTCTCGCCCAGAACTGGCGCCGCCGCGGCAAGTTCGACGAGACTGCTTTCATCTTCCCCAATGCCCCCGATATCCCAATCTCAGTGGTATGTCTAAGTCACCACCTTGACGGATCCAATGGCTAATACTACGAAACTAGAACTTCGGCATGAGCATGCCCGGCTGGTACGACATCGTCAAGCTCGGCCGCGACGTAAGCCCACCCACGACTCTCCCACGTTACACCCACTGATATACTCTGTTTTTTGCAGTTGGACTTTGAAGAATCCGTCCGCAGCCAAGATGAGCCAGGCATCCTCCGTTCCCGCGACTACTTCAACACCCTGATTAAGGAAGAGATGGACAAGGGCATCAAGGCGTCGCGCATTATCCTGGGTGGATTCTCACAGGGTGGTGCCATGTCTGTATTCACTGGTTTGACCAGCCCGGAGAAGCTGGGTGGTGTCTTTGGTCTGTCTTGCTACCTGCTTCTCAGCGACCGGATCAAGAACTACCTGCCTGAAGAGTGGGCCAACAACAAGACGCCTTTCTTCCTTGGTCATGGTCTTGACGATGACATTGTTCCTTTCCAGTTTGGAAAGAAGTCTGCCGATGTCCTGAAGGATATTGGGGTTGAGGATGTTTCCTTCAACCCCTACGGGTATGTTGGTTCTGGGTTTTGTTTGGGCTGCATTGCTAATTTGAATGTAGTGGTCTTGGTCACTCGGCTGATCCTTCGGAAATTGATGACTTGGAGAAGTTCCTTGAGAAGCACATTCCCGCTGAGGCTGACGGCCCTGCTGCTGGTTTATGACTTGATCAACCAGGGACCCGGGTTGGGGCCAGTGGACGTGGTCAATGGGGATCTGCCTTGATTATTGGGTTTGCATTGCTACTTGCTGCAATCGCGTGGTCTAGATATCAGTCGAGACAGCAGAAGTACACAGAGAAGCAGCATTGAATGATACCAGTCTGATTTCGGCCTTTGATTTCCTATCGATGCATTTGAAGTATATCACTATACCATGAAAGCCACTGACAATGAATAGCCCACCTTCCATCATCCCAGAACACATCTCGCAACCAGCACACCCTCTACCCCCTCATAGCCTTCTTAATAGTCTCCTCAATAACCCGAACCATCTCCTCGGTATTTCGCATATCAAACGGAACCATATGCTTCGACCCATGATCATAGAAAGCCGCCTGGGCAGGCTCACACAATTCAAACAACCGCACACTCTCCCCATACAACGAATCCAACTTGCCAACAATGTTCGCCGTGGGAATCTTAATCGGATACGTATCCGGCCGCGGCAGGATATGCTCCATCCCGGCACTATCCCACGGCGCCGCACCGCAAATGAACACCGCGGCGCGAAACAGCGGCGCGCTTCCTGGGTTCGTTTTGCTATGGTTGATTATCAGTGATGCGGCTAGCGCTGCGCCTTGGCTGAACCCCATTACAGCGTCGAAGGGGCCTTGTTCTGCCATGAATTGCAGCGTGTGTTCGTATGCTTCTTGGATTGATGAGCCTGGCGCTGTGTCGCCTCTATGGTAGTGGTTGTAGAAGGGGCCGTCGACGACACCTTCAAGTTCTGGGGCGTTGTTAGGCTGGGTTGGTCTTCGTTTGGATGGATCTCTGGATGGGTGTTTTACCTTCTTCCACTTGGGCATCTTGTTTGCCGTTCATGAATTTGAAGCGGTGGCCATTCTTCTCGAGTTGTTGGCGTAGGCCTCCGGTTTGGATTTCGAAGATCTGTTGGTGGTTAGTTTGGATATCCGGGTGACTTGTATGGAGGGGTATGTACCTCGCTATTGGTGCTACCGCCGTGTAGACAGAGAAAGCGCATTTTGTGGTTTGTAGATGTGATGGGTGAAGTGAAGTTGGTGTCACATCCAGGGAAACGGTGACTTTGAAGTGGCTTCGCTTGTATTGCAGGCACAACGGGGTCGGAGAGGAAAGGGAAAAGAGAAAGAGGAATTGTCTCAGGACAGGTGGCTGGCTCTTTTATCGAGTAAATGCAGGGAGTCGGGCGCTACTCATGTATTTAGGCGGGGCAGGGCTGAATGACTCGGCAAGTTATATAAAGAGGTAGGATGTGCAGACATTCCATTGTTATATCTACACTTCTACCGAATGGCATGACCTTGACCAGTCCAATATAAAATGTTGATAAGATGGCATTCTCCAGAACTTCTTCACTTCACCTTTAGGGCGATACGCATCACATGTGACGGAATGATCTAACGATCTCGGCAGTTTAAACTCTCACCTTCACCATGGGAAACCTCAATCCCTCTCCTTCTTCCACCCCTTAATCATGGATTTTCGTGATTTTGTAGCAGCAACAGGCTTCGCAACCTACAGCTTGCGTCATCCGCGCGAGGCTCTCTCGAGCTTCGGTCCGACCTTCAACGAGGCCACCTTCGGTCTGCTGGGGCCTTCCTTCAAGCCAGATCGCGACATCCGCAATCTCGATGGGAAGGTCGTCCTTGTCACCGGCGGTAACTTCCCCCTTATGTCTACAGCTTCACAGATAACTAACGCAATGGATGTCGCAGGCAACGCCGGTATAGGTAAGGAAACCATCCTCCAGCTCGCCAAGCACCGCCCATCGCGAATCTACATGGCCGCCCGCACCGAAAGCAAAGCGCGTGAGTCGATTGAGTCCCTCCAAGGCCAGTTGTCTTCTCCAGCGGATATTCGGTACCTACCCCTCGACCTCTCCTCCTTCAAGTCGATCCGCGCCGCCGCAGAGATGTTCCAGGCCGATAGCGGTCGCTTGGATATACTCATCCTTAATGCGGGGACCATGGGGAACCCGCCCGTCAAGACGAAGGAGGGTTTCGAGATTCAGTTCGGTACGAATCATATCGGTCACTTCCTGTTGACCAAGTTGCTGTTGCCGACGCTCCAGAAAACTGTTGATCGTGACCGCGCCAAGGGTGATACCCCCGATGTGCGGGTTGTAACTGTGGCCTCGGCGGCTCATGTGGTCGGGCCGTCGACGTTTGAGGAAATGACATCGACTCCTGGATTGTTGGCTAGCAGTACTTGGACCCGCTATGGAGCTTCCAAGTCGGCTAATATCTTCTTTGCGGCTGAGCTGGCCCGTCGGCATCCTGATATCTTGTCTGTTGCTGTGCATCCCGGCGCAGTTGATAGTGGACTCTATGGACACACAAAGGATCTTAGTTGGATGATGAAGTACAGTGTGACTGTTACTGGCTCTTTGTTCTTCCGGACTGTCGCCACGGGAGCGCTTAATTCTCTCTGGGCGGCTGGTGCACAGAAAGACAAGCTGGTCAACGGTGCTTACTACGCCCCCATTGGATATCGCTGCGGTGGCACTGCCTTTGTTCAGAATGCGGAGGTTGCTCGCAAGCTCTGGGATTGGACCGAGGCCCAGGTTTCCACGTACAACTAATGAATCTGTACACAACTACACATCTACCATCTAACGTTGATATGACTTACTTTTGTGAAATAACTTTCTACTTCCTGCAATCTACGTCCTTGAAACACGTTGCCATATATGCATCTATAATACGCAGGGACTCGGAAGTGAATGGCATAATGATTCGATCTCGGCCATACTCACCGGCTCCCATCCCTAACCAGCAGCACATCCAAGATACACTCTTCAGACCTACATCCGCATCCAACACATCAGCATGGGCCGCATCGTTGTAACTGGCGGCTCAGGCAAAGCCGGCCAATTCATCATCGCCGAGCTCCTCTCCAACGGCCACACAGTCCTCAACCTAGACATCAGCCTAATGGGCCACCCAGAAGTCTACATCCTGAAAACCGACCTAGCAGATAGCGGCCAAGTCTTCAACGCCCTATCCGGCCAATGGTCCCGGCAAGGGCCCTTTTCGGAAGGCCTCCCCCCACGTCCAGACGCCGTAATCCACCTAGCCAGCTACGCACGCAACATGCTCGTGCCGGACACATAGGGCACATACAACATCATCGAAGCAGCCTACAAGCTGGGCATCACAAGATCATCCTAGCAAACAGCGTAACCGCCTATGGCGTCTCGTTCGCGCAGGGCGACACCAATTCCCTTCGTTCGAGATCCACGAGGATCTGGACGTCAACCCGACGGATACGTACGCCATTGCGAAACTATGCAATGAGCACATTGCGCGTGGCTTTGCCGCGCGTTTTGGGGCTGGTATCTACAGTCTGCGGATTGGCCGTGTTATCGAGCCAGATGAGTACAATGATCAGATATTTTCCAGCTATGTGCATGAGCCCAACCTGTGGAAGGTGCATGATAGTCGTATGTTGATGCCCAGGGTCTTGCTGGCATGTGTGAGGCTGGGTTGAAGATTTCTGGTATGGGATTCCGGGTTTTCAATGCGACTAATGATCATATTACCAAATTGAGCCCCACGAGGGAGTTTTTGCAGGCTCAGTCGCCTGGTACGCCTTTTCCTCGTGAGATGGAGGAGTTTGAGGCGCCGTTCTCGACTGTCGAGATTAAGCAGTTGTTGAACTTTGTTGAGAAGCATCCTTGGCGGATATATTCGTAATTGGGTGAAGAAGGTTGCTATGTGAATAATGAAGAATGAGGCTATCCGTTTCCGTTTTGGGTATAGCTCGGGTTGTGTTGGATTGGGGATATAACGAGAACAGGATAGTCGGAGGTGTGTAGAAAGAGTCGTATATGAGATGTAGATACGTCTTCTATTCTCTCTCTCTATATCTATGATCCCCTGCCTCCCTGCTTCACGGCAGTGTCTTCTCTATCCGTTAGGGTTTAGCCGAGTATATCCTCACACCCTCCACTTCACCCACAAACGCACTTCACAAAAAACAAAATCCTCCTATCCAGAACAGATACCTGTAATATCGTAAAACGGACAATTAGAACAGAAAGAAGTCATTGTTGTAGTCGTAAACTGCTCATCACCCTCCAGTCGCATTAGCGAAGCGATTTTGCCCAAACTCCCCACACAAAACTCTCGGAGCATCATCCATCGTTCCGCTTCCTCTTCCCATCTCCCCCTCTCACATCCACCTTTTATTACCGGTATGCTCACCATTCAACTTCATTGATTCTTTGAATCCTTGTCTTTCGAATTCTGCTATTCATCTCGGATTTATCGGCTAATACACCTCAGGCGATCACCCCTCACCCGACATCATGGATCAGGCAAAGTTGGCTAGAATGCAGGCGAGCGTGCGCATTGGTATGTTCTTCCTTCTTTGAAGGCTTTGCAAGCTTGAAGATGCAAGCTGGAGTCTATATCAAGCTTCGATTCTGCGATTGCGTGGGAGCTTGGTGGGCTTGGCTTCATCGTCATTGCTTCCAGTCTATACCGGCATTGCTGGGTTTGATCGTGTGGGATTTGATAGCTAACTGCATCCTCGATAGGGTATGTATAAGATGCCTCTTTATTCAGCACTCAAACACACTTCAAAGCCTACACAACTTGATGGAATGGGATGGAATTGGAGATGGAATGAATTTTCGAAATGAAGTGACCGCTTGGATTCGAATACGATCGGCTGTCAGATGGATTCTCGGTTCCCTTGCGACCGACCTCTTCGTTCTTGAAATCGATGCGACCGTTTATATACCGCGCTTGGGCCGGGGAATCCGGTCTGACGTCTGACAACTCGAAACTGGGCATCTTCTTTCGATTTCTCATCCTTGTCGCCAGACCCCACTTCCATTTCAACGAGACTCCGACCAGCACATCCCACCATCCACTTTCAATATGCAACATGCAGTATTTCCAGCTGTTGATAACTAACAACTCTACAGAGGCAAGGGTACTCCCCGCCGCAAGGTCAAGAAGGTCGTCCGCAACTCCGGCGCCGATGACAAGAAGCTCCAGGCCGCTCTCAAGAAGCTGAACGTCCAGCCCATCCAGGGCATTGAGGAGGTCAACATGTTCAAGGAGGACGGCAACGTCATCCACTTCGCCAACCCCCGTGGTAAGTGGAAGCTCCATTTCCAGTCCTGGCTCCAGCTCCAGCTTTAGCTGTGGCATTCAAATCGCCCAGGAAATCCTGAACTAACCAACCTTTTTCTTTTTCTCGCAGTCCACGGCGCTGTCCCCTCTAACACCTTCGCCCTCTACGGCAACGGCGAGGAGAAGGAGCTCACCGAGCTCGTCCCCAACATCCTCAACCAGCTCGGCCCCGACTCCCTCGCTTCCCTGCGCAAGCTCGCCGAGAGCTACCAGAACATGCAGAAGCAGCAGGGTGATAAGAAGGACGACGAGGAGGATGATATCCCCGACCTTGTTGAGGGCGAGAACTTCGAGAACAAGGTTGAATAAATAGAACACGCCGAGTCTTTTTATCTTTAAAAACTATGGTCTATGATCACAATGAAATGTATTCACCTTCTTGTTGCTTTTTTCTTAGCTTTACAGTATACCTTATGGGCCCGTTTGGGTTGGTGATACTGAACGGTGAAGCTGGTGTATCTCGTTTTTAAGCTGTCTTGTCTTTCGGATTCTTTGATTTATCACCATTGACATCTACGGTTTTGACTGTGATCCCTTATCCACCTCTATCTGAGAATGACATGTCCAGGGTTTCATGAGTCTGTGGAATAGTCTGTACAATAGTCGCATGTAAGACATAATGAATCATGCTGTCGAGGGACTTGATGTATTGTTATACTAGAGTACAATGGTCATGTTTTTGCCAAGTATGTGTGGACAGACTCATCCACAGATGTAGTCACCTAACAGGCGTGAATCATGGACAGGGTGATGATCAGATTATGTAGTACTATTTCAGATATCTTCCTTCATGCCGCACAGATCAGTACCCAGGAATGCATCGATGGTGTACCAGAAACGCCAGTAGGTACCCGATTTGTCCCAGTCGAATGTGCCGTCATCGCAGAGCTGTGGACCCTCGCCCACGATGTCGCCAGTGAACCAACTTAAGATGGGGATGGATCGGAGGACACGCTCTGTGAGGGTTGGCTGGGGAGGGAGGGCTTCGGTCAAGGGGCGCAGCTTGGTTCGTCGGACTGTGGGGATGTGCGTCATGAATTCGTGATCGGGGTTGGGTTCGGTAGAGGTGAGGGCAGCGGCAGAGGCACGGCGCTGGCGCATTGATGAGCTGTCGGTGGCCAGACTGCCGCTCGTTAAAGCGCCTGTCATGGAAGGTCCGGCTTCCGTGGGGCTTGTGGTCCAGCCGCCTGTATTCAACAAGGGTGTTGCGGTTGCGGAGGTCACAGTCGAGGAAGTGGCTGCGACTGTGTTATCTGTGATTGTGGTGGACTCGGGCGAATTTTCTTCTGGTACATCGGGGACGCTGGAGAGATTGTTCATGGCAAAGGACCGGGGTAGGGTCATTCGATCCTGGTCCTTGCTAGAGTTGGATAGGAATGCGGTCGAATGTGAGGTGGTCAGGGTACGCGATCCTTTCTTGTGAATGCGATCGCCCGTCGCAGAGCCCACGGGGATGGGACTGTCTTCGACCGGTCCATGGCCGCTGTACAGCTCACAGAACACGAGATGTCCATCGATCTCCTGCGGTGAATAGAAGCAGGCGCGGTCTGCAGACTGGCTCGAGTCGTAGGTGACCTTGATCCAGTGGTAGCCACCGGCGTAGCGCTTCGACTTGCGATTCGCGTCGGCGGATAGATTCGTGCGGATGACGACGTCGCCGCCGCTCAACATCTGAGAGTATGGTGTGGCGGATTTGGGATCACTGCGCGGATAGTCTTCACAAATTTGACCCTGGGAGATTTGTTCATATTTGTTGATAACCTTCCACTCGTTGTCCTTGTTTTTGTAACCGTAGAGTATGCACTCGGTTGCGACCTTCTCAGACAGTTTCCGTGCGTTGTCAAGACTGGATGACGATGATGACTTGGGTAAACCCTGTGTCTTCTCTACCTCCTGTTGCTGCATTGAGAATAACCGATCGAACTCGGCAACATTGACATTCTCTCGTCTAGCCGCCGGTGTGCCAGTCCGTGTGCGCGATCGATCATTTTGGTATCGAGCGTTTCTTCGCTTGCCAAAAGGTCCTGATTCTTCTGCTGGTCGTCGAGGGTTGCGAGTTTCGCTAGAAATGGATCAGTCGGCTGTATGCAGATTGAAGCGCCAGAGCGAACTCAAAGCTGACGTACTCTTTGTAAACATAGCCCCAGGGCAAGAGGTTACCCTTCTCGTCCCTAGCGCGCTCCTCCGGTGGGACGGAGTGATACTCCATGGCAGTCGCAGTCACAGATCTGAAGTTTAGATGTGCAGTGAAGATTTATCAAGGTAGAGCAGCAAAAATCCCCCAGGAGTTGATGTGGTGCGAAAGCAAAGTGATCGAAGGAGGAAGCCAAACTTTTTGGTAAACAGTGGTTCGCCGGGATACGGTCACGTGTTTGCACAATGAGCGCATTCGCGCTTGATCATCTTATATTCTTCTTTTTTTTTTTTTTTTTTTTTAAATTGAGTCGAGATTGAGTGTGACTGTTCTCATTAAAGTCATTTTATTCATGTTAGGTTCAGGCCTTCAAATTTTGAACCTAGCACTGGGTATCACAACTATATATTCTAGTCACCACTAACCAACAGCTTTTTCTTGAATTTATTTCTGGTGTAGGAATGTGATGCTTCCAGGATCTCCTTGCAAACCACACACCTCTGTAAAGTCCCCCACCTTTGCTTTTCGCTGGCGGACATAGTCCACAAAGCGACCAAGGGGACAAGATTCCCCGGGACCAGACTTGCAGAATGGCAGCGGCATAATGCGATCGTTGATATTGACTCGAACATAGGATTCGTCATTTCCTGATGAGCAAGACATTCGCTCAAGGGTGACCCTTGCGCCCATAGGTAAAATGGAAGAAGTGCGCCATATACGGTCTGCTACAACATGGGTCGTAGGAAGCTGCACCATATCACTCCCAAGGACCCCCAGTGCCGTGATGAATGGTGCTATGTCACCATCGTGGACACTAGGTATGAAATTAGCATATATTTCCACCTCATAGTACTCCTTCACTTACAAGCTGAAGAACAGGCTTCCAGCCTCCGACCCATCGCGAAGCAATCCGGTTGTTGCATTCAACCACAGCAATCCCATCGCACCAGAATAGGGATTGCCTGGTCCAGCACGGTAATAGTGAATCAAATCACGGGCATACTCAAAGTATTGCCAGTCTTGCTCGGTAAATACCTCACACCATGGACTCGACCCTCGTGCCATTATTTCAAACCCACACATCTCCTGCATACCGTAGACTTCCGTGTTGGAAAGTCCTTTCAGGCCGGAGTTCCCTTCATGCATGAGTCGCTCCGCAATTGCAGGAATATAGCTTTCCTGGAACCGTGCAAGCATCTCTTGACCATTGTCATGGCCATGGATGGTATCCTCGAGGTACTTGTAGCAAGTATCACCCGGAGTAAGAGTATCCGCACCACGCTCAAATGTTTCGGGTATTACTTGTAGCTCGGCCTTGCCAATTGCTTCCCAATCAAGACCAAAGAATCCAGAGGCGAAATGGCGGGCTGTCTCGATGACACGGCCTGAGTCACTTGCCCATAGCCGTGTTTGAGTATTTTTAGGAATCAGATGGCCATATCGTGTCCGGAACCGGACGCCTGTTGTAAATGAACTCAGTGTGCCAGCATATGGACCTGTGCTGGTCAATTCGCCGAAATCTTTGTCAGGGTCGTCTGTGATATAGGTCCAGTTTTGGAGAAATGCAAGGGAGCCATTGAGAGGAAGTCCAGTGTCTTGCACGCGCTTGAGGAAATCCAGATGCCCTATAATACCAACGTGTTAAGAGAAGGAGGCATAAGTGATCGGTGGACTTACGGTTCCCAACAGCTCGCGTGGGATATCGTTCCCCATGTCGTGATATCTGTGACAATCAGTAAGCCCGGTTCCGTACCGAGAGGCTGAGAAGAAAATTCAGTAATGCATGAAGGATATAAGCATACCATGTGCACCTGATCAATTGAGCAGCCTTCTGGGGTTTCAGGACTGGATGCCGCTCCTTCGTGGATGTTCTCAATCCAGGGTCCATTGCCTCCGAGGTGATACAGAATGTTCCATTCCTTTCCTGAAGTCTGGGAGGTATCGAGCTGGACAGATTGACAGGGATTCAACCATGTTCTCCAGCCACCATAGTAAGGTGTTACAGGTTTGTGTTTCCCGGATGGTGCGCTTGTTGCGATCCCAGGGACTGAAGACAGGGATGCGTGATTCCAGAATGTGAGGACCAGGACGCCCGTTATTAAAGGAACCAGGACCTTTAGCAAAGTCTTAATGAATGGCATGATCTAGAAGCCCATCGCAGAGCTAAAAGATCAGAGTGTGGAGGGACGGAAAGTGACGGGCCCTTGCCAAGACTGATCGTCGTACTTGTATTTTCTTGCTTTCTTCAAAACTCCATTCCTATGCATTGATAGGTACAGACATAGTATAAACAGGCTTATTCTTCTCCGTCCATCTGCAACCTGGCCATCTGCCAGTATTTACCCCTAAGATGCATCAACTTGTCATGGGTGCCTTGCTCCACGATCCGTCCACCGTCAAAAACCAAGATTTTACTCGCGTCAACGATTGTTTTCAGTCTATGTGCAACTGCAATCGTGGTTCGGTCTTTCATTGCGTGTTTGAGTGCCTCTTGGACTAGCTTTTCTGATGCAGTGTCCAGTGCAGAGGTTGCTTCGTCAAGCAAGCTGCAGAAACGTTAGAAAACATCCACACACATCATCGGACGGACTTACAGAATCTTTGGTCCCCACAGAATGGCTTTTGCAATTGCCATGCGCTGGCGCTGGCCCCCAGAAAGACTTGACCCGTTGGCCAAGACCGGGGAACTCAAGCCTTGCGGAAGGGAAAGCTGGAGCAAATATGATCAGCATGCTGGACTAGCAGCTGGAATCAAGTATCGCTCACCACAAAATTAGCTAGTCCAACTCCTTGTAAAGCGACCAGGATGTCATCGTCGGAGATGACTCGTTCATCACTCTGCAGGCACTCGCGCATATCTTCACCAACCAGACAAGGATTCTGGTCAACCAGCGCCAGGTACTGTCGATAACCATCCAAATCATATTCCCCAATGGCCTTCTCGCTTAGAATGATATTTCCAGACTGGGCGGTATAGAAGCGCTCCACTAAATTGATCACTGAGCTTTTGCCGCTGCCAGTGGTCCCAACGAGGGCAATGAATGCCCCTGCCAGAACGTCGAAACTGACATCATCTAAGGCCATGTGGGATGGCCGAGTTGGATATTTGAACTTCACGCGCTGCAAAGCGAGCTCCTCGACCTTGTACGGCGCAGGTGTGGAGACGTCGTCCTGTTTCTTATTCGGATATTGTGATTCATTGGGCTGCATCAAGCCCTCCAATCGGTTAGCAGCAGCATGTGCACCAGCAATATCTGGAGCATGTGCAAAAAGAGCAGCGGCAGATTGAGAGCTCCACACATTTGCTGCAAAGCAGATGAAGAACTGTTGGATGCTGTACTCGCCAGTTGGGATCAGCCGCGTGCCACCGTACCAGAACACGAAAGCAATACTCAGCACACGAAGTAATGGAGTACATGCATACACGCCCGCACATGTGACCCAATATCTGCCCTGGCTATCTCTTTGGCTCTCCCTTCGGAAGGTCTCCAGGATGGTCTTCTGCATGCCAAGGACGGTGACGGTTTTGATTGCTGCAAAGGCTTCATGTGCAACAGTTGCGGCATTGGTGTCTCGTTTGACATGCTTCTGCACCTGCGACACAGTATAGTACTGCAAGAAGCCAGAGAGCGTCATCAATGGTACTGCAGCTGTCGAGACAAGACCAAGCTCCCATCCGAAGATGCACCCAACAATGATTCCTGTTGCAAGCATCACGATGCTTTCCGCTGCAAGGCCAAGTGATGTACCCGAGACACCGGTGACTTTATGTGTTCCGGATGAAAGAAAAGTCACTAATTGCCCTGTAGAATGACCTTTGGTCTCAAAAAAGGGGAGGTCCTTCATTAGCAAACATCTGAACAAGCTTGATCGAGCTCGAAGATTCAACTGAGATGCCGTCATGGCAAAACAATAACCTCGTACGCAGTATATACCAAACACAACGATCCCGTGTATAAGATATACCAATGTCCAAAATCGCACAGTGTGACCACCGGTACTCAGATCAGGGCTGATAATTGATATGACCCCGTTCCCGAAGAAGATGGCTTGGATTGGGTATGATATTCCTGCCATAATGCTGAAAATAATACCTGCAATGGTGTAAGGTAGCTCCGGCTTGTTGAGGTGCCAAACATACTTGACGCTATTCTTGGGTTGTAATGTTGACACTGGAGCATCCTTTGGCGACCCAACTCCATCAACGTAGACGGAAATATCTTTCAATTCTTCAACGTCTTTTCCTTGGTAAGATAATTGACAGGTGAGATCTTCCACTGGTCGGTCATCTGGGCGGAGTGCTTGGTGTCTCACCAACTCTTGATACACTGTGGAAGTTTTCATCAACTCTGCATGTGAGCCTTGACCCAGAACATTTCCATCTTTGAGGACAATTATTGTATCGGAATTTTGAACCGTTGACAGTCGATGAGCAATTATCATAGTGGTCCGTCCTGAAGCGGCTTCATTGAGAGCCTCCTGGACATCTTTTTCACTTTGACTGTCCAAAGCAGCAGTAGCCTCATCCAAGAGTAAGATTGCTGGCTGCGAAACAATTGCACGTGCAATGGCAATCCTTTGCCTTTGTCCACCCGACAGACTTGACCCATTTGCCCCAATCACAGTGTCGTAACCATGGGGAAGTTCCATGATGAAGGAATGAATTTGGGCTTTCTCGGCAGCCTGAATAACCATACTTCGAACAGTAGATTCGTCTGGCATCTGGTTTTTGGGTAAGAAAATCTCCCATAATTTGCTGCTTTAGCTTACCTCGTGAACTACTGACAGCCCATGGGCAATATTGTCATGGATAGATGCATTGAACAAACTAACGTCTTGACCGACATAACCAATCTGGGACCTGAGCCACGAGACATTGATATTCTCAATTGGTTCGTCGTCCAGTGTGATAGTCCCATTAAATGGAAGGTACAATCGTTCCAAAATAGCAAACACAGTGGATTTTCCAGACCCTGATGGTCCTACCAAGGCCACGGTGCGGCCTGGTGGAACAGTGAAGCTGGCATTTTCCAAGACAGTCCGCTCAGGCTGCAAAGGATAAGCAAAACTGACGTCTTCAAACCGAATTTCACCTCGCACTGAAACTGGCTTTATCCCCGTATCATTCATTGAGTCGATAGGCGAAACACGTTCAATGACTGAGAACACCCGACGAGCTGCTCCATTTGCCAGTGTGATATCGACAACAAAAGGCAACGCTTGGCACAACATCCCACCTGCGATTAATGTTGCATACATAATGACCAACGCTTCTGATACTGTACAGAGCCCTTGATGGAAGAGTTTGTTCGCTTGCCAGAACTGGAGATGGAGCATCAGTGGAAATCTATAAGAAGAGGAAAGCGCATATCTGTTCATACTCCCAATCCGTTTCCCCAATGCAAAGTCGTGAAGGAGCCTGCGACAATCACGCCGAAAATCAACCGTTCGCGAAAGTCCAATGCAGCTGGACGCTGTAGAGTATCAAAATACTTTCTGGAGTATCTTTCTTGGCTTCGGTAGGCAAGGACGTTCCTCATTGCATTGAGCACTTCTTGTGCTAAATTATCGGCTTTGACGTATTGCGTCAAGCCATTTTTCTGCGTAATGCTCAACCAGTAGCCCATAGACCCTACCCACAGAATAAGAGCAAGAGGCTGTGAAATCATGATAGATGCAAATCTCCGGTTGGACATGAATGCAAAAATGATAGCGGCCACGAATCCGGAAACTCCGGAGATGATGTAGCTCACCTTTTGCGAGATGCCTGCCTGGATCAATTGCATGTCTTGATCCATGTACGATGTGAGCTCGCCTGTCCCAAGTACATCAAAATAGGCGATGTTTTGTTGTAGAACAGAAGAGAGGTATCTCTCTTGGAGTTCATGGGTTATTTTTTCTCCAACAACATCGAAACCCCATGTGCTGATCATGGTGGTAACAAAGGCTCCGATTGCTGAACTTGCATCAGCATATCGATCGAGTGTACTAAAATGACCGCTTACCGATATAAACCAATTGGAGTGTGAGGTGTTGGACTTGGTTTCGAGCATCTTGCGGCGCTTTCTCATGTCCATTGATGAATTCCTTTGCCAAAGTCCCGAATACAACCGACACCAAGGGTATTGCTACACCGGCGATTACTGCGCAGCATGCTGATACCGATAGCACGAGTATCTGCCACCCGCTTGCGTAGCGGTAAAGGGAGAAGAAATTGGCGGTGCAGGACTCGATATGGATCTGTGACTTGATGACCTCTGCTGGGCTGGAGGTGCCATGAGCCGGTTGTAAATCAACCAAGAGGATTTCCTGACTTTCCATCTTCAATTCCGAACATTCATTCGCGAAGCGTATTCCAGTTTCGTCTGTTAGCGTATCAAATCTTCAAGAATGTACATACCACAGTCACGTGTACCAAAATCAACACAGTCGAACCTGTCTCATAGATTCATCGACTTGCATTTAATCGGCCGTATTGAGCTAGGGGCATCACGCTAGTTGTATTGTGCATAATTGGCATCTCTGATCAGATTCAGATTCATCCATGGATGGACATCTCACGTCCCGACTCGCTTGTTACCTCTCTCTTCCCTCGGCCTGATTGTAAATTCACCTAAAGGCTCACCTGAGTGTACCGTATGTGTCGTTATAAATGCAGTTTATAATGTATGGAATTCCTCCTGCGTATGTTTTTACCGAGTCTCGTGCCGTGGACCGGCTCAGGCTCACATTCTTGCCCAACTTCTTTCCATACTCCGGTTTCTCTGTAATCAAAAATCAACTAACTTATCTGGGTACCTTGACGTTTTGTACTAGAACGGAGAAATCTGTCGCTCTGCAAAGCTATCTTACCGAACATTAAATATTCTTTGAGAACGATAGATTAGAAGAAAAACGCAAGAGGGAAAAATCGTTACTAAAAATGCTAAAACTACAACATAGTTTGCATCCCACCTCGCATTGATCAATATGTCAGACTTTGATGAGATGTCACTTGAGGTAAGAATGAAAACTACCTTGAGTACATGGAATAATCCACATTCTATTGGGGACCTCATCCTTACGTCTCCATATCGATCAGTTCCATTAGCTGCGTGTGGATTGCCGGCCATGCCGCAGCTCGGGTCTTGAACAAAAGATGCCAGTCACCTGCAGCGTCTTTTCCAATTATCTTCACAATGTTCCGAGTTGGGTAACTCTGACAATACTCAATATCATTGATGTATGATGGTCTACCCAGGGCATGGGGCCTCTTATTCAAAGGCACACCAGGGGAAACGACAGCAGCCGAAAAGTCTAGCTCAAAGTATCTAGCTTTGTGCTTGTTGGTAGCGGCCATGAAGAGCAATTTCGAATCTCCAACGAGGGGTGCTGCCTGCATAAAAGCGGCTCTTTGAAGGGCAGTCATGGCCTGAACTTGGTCCCTGGTTCTGTGCTCCAAAAGGGCCTTGCGATTGGTTGATGCCACGTAATCCAAGTCGGTATCTTTTCGAACTTTGCTCGCAGTAAGCAAGGTGTAGGAATAGAAGAAGCCATTGCTGATGAACCCTGCGGCCCCTTGGGGGAAGCACTCCGGGAAAAGACTCCATACATTGAAGACATTCATCACCATGATCGTCCGATCGGGCGCGACTTTCAGTGCAGAAGTCAATGTCTTAACCCACCACGAGATGATCACATCGCCCTCGCTGACGAATGGCGTTTCTACTCCCTTGGGATCTGCGGCTGCCAGTTTCTCCAGCACTTTTGTTCTCATGCGGCCAACGCATCGTTTCGGCAAACGGATTGGATGTTCTTCGACGTTTCGGAACCAGTACATTTCGAATAGGAGTCGCACGCCAAAGATAATCAAGCTGAACCCGGTCAAGAGGCGTCGGAAATTGCTATAATTCTTGCCAGATGCTTCCCTGCCCAGTTTGCGTAGGGGGTCAAAATCATAAGGCAAAAAAGCTGGTATATCACACTCACGACCGCGGAGGACAGCCAACCAAGCATTTAAGAAGTTTGTTCTTGAGATGGCATCACTGAATGTATGCACATAGCTCAGGGTGAGGAGCGTTGTATCCTGGAAAAGGGTAACGTGGATGTGAAGCTGCGGGCGGTCGGTATAGATCCAGTCGGCCAGTTCTTTTGGGCTGCCTGGATGACGGACCAATGGAGCAAATGTTTCAGAAGACGGCGACAGGAAAGACTGGTCCTGGTTGGCCCCCGGCAGCTGGGAGCCCAGTGGGTGGTCCTGAATGCTCATGTCATATTTTGAAGTTGTGAAAACGAATGCTGGTCGTTCCTCATCATATCTTACTGGTATATGATATTCGAGCTTTCCTTTGGCCTGGAAGATTTATTAGAGTTGAGCTACGTTTGTTGATTGCGGTAGAATCATACATTGAGTCGCAGACGAGCGCCTAATTGGCCCCAATCTCCAATTCCCATCAACCTTGTCAGTGATGCCTCAAGCTTTGAGACATCCAGGACATCATCAAATCGCAGGGTAAAGTCATGGCAGATACTGCGTAGGTAATGCAAGTCATCCCAATATCTCAAGGGAACAATCCGGTCGGTTGGCACTGTTGCTGGCGCTGTACGCCCGAATATCGAGAACAAACCCATAGACAGGGTGTCAGAAATGAAAAATAAAACTTGGATTAAGGGCAAAAAAAAAAGGTGAGGTTGTGCTTGCAATTATTTACCGTGAATTTAGGGTAAACAAGGGGCGCGACATATAGCCCCCCTGCTCCGCTGTCCAGGGTTTACTGGAAATTTGCATATTTTAGCTAAATCAAAGCCATTTACGATATCATATAGGTCTAGACTGCAGTGTGACAATTCCAGGCGGTGTCTCGCAACTTGTCTTTTCTTATGCAGCTGCTTCTAGTGTTCCCTTACCTTTAGCACGCATTGCCTTGTAAATCTCTACGCGAGTTTCAGATAGATCACGCGTAACGAGATATTTCAAGAGACCTGGAATATTTAACTTTGCATTTGGAGCTAATTCTGCCTCTGAGCTGCGTGAATGTGCTCTATCAGATTTATGACGTATCATAAGCGCACGAGGCAGGAATCACGAGCCATGGCTAAATGATGGTTGACGCACTCCATATTATTTTTTCAGGCTGACTTAACTATACGCATAGTGCATATGCACCCCCGGTGGCTAGTTCTTACTAGGGCCATCAAAATCATATTGTACTTGCGCTAAATCTACGTGTGTCGTCTGTTGAACCGGGTAATCACACCGTCAGTCTGATAAATGATCAGCAGGCCAATACTTTGCTTTCCTGGGACTTTGAGCTGTCACATCGGCATCTACCATGTACATCTGTCAGAAAGGTTGTACTTGTATTTGAAGATGCGGTCTATTTGAAAGTTGGCCCGTCTCTCAAATGGGTTACGGGGTAATTGCAACGAAGGTTGCATGGGGCTCCATTATCAAGATCGATTTTAAGCTGATACATATGCTAAATTTATATCTACTGAGATGAAACTAAAGATCATTGAGCCTCAGACTATTCGGATTGACCTTTCTTCTTTTAGTCCAAAGTATAGATATGAATAGATACTTATTCTTGAAACATCCTGCATTTCAATACTGACTTGACCGACAATTTGTTCCAATCCAGCCCACAGTTGTACTCCTCCCCCATTTCTGGCGATAGACATCCCCAGCGAAACATTCATCGTCCTCAGCTTCGTGCCCGAGCCCCTTGTAAATACCGCCCTAGGGCCATCATGGGAAAATAGTGCCTATAGTAATCATATCCCAGGTAGAAGTGGTTCGGGAACCCAGTCCCAGTGTACAAAGCTTCAGGCCAAGAAGACCCAATCCCTTTCTCCGGCTTCTGCGATGACACCAGGTACTGGATTCCGCGTTCAATGTTGGCATCGTCAATGGGAAGATGAGCCAGCAACCCCATCAAAGCCCATGCAGTTTGTGATGCTGTTGATCCCTGCTTTCGCTGGTCAGGAGATCGGTACGAAAGCAAAGACTCGCCCCAACCACCGTCCTCATTCTGCTCGGACTTCAACCACTGCAGAGCTGGCTTCACCATTCCACGGACCTGGTGATCACCAGCGAAGTATGCAAGACCACATATCGCATGGCTCGTGCCGTATACGTAGTTGCATCCCCATCTTCCGTACCAGGCCCCGCTGGCCTCTTGTGTAGATGCGAGGTAATGCACACCACGGGCACATGCTACACGCAGTGCAGGCATAATATCACTTATATCGGCTTTCACGGTGGCCCGTTTCATCATCAATCCAAAGGCTTCCAGTATGCGTCCCGTGATATCGGCACAGGACGTATCGCACAGACTGTCCATGTCGCTGAATGGTATTTTGTTGAGGAACAATTTATCGTTCTCCACATCGAAGGCTGCCCAACCTCCATCTGGGTTCTGCATTCCGCAGATCCATGTGGCTGCTGCGAGTACAGAACTCGAAGTAAGGGAAGCAGCATCGTATTTTAACTGAGCAAGGATGATTGCAGCCGTGTCATCGACGTCTGGGTACCAGCTGTTTTCGTACTCGAAACTGAAGCCTCCCGGTGCTAGGTGTGGTCGGTATATTTGCCAATCTCCCCGGCTCCGAAGTAATTGGCGGCTGCGAATCCAGGTAATCGCTTGGCTTAGGGTCTGTCGGTTAGGTAGCATGGCATCACAGAGCCCAATCGTCATCAGGGCTGTATCCCAAACGGGCGAGACACAAGGCTGGATTCTCTTGCCATGCTCGTCTTCCCATGCAAATCTCTCCAGTGCTTCTATGCCAAGACAAACCGGGTCATCATCCAGTGTGTAGCCTTCTAGCATGAATGCATATATACTGGCGTGCATAGGAGGGAAGATTCCAGCCCAATCGCCAGTCTTCTCTTGGCGCTCGAGAATCCATTGTGTGCATTGTTTCCGGGCGTATGATCGTATCAGAGGCACTCTGCGAAGTCCATTTAGTTGGTAAAGGATTTTGTCCACAATTCCAAATGCAAGGCCCGTGATGTTTCCTTGAGACAGCATTGCCCAGAGAGATTCGCTGTAAGGTACATTCTTGTTCGTACAATCTTGCCACAGCTCATCCAGGTAATCGTTACAGGCGGATTTCCTGTTGGGGAGAGGATAGATTGGTTGGTGGTGGCATATAATGAGCAAAGGAGCAATGGTACCGCGGGCCCAAGATGCAAATTTGTAGATGTTGATTGGAAGGACAGAAGGTAAAAGAATCAGCTCCACAGGTATGATAGGCACCGCATCCCATGGGAATAAGCCAAAGGTCGCTAGGAAAATGCGAGTGAAGACGCGCACTTTCGCAACACCACCTGCGCGGAGAACAAATTCTCGCGCCTTTTGCATTGCTGATGATTCTATGCTCAGTCCCAGAATCTTCAGTGCAAGATAGGCCTCTGTTGAAGTTGATACATCTCCAGGTACTCCGGGAGATAGGCTCCAGGAACCATCACTGTTCTGCTGAGACAGTATATGGCGGCAATAGGCGGCGTGATCAGCTTTCAAATGCAGACCAAGCGCCTGTCGGAGGAAGACATATTCAGCTGTCACAGTGACATTGCTTCTTAATTCACCGTACCAATGGCCGTCAGGATGCACGGAACCGAGAGCGTACTCATTTGCAAGCTTCAGAGCTTGCTCCACTTGAGAAGCAAGGCTCGCTTTGCTGGGTTTGACGTCCATGGCACGTTTTGCTTGGGGGGCGTCACTGATTTCTCAGGAATCGATAACGATCAAATGCCAGCTAAAGAAAAAGCTTTATAAGTTCCAATATATAGGCATGCTATAGTAGACTTAAATCACATTGCCCAGAAAATATACTAAAAAAAGGAGAGCCGGAACAAGTGGGAAATATCGCAAAGTTCCATCTTCTCATTGGCCATTATCATGTATAGCAAGATGTATCAAGGATTTCACCTGTAGCGTGGGTCAATTTTCAGGGATCTTCAAAAGAAAGGCAGCGGGCGGCTGGGGCATCCCGCTAGTTACTCCTTGCATGGAGTTGATCGGTCAAATTCTTTTTGCCTGCGCGTACTTTAGACTTTTCTCCGCGCCTCGCTGATAACACATGAAAGCAAAAAAGACAATAATAGTACATGGGCGACATACCATGGCCAGCATGTTTCAAGAACTGGTGCGAGAGACTATCTAGGTAGATGACTTGTAACTTTGAAGAATGTATCCTACCACAGAGATGAACCAAGCGACGACGCATTTCTCGTCCGGAGCCCTCAATCAAGAGAGCTTTTACAAGACATGTCTCTTGGTTTTAGTAGGCATTGCTGTTTCTTTCCTGGCGCAAAAGCTGCTGCAGGTCCATCGACTACGTGCACTTGAACGACTTCATGGCTGCGGTGAACTCTCCAGCGAGAGCGAATTTCAATATGATTTTCTTGGTATTGCCAAAGCAATCCAGTTGGCTTCTCACTTTCGAAAACGCACATCGTTAGCGTATACAAACGCATTGTTCACGAAATACGGGGAGACGTATGTTTCCAATGTCATCGGCCACCGACTTATCTTTACCTGCAATGCAGACAACATTAAGCATCTGTTGTCCACGGCGTTCGTCGATTTCGATAGTTCTCCATTGAGAAAGCCTCTATTCGAGTACATCACCCCGCATGGCATCTTCACCCTTGATGGTCCCGACTGGAAGAAAAGTCGAGATCAGTTGCGGAGTCGGCTGTCTAATCTTCGCAAGACCATTGATCTGGACTCGTGCGAACAGCACTTCCAAGCCTTCCTTCGACGTGTTCCTCCAAAAGGACAGGCCTTTGACGTTCAATCCTGTACATTTGCTCTATCTTTGGACATGCAAACTCAATTCTCTCTGGGTGAGTCTGTTGATGCCCAGAGTTTCAGTCAATCGAAAGAAAAGAAGCGGTTTGTAGAAGATCTGCTATTTCTCAAGGAACGCATCGTCCAGGATGGTTTTCGTGGTCCTCTGCGCCACTTCTTTTCAAAGGAACACTTTCTCAGGTCTTGTCAAAGGGCACGAGAATATGTGACAGGTTATGCCACCCGGCAAGTTGAGCAACAGATCAGCAACAATGAGAAGAATGACGGAATACCTCCTGCGTCTGCTTTCAATATGAGAGATAGGGAGATTTCCCAGTGCACCGATCAGGCTCTAAGCATTCTCCTTGCAAATGACAGCATGAGCACGACTCTTTCGGGTCTTTTCTTTTGCCTGGCCCAGGACAATCGCGCCGTGAAAAAACTGCGAGCAAGTGTCATCGCTACCGTTGGATCAACTCCTCCAACGTGGGGCCAACTTGGAAGTCTGCATTATGTCCGGTGGGTGATTCAAGAAGGTGAGAAAGCTGTTTCCAATCTTCGATTTTGTACACTGACATTCTTCTTTACGAAGCAATGCGACTTTTTCCTGCAGTAGTACTTAATGCGAGAGTAGCAAACAAACATTCGACGTTACCAACCGGTGGTGGAGCTGATGGGAGGTTGCCAGTTCTCGTACGGAAAGGAGATATCGTGGTGTTTTCTACGTGGGCTAGACATCGTCTAGGGAAGGAATTTGGAGATGACCCAGAAAAGTTTTATCCTGAGCGTTGGGAGGATTTAAGCCCTGAAATGGCTGGCTACATTCCGTTTAATAAGGGCCCGAGGATCTGCCCAGGTCGTAAGTCTCTCCCCCTTTGTCTCTCTTGTTAATCTGCGAATCATGCTAACTAATCCGGTTTTAGAGCAATATGCGGTGATTGTGATGACATACATCGTGACTCGCATGTTTCAAACGTTTTCATCTGTCTCCAATTACAACACTAAAGAATGGACGGAGAGAATTAGCATGACGCTCGAGAACGAGAATGGGGTTCTAGTCGGACTAGAGTGAATATGTCAGGATACAAAGGCCTGCACAGTGCTGTCTTAGCTTGCCGTAGATTCGCATTGTTTCCTAGTCATATAGCCTCATATATCTTCATAGACAATAGCTCATCCTCTCTCCCTCTTTTTCTCCCCTTCTCGGTGTCTTCGTCCATCAGAATAATCTCACGACAGGCAGCGCTTGTCATACAACCACAAAGGAAGTGTCATATAATCCAATTTAATGACTTAATATTAATCCAATAGATCAGAACCCACCGCCGCCCCCGGTAACCATACTCAACCCTTCTATAAACCAGATTAGCCAGACGTTCACCATTCACCGCAACCAGATATGCGTATCAATCACTAACCTTCTCAACTCCCTTCCTCCTCCCAAAGAAAACATCTTCATACCTCCTAACCTCAAAAGGACTCCTCTTAATCAAAACCTCCTTCCCCTTCCTCGTCCACCCCTGAACACTCCTCAAATGCGGCACCCCCTGTACAACACCAACACCAACCATAGGATCAAGAATCATACTAACCTCCCGATTAGCAGGACTAACAGACAAAGGGTCATGCAGCGAATCACCCTCAAGTCTGTATTCCTCTTCGAGGGCTAGGTGTTCTTTTTCCGGTGTTGTGTTGCTCCGGTCGTAGGGGGATTTGTGGGAACCTACTTCGTCATCTGTGCCTGACTGGCAGGTTTCGGCGCGTTGCGGGTTTAGGATGCATCGCTCTAGGAGGATTTCTTCTGTTTTTGAGAGTTTTTGGGATTGGAGGGGGATAGAGGTGGGGGTTGGCTGCTTGGTGTGGATGTTTACGGGGTGGATTGTTGTGAGGGGGTTTGTTTGGAGAACTCGACTGAGGGGTCTGAGGCTTTTCATGTTGATTGATTGTGATACTGGTGATATTTGGTAAGTGGAGAGATGATGAAGAGGTTGGAGTAGAGTTGGGTGGCTATAAGGTTTACCCCAGATTCTTCGGTGGAAATGACATCATGATTTCGTGATGGTGTTTTACGGAGAACAAATACATAAGGGAGTTGGGGATAAGAGAGTTAAACAATTCATTGATAGATAATCGTCATTTCCCTTCATGGTGTCGCCGGGGCTGAAATGCAATTGCTAGAATCGAAATGTATGTCACATCAAGTCATGTAAAAATATCATCCGCTGTTGCTTGATATCCCAAGGGAATACAAATGCATAGTCGCTATTATATATGTTCTTAGCCAGGAAATCATTGCTGGGTGAGGAGAAACAGTTCCCAGTCATAAAACTCAAGTGCTGTAAAGGAATCTGGGGTTGCGATCACCCATTTCCTGAATATCCTCCTCGGTCAACGATGAGATCTTCTCATCTTCTAGACCTTGAACTCTGCGCTTGTTGATAAAGCGATAGTAAGCCCACATGGCGCCGTAAAGGATACCTGCAAATCCGACCAAGCCCAGAGTTACAGCGTTTCCTCGGACGAAACGCGGACCCTCGGAGGTCTTGTACAAGAAAGGGGACATGACACCACTGATGTTGCCAAAAGTAAGCTGCAGACCCGTGGCAAAAGTGCGCTTTCCATATCGCGGCAGGTTGGTGGGTAACCAGGCGAGCGGCAATCCGACAGTGACATACAACCCCAGTGCAACCATCAAGGCACCAAAGTAATGCACACCCGAGGACGAGTCCGAGATTAGGATTCCATACCCAACAACAGATATCACACTGAACAGACACACAAAGGAAGCACGGTGCTGGGTGCGATCACTCAACCAGGCAATCCCCAGATAGACAATAGCACCCAATGCATAACAAGGGATAGTCAACGCCTGAACCTCAGCAGTCGACCAATTCCCCATACCCTTAATAATAGTCGGAAGGAAAGTACTATACCCATAAAGCATAGTATCAACACCAAATTGGCCAACGGAAAACGCCCATATCTTCCAATCCAGCGCCCCATCCTTAACATCCGCCCAGTGGAACTTCTGTGCAGACTCCGTCTGCCCAACATGGCGACCCCGTCGACGCGCAACGAGCTCACGCTCTTCCTTGTTCAAGTAGTACGCCGTGTCCGGGTCATCTGCTAACCCAAACCAGGTCGCCACCCCGAGAATGACAGTCGGCATCCCTTCGATAATCATGATCCAGCGCCAGCCTCGTAGTCCGCAGATACCATCCATGAACCCGATGCCGTATGCGAGTAAACCACCGAACGCGCCGGCTATGGCTGCGCTGCTGAAGAGGTAACCGGTTCGCAGGGCGATCTCACGTTTCCCGTAGAAGAGGGTTAGGTAGGTCATGAAGCCTGGGAAGAGTCCTGCTTCGACGACGCCCAGTAGGATGCGGCAGGCGATAAGGCCACCATAGCTTTGAGTAATTCCTGTGAGGGTCGCGATTATCCCCCACAGGACTGAGATGGTTGCGATGTAGCGGGATGGTCTTAGCTTTTTGATCACGAGGTTGGAGGGAACCTCGAAGAACTGGTGGGGTTAGCGTGTATTTGGGGTTGGGGGCGGGATCTGCGTACGCAGTATGTTACGAAGAGGATGGATACGGCGATTTGATACTGGTCACCGACTAGGCCTAGATCCTCTTCTAGCCCGTATAGGCGTGCATTGCCAATGTTGACTGTGTAGGTCGGTTAGTAATTGACCTCGATTGTGTCAATATTGGCTGGTCGGGATTGAAACAAGGGGTGGGTCAGACCCCGTCTGATATCACTTACCTCGATCTAGGAAGCTGAAGAGATATAACAGGACGACGAAAGGGAGGATGTGGATATCAATCTTCCGTATCACTGTCCGCTCGGCCTGTTCCTCATCCAGGGTTGGCACTGAGCTTGGGGATTTTGTTTCCGATGCTGTCTCGTGCCTGGATGGGCTGATGTCGGCCTTAGACCGGTCCATGGGGATCAGAGAGGAAAGTAAGTTACACCCTACGAGGAGTAGAGGACATGATATCTGATTCGGGGCGGAACAGAGTATTTTTTAAGGTTGCCAAGTGCCAAGCAAATGATCCCCAGGACTTACTGATAAGGGGGTTTGACTAAGAGGCGGCACATGTCAATAGGGGATATTCAGAATGTTGCCTCAGGCATAATCTCACCAAACTGCTGTCAGTCGATTGTCAATCAGCTGTACTTCTGTTCTGTACTTTGTTTGTCCTTCTGTTACTTGGCAGTTCTAGACTGTCAACTTGGCCATCCTTGGGGCCGGATGAGGTCTAGCCAGATGACTAAGCAATTTCGGTCATATTCTGCAGGAGAGCCATCTTGGAATCAATGTCTCTCCAGTTTCTATAGAGAAGTCTTACACCCTACTCGCCCGTTTCCTGTGACTCAATCTCACTATGAGCCTTCACGCGTTGCGCGACAAGGCTTCATATCCAGCTCCCTAATCTGCTCTCGACAGAGCTCTCTCCTCAGCTCTACGTGCTGATCACACCAATCCCCACAATCAAAATCATCAAAAACCAAATCCACCACCAAACTCGCCAATGGCAACCCCTCCGACAACCCCCGTCGGGGAGTTAGTCCTCTCCAAAACCCTCAACGGCCACACCGGCTGGATCTGGGACGTCACCCTATCACCCAATGGCGAAATCCTCGCCTCGGTATCGAACGACATGATGATCCGCCTCTGGAACGCCGGAACTGGCCTGCAGCGCGGCGCGGCCAAAGATAACGGCCACTCCAGCTGGGTGCGCGCCGTGCGCTTCTCGCCCATGGGTCGACTGCTCGCTACGGCCTCGGATGATATGTCTGTTCGCATCAGCGACGCCAATACCGGCTTCACTTATCGCATGCTCAAGGGCCACACGGGGAAAGTGCGCGCGGTCGAGTTCGCCCCTGATGGACGGACTGTTGCCTCCGCGTCGGATGATTATACTGTTCGGTTATGGAACGCCAGCTCGGGCGCGCTCCTGAAAACCTTTACGGGCCATTTCGGTTGGGTGCGTGCTGTGGCGTTCTCACCGGATGGGAAGACTATCGCTTCGACTTCTGACGATCACTCGGTACGGCTTTGGGATGCGGCTACTGGGAATCAACTGCACCAGATGAATGGGCATTCTGCGTCCAGTCGGGCGGTCTGCTTTTCTCCTGATGGTAAGCTGGTCGCGTCTGGGTCGCTAGATAAGACGGTGCATATTTGGGATACGGCTTCTGGGGCTCTACTTCATGTTCTTGGTCATTCGGGTCCTTTGCGCTTGATGGCTTTCTCGGGGGATGGGAGGTGGATGGCATCTGCTGCGGATGACTTGACGATTCGGGTGTGGGATGCGTCGTTTGCATGTGTGCGCGTTGTCACTGGCTATTCCGGCTGGGTTCGGGCTATTAAACTCTCGCATGATGGACACTTGGTCGTTTATACGTCCGATGACATGACCATCAAGATCTGGTCATGATTTCCTTTTTCTTTTGTTTGAGATACCCATCATTTGTTTAATATATAATTCTTCATTTCCGTTCCACTTCCATCTTGTCCGCATTATCTGGGACTAGTCCAAGTGATAACTCTTGACCAGTAGCCAATAGGATAGATGTTGCTCTATTGCTTGCAGGGTTCTTTAGCAATATCTCGGCCTTCTATTTGGTCAATAGAAGCTGACCATTTGACTAGTACCAAATTGACAAATTTGGAATGTGCCTACTCCATCGCTTACAGTATAGTCTCCTCACTGTCTCGCCTAGATTGAGGTAATGAGCCGAGCAATATACCGAATCAGACAATTTCACCCTATCAAGCCAAGAATACAGATGGGCATTTTAGTCAAGCCAAACTTTCTATCAACAGGTGTTCCGGCTCCTGTGGGGAGGCTTACTTTGACGAGTGGGTTCGCTGGGTAAATACATGTAGTGAAAGTGATAAGTTAGGGCTATATTTATAGATTTGAATAGAGACGTGGAGCCCATCAACTTATAGAATATGACACTAACTCATCGATATTGAAGTCACAAAAATGAAGCTCAACCTGGACCGAGGTCCCCCGCATCAGCCCACCGAATCCGGGCCGGGGGCTCTTCAGCTCACCTGGGCATCCATATCTTCAACTTCCTACTCACAAACACCTATATATACCATGGCCGGCAATTACGGCAGCTACCAGACCGAAATCTACGGCAAGGGTGCCCTAATGGGCACCCTACCCAGCGTAACCACCGACCCTCGTCTCCTGGAAGAACAAGCCCAGAAGGCACTGGGAGTACGCGCCTTCAATTATGTTGCGGGTGGCGCGGGCGAGAAAGCCACCATGGATAGCAATCGGCTGGCATTTCGGCAGTGGAAGCTGTAAGCTAGGAGATAATGGCCGTCGTACCCGAGATCGACTAACAATGTGTCTAGAATCCCTCGGATGATGCGCAATGTACGATTCCGTCTAAAGCTCTCATACTCTACGGCGTAAGATACTAATGACGTATGTACAGATGCACGACCAAGACGTATCAGTCGAACTCTTCGGCCAGAAATATGATAATCCCCTTATCATGGCGCCAGTCGGTGTACAGGGGATCTTCCACGAAGACAAGGAGACCGGTTTGGCCAGTGCATGCGAAGAAGTAGGCGTCCCCTACACGATGAGCACGGCGAGCACAAGCACCATTGAAGACGTCGCGACCGCCAGCAAAGACGGGAAACGATGGTATCAGCTCTACTGGCCGAAAGACAACAGTGTCACGCTATCGTTGCTCAAACGGGCTAAAGAGAATGGATTCTCTGTACTAGTTGTTACGCTGGATACTTGGTCGCTGGCGTGGCGGCCGGCTGATCTGGATAATGCCTACGTGCCTTTTATCAAAGGGGTCGGGAACCAGGTTGGGTTTAGTGATCCGGTGTTCCGGGCCAAGTTCGAGAAGGAGTCTGGATGTCCTGTTGAGGAGGATGTTATTGGTGCTTCGAGGGCGTGGGTCGGTGATGTGTTTGCTGGGAGTCCGCATGAGTGGGAGGATTTGGCTTTCCTTAGGGCGAATTGGGATGGGCCAATTGTGTTGAAGGGCATTCAGCATGTGGAGGATGCGAAGAGGGCGCTGCAGTCTGGTTGTGATGGGATTGTGGTTTCGAATCATGGTGGTCGCCAGGTGGACGGGGCCATTGGGTCTTTGGATGTTCTGCCGGAGATAGTCGATGCAGTTGGCGATCGAATGACGGTACTTTTTGACTCGGGCATTCGGACGGGATCGGATGTTATCAAGGCGCTGTGTTTGGGAGCCAAGGCGGTTCTAGTTGGTCGGCCGGTAATTTATGGTCTCAGTATTCAGGGCCGAGACGGGGCCAAGCAGGTCCTTCAGGGCCTTTTGGCTGATCTTTGGCAGAATATGGGCCTATCAGGCATTCGCAATGTGGGCGAATGCGATCGCAGTCAGATTCGTAGAGTTCAATATGGGGGAGACGTGAAGGCGATGATGTAAATGGTAGTCACATGTAAATAAGAAAAGTGTTGGGCCAGGAACCGAACCTGTTGATCATATCTTGTTCATGTTCACCACTAAGTTAACTTAAACGTTAACATTCTCTCTCTTCTAATGTATTCGCCTTACCTTATGATTAATGGACTATGATTGCAGAAAACGAACCCGAGATCCACCCGGCTTCAGGCGCGACGCTACTCCCACGACCAGTGGCATCGCTGATCTCACTAATCACCCAGTCAACCTCCCTATCCTTACGACTGGGAACATTCTTCGGCGGGGCTGCCCTAGATGGCGCGCGAGCCACTACTCTCACTAGCCTAGAGCTAAGCCGAGCCCTGGTGGAGGGGATCCTAACGAGAGCAGGACGCGACGTCGCGATCCGTAGTGGGGATGAACATGGCAGAACAGAGGCCGAATCTCTGCTTGAGCGGAGTGTAGGAGGATCCATCCTGACTCCTTGCCCTGGCTAACTCCGCCTAGTTGGCAACCCTGCACTCGACTGTGACCTCGGCTTCGTTTTTCGCGGCCGCGACTTTCCACTTCTCGTCAACGACATTGGCTTCCGTTGCCAATCTCTCGCAGGCTCTTTTGTCTACGTTGGACGCCATTCTTGGATCTACCGAGTCGTCGAGGGCTATTGCAGCTATTATCACGCTTATCAGACGCGAGTTTAGATCCGTGGAACCTGGTGCGAGTACTGAGAAGATTGGTGTTGGTGATCTACTAGTCGGGTCTCTGGGCTTTGCACTGCTACAGCGATGGGGCAAGAAGAACACCGAACGACATCTGCACCAGAATGGCGGAGATGAGATTGTCTGGGATGTTGTCATCCTGGACAACGGTGCACGAGCAGACGTGATCGGGTCCCATGAACTACAGTTCGCCAACCCCAAGAATGAGGAGCTGGTGCGGCCTGGTAATGCTTCATTTGTGGTGCCGCAGAAGGGCGAAGAAGCCTTCGATGCAGTTCGACGATCAAGCATGACTGAACCGTTTAACGGATCTCGTCTCTCGATTCCTTTGGATGGTCAGCAGCAGGTATCTGATGAGGACATCCGCGCTTATATCATGAGCCAGCTTCCTCAGGGCTGCCATGCATCCATCAAATCGGAAGTCCTCACGGCGCGAACTATCACCGTCGATATCTACGATGACGATATGGCAGAGATTGCAGCACCGCCTGGAACAAAAATGGTCGAGGAACGATTTCATCATGACAGTGATTATGAAAACAACGTGACAGACGGACAGCGACGCTGCCCAAGGCATACAGTGGTATTTAGGACTGCTTTCAACAAATCCCAAAGCACCCAACTGCGTCGTAACAGTTCTACTGACGTCCTACCTGAGCCCGACCATCTCAAACGATCGCCAGGAAAAGCATTACCTAGTGTTCCGGTGGGATCACAGCATGACCGGTCGCACTCACATCCTGATATCACAAATGGGGGCTTCAAGCACCATGTGACGACTCCTGACTCGCCGAGCGAAACACCCAAATCCGCAACGGGCAGAGGATCATTCAGCAAATTTGCACAGAAGGTCAAGCCGCCTGGTTTTGAGAAAAGTGACGCCAAGCGTCCAACAAAGAAGCCATTTATAAAGTCGCCCACTTCTTCCACACTCCCTCTTCCTCGTCTGCCTCCTAGGCCGGTAAAAGGAACTGCATCTGTAAAGGAGGCGACTGCACGCGAAATTTCTACCAGACCCGATCTCAAGAAGAGACAAGCAGAGCCTATAGACTATCGACCGACAACACCTGTCCCGAATCGAGGCTTACGAAGGTCGCCATTCCCCAACTCTCCCCAGAGACAATCACCGCAGCAAGCAAAACGCGCTCCATCACACAATGCACATAACCAAAGAGCTCCACGCGGGCATTATGCAGTGCGCGAGAAGAGTCAGGAATCTCTCCTCACTCAAACAGACGCTTTCTTCTCGCGTCGGACTTCGGATATGCGGCCTGGCTCACCTGCAATGTCTCGGACTCATGTTCGCAGTAGCAGCTCCTTGTCCGTGAGTAGGTCTGAGACTGACGGAATGGTGTCTGCAAATGACAACCGACCCAGTTCGTCAACTCTGCATCACAGATCCCACTCATACACTCCCAGTCTATATTCACTGGCGACTGCCGGTTCTGAGACATCGCTCGTACTTGCACATCGGCCTCGCAAAAGTGCCTACGAGGATATGGAAACCATCCAGGCGCTCAATCGCGATGGCCTTGTCCCGGGAATTTTCCCTGAGAGACATTTTGTCCAGAACATCCGCCGGTTTTGTCGTTTCTCGTCCGCCTCTTATGGCTCCAATGCCCTCAAAGTCATGGGCGTGCCAAGAGGCACAAAGACTCTGCCACCAGCCAGGTCAGACACTCACGAGCACAGCGCATTCTCGGATCACGCCGGCCTCCCTCCCTCTACAATCCTCCTTTCTTCCTTCGTCGATCCGGCCGGTGGCTCCAACGCAGCCGGCGAGACGGAAACAGGATTTCCACTCGTCCACTACCTCTCCATTGACCATGACTCCAAAGCGGTGGTCCTAACTCTCCGAGGGACATGGGGCTTCGAGGACATCCTAACAGACATGACCTGCGACTTCGACGACCTCGAATGGCAAGGCAAAAGCTGGAAAGTACACAAAGGCATGCACGCCTCGGCCAAACGTCTCCTCGAAGGCGGCGGCGGCCGAGTAATGATCACCCTCCGCGCAGCCCTAGAAGAATTTGAAGACTACGGCGTAGTCCTATGCGGCCACTCCCTCGGCGGCGGCGTCGCAGCCCTCCTAGCAACAATGATTTCCGAACCAAACCCCTCCCCACTCGGCACCTCCTTCGTAACAGCTTCCTACCAACCAACTCCGCGACCCCCGCTCCTTACAGCATCAACCAACACCCCATCGTCCCTTCCACCAACCTCCCCCTCCCCATCCCAACCGGCCGCCCAATCCACGTCTACGCCTACGGCCCGCCAGCCGTAATGTCCCCCTTCCTCCGCCTCGCTACACGAGGCCTAATAACAACCATCGTCAACGGCCAAGACATCGTGCCCAGTCTCTCCCTGGGCATCCTACACGACATGCACACAGCAGCAAGCAGCTTCAAAGACGACGCTTCAGGCGCGAAATCTCATATCCGCACCCGTCTCCGCGAATCACTCCGTCAGAGCATCATCCATAAATTCTACGTGAATCAGCCTCCTCTCGTTGTCAATGCCGGTGATGGCGTTGGCGAGGATGCGTGGGCGTGGAAAACGCTTATGTTATTACGGGATGAGATGCGCGCGCCGAAACTTATGCCCCCTGGTGAGGTCTTTATTGTTGAGACTATGCGTGTTTTGCAACGGGATGCGTTTACGTTGCCGGATTTTGTGGGGGACGGTTATCCTCGTCTTGGGAGGCCCGCTACTAGGGTTCAGATTCGGTTTATTCGTGATGTTGATGCTTGGTTTGGGGAGTTGAGGTTTGCTAGTGGGATGTTGAGTGATCATAATCCGGCAAGGTATGAGACTAGTCTTGCTGCTTTGGCGAGGGGGGTTTTAGATGAGTGATGGGTGTGGATAGGTCCACGGTATGGATGGTTATGATTATGGTTGTGGTTATGATTTACGATGGGTTATTATAGGGGTGGTAATTGGATAATTGGATACATGCGGTATGGAAGGTTGGGAAGAACATCTTGTAGGGCTCAGAAAAGATACAAGGTCGCTATGTGAAACATTTTCATGTAAGTTACAACCCATTTAAACCATACAAAGACTACCATACTTCCACTATACTACTACGTCTATATGATATACGAAACAACGTTACGAGAAGAACCAAATAAATCATAGAATATACATTTCGAATCATAATTTTATAGTGTATAACCCGATCCCAACCAAAAATAAAGGGGGAATCCGATTAGAAGAATCAAAACCAAGGTCCAGGGTATCACGGCCTCACACACTCAACGCCATAAGAAAACAAAGGGAACACCACCATTTTAACAAAGGAGACACATAACATAAAACAAAGAGAATCAAGGAATATCCAATCCATCCCGACTCTCATTCATTCCACAGCTGCTCCATTCTAAACCACAAGGGCAGTAGCAGCAGCAGGAACAGGCCGTCCGGAATGACATCCTCTCTCGTGGCGCTTCATGTTACTCCGCACGGAGAAGGCCTTGCCACAGCCGGCATGCGTACACCGGAAAGGCTTCTCGCCGGTATGCGAGTGGCTGTGAATGCGGAGGGAGGAAGGACGGGAGAAGGCCTTGTGGCATGTGCGGCAGATATACCGGTCGTGGTTCTGTTGGAAAGGTGCTGCGGTGGAGGGGGAAGTAATGGTGGTGTTGCCAGGCTGGGGTAACGGGGGAGATCAGGGCAGATGAGGACTGGGAGTTGGAGTGGCCGTGGGCGTGGTGGTGTTGGGTTTGCACCGTTGGCATTGGGGCTGGCACTGTCACTGGGGTGGCTGGCGCGAAGGTTGAGGCTGTTGGTGGGCGAGTGTAGTACATTGGTTGTTGGTGGTGTTGATGTTGGGGGGCCTCGACTGGGGATGTGTAGGAGGAGACGCTGGGAGCGGGCGAGGCATAGGGTTGTGCGTTGATGTGGATTGAGCTCGTGCTGGAGACTGAGGAACGGTGGTGGGATTCCTTTGTGTTTACCGGCGAGGCGCGGCTTTGGCCGTTTCCTGAGCCTGGGCGCAGCGGTGGTGTTGGGGGCATTTCGTAGTGCCGGATGTCATCACGGTGAGGTGAGAGACGTTGGCGCTCTGGTTTGGTTAGTGTTTGGGATACTGTTGGTGTATGTCCAAGTGTATACTCACTGGCTGAATGCTGAGCACCATCGGCACCCTCGAGGAGGGCTGAAATAGAAGGCAGCGAGCATTTTGGTTCCTCGACTGGGGGAGAGAGAGGAGCTGAGCGCTTGTAGTGGCTCGAGTCCTTAGGAGTGTAGACGGTGTGGGAGAGGAGGTTGGCGAGATCCATGATGTTAGATGTGTAGAAGTCTAGATGGCGTTTCACATGGGGGAACACACGAGGTTTATAGTGAATGATCGCCGGTAAATTACCTGGTTTTCATTATTTTTATGAGACAGTCCGTTCCAAAGCTTAATTTAATTAATCGAATATTCCCCTTTGGGAATTACATATTTTCTTTTCGGAGATTAACGTGGGGAATGACGATGTGCCTCGAACTCCGCTCTGAAGAGCCTATCAACCGCGTGGGATGCGCACTAACCCCAATGTAGGAGGTAAAGACCTCGCTACGGCTAGTGCAGATCCTTTCTGCTTACCTGTCACATCGCCCCATAAACGGTGATCTGATCGGCGACTACACAGATAGAACAGGGAGTGTGTACATGTTCTTCGCATGTATTCGAATCAAGAACATAAAATATTCATTCTCATTCATTCTGTTACTTGGTGTATAAAACCCGGGGATGACACGGTTCAGGAGATCATTGTCGCGTGGCTATGGGGAACCAACGGCGCAGGGTTTCCAAAGGGGAAGGTCGCAAAGAAACACACTAACCCAATTTGGCCCCACTCCGTAACCTGGGGGCCAGCGTCTCTAAGCGCAGGATCCTCGCTTACACAAACCTTACAATGCATGAACTTTCGGTACTGAGTACAGTACGGAGTACTGTACGTGTCTATTTCCTTGTACCTAATTACAGTATGGATAGTCATGCTGTACTCTATGATCAACCTAGTCAACATATTCAACAATCACCATAATCGACACAATCACTATTATTAAGTGATCTACGAAATAGACTCCATGCTAATACTCGGCAATTACATCTGCTTATAGAAGGTGACAAGGCCTAAGACCCTGCCCATCTCCTCCTGAAGATCCTCAAACCGGATACGATCTGATCGGCGTTCTGGAACACTCGGGAGGGCCGTGCACGGGTTCTGCACGATCGGGGATTGGCCGTTAGAGGGGATCCACGTCCCGGCCTCGTGGAAGCGAGCTCCACTCTTTAGCCCTTTTAGCTGGGATCGTCTTTCATTTTTCCTTTCCTTATGCTCTGTATACATAGTAATTGATATAGAAATGTATTTATCAATTTGGATAAATGGAAAGTAATGTACTCCTGCATTACCTACAGTATTTACATTGGCTGTATTATCTCATGTCATGGCTCGAGCGTATGATCCGCGAGGCTCGGGGCGATCCTGGCTGATCACCCCCTTCAATTGTCGGCATTTGTTCGGGTCGCCTTTTCTTCACTGGGTCTGGTGCCGGTGTTATTATTCCACAGCCACTGATTGGAGCGTGGAGCCGTGGTTCTGCCTTGGGTAAATGGCTATTTCAGTTAAATTTTAATTCTACCGTAGATTAAGGAATCTAATCTCCCACAGTTTCCCGTCTGAGAAGCTTTACGTGGAACTTTATGATGAAACCAGGAATACGGGAAAAATGTGATCCGCTGGTATAGACTTTTTCCTGAATGTTAAATTGAAATGCTAAATTGAAATGTTAATTTCAAATGTTAAACTGAAATGTTAAATTGAAATGTTAATTGTCAGAGATACATTTGGGGGCCATCACATACGAACTATTGCATCTACATGTAAGTACGTATCTGCTTTTCAAATCAAGAGTCATGGACCGAGCTTCTTACAGTAAGTGGTGATCGAGCTATCCCCTTTAGGTCATAGATCCGGGTAGGCAACGGAGTCAGCCGTGATCGCTGATCGTTGCTTCCGGGGCACTGGGCCCATGCCACGCGACTGTCTCACCCCCTTTCCCAGGACTTGCCTGGACGAGTATACGGTCGAGATTCAGTGGGGCTGGATGCCACGCGACATGGAACACATGGCTGTATGGCTGTATGGCTGTATGGCTTAATGGCTTGAATATATTGTAGCATACATATACATAACTTATATGACCAGTCGACCGTCGGTTGCCTTGCGTAAGGTAAGGTTACCGAACACATGGCACTTGCATGTCCAAGCGCGTGGGCTATCACAAAGACAATTAAAATTAAGTTAATGACGACACTACACACAGACCGGTGTTTAATTGAGACGCCGGAAACACTTAACCTTTGATCGGCGATTGGTAGATCCGATCTCACACTAACCGCCTTGGGAAGGTGCGGACTGGACGCGGGCTGCATATGCATGGGAGTGTATGGACGCCCCCTGGACTATATTTATGTTTTCTTTGCTTTTTCCAAGCCTCCCTTTTTTTCACGTGGCATTCGATCCGGATCTGGCATCAAGCCCGATGCACCTCCGATCATCCGGGACATCTACGTATTTCATATTTCATATTTCATTTTCATTTTCATTTTCACATATTTCTTGATTACAGGTTCCATGTGGATTTCCATGTGGTTTGCTGAAATAGACCTGTCATCCTCCTTCCTATTCTGACATGGTGGATCAAGATCCAGGGATAACCGCTGGCCATAGCTCCCTGTGTCCATGATCACCGCTAAGCGATGACCCTTTGGGTAATGTCTCCGATGCGGTCCTCCGCGTAATAGATATTGTTACGCGTTGACATCGTATTTGGCCCCTTGTACGTATAATCCGGCATATTGGTCGGTAGGTAGATATCTGATTATGAATCAAATATATTAATTACTGCTCCTGCAGGATCTCTAGGGCTGTACCGTACGACTGGTTTGAACATCCATAAACCAGGCAGTCATACAGTGTGCTGTAGCCTGTGGCCTGTGACTCGGGTTCGGATCGCATCTCGTATCGGAAAGTCAGGGGGGAAAAGTAATAATAGAAAGGCAACTCAAATAAGCAAATACAAACACACTTAATCACCTGCTACAACCAGAACGCCAAACGAGGGGTGATCGACAGCGATCATCTATAATCTACATCTATTCCACATCCAAAACGGCGGATCTCAAAGGAGCAAAGAAGGGGCTTTCGCGGACTCGGGACCGAGGCAAAGACATAAATAATTCAGGGCTAACTGCCAGACTGGGGTCATGGACCGTGGGCGCTAGTGATGATCGAACTGTACGTTGAAGCGCACTAGTTGTAGGCGAGACGGTAGTAGCGGAGAGGAAGCACGGAGTATAGGAAGTCGGCATGTTTTAACTCCGGTGCGGTGAAACAACGACCTGTTCGTCAAAGGCCAGTCGATCACACAAATTAGAGCAGCTTGAGCTGGGATCCTACCGACCGCACCATGCCCCTTTTTGGTATAAACCCCGTGTGAGATCGGCCGTGGGGCCTTGTCTGGCGCATGGCATTCTCCAATCGTAGCCTCGGCGAACTGACCTGGCGTCTCTCTTTTTCAGTTTGCCTTGTTCTGACATGCCTCACTGTTGACTATTTTAGGGAGGTGATATTTGGATCTATCGTCATCCCGTTCGGTTGTCTCCCCCTTTCTATGCCTCGTATAGTTTACGGACTATACCCCATAAACGTGCATATCCGTCGATCTGTATCACCTGTTTCTCGTTTGCCATGCACATCTTTCACATCCCTTGAATCAGTCGCATATCCGCTTCGCTCCACTTGGTGAAACATCCTTGCTACTGTAGACCAAACACCCGGAAGACGCCATACACCCGGCCACCTGGAGATCACTTGCTTACAATTCACTGACAACCCCTCGACTCCTTTCATAATAAAGTTCACCATTGATTGCGGTCCTGCCTATTCGGGCTTCGTGCTGGGAATCCATCCAGCCACTTCTTTGTTGCGTGGCTTGACATAGCATGATTCATGCTTCGGCCTGGATTCCATGGCTTCTCCCAACGGTTTCGTTCAAGCTATGTGTTTTCCTTGGCCGAATCCTGGCTCCCGGATCCTGTGGCTGACGCTTCATTAATATGAGTGATAACAGGGGACGAGGTTGGGTGTGATTCTGATCCACACGCTCATGCACGAGACTCCAATTTCTCCAAACACTGGAGCCACTGGGTGGCAAGTGTACTGTAACAGCAAATGTAAATGTAAATGCAGATACAGATACGACTGAAGGTATGGACACCTCAATGCAATGCACATCAGGGGTCTGATCATTCCACCCAGTCTTCATCCTAGCCTACACGTCCGTGTACAGCGCCGTACATGCGAATCCAGATCCTGATCACAATACAGCCCGTACGTGTACGCCCACGGTTGCATATACATATACCGTACACATCCCTAGACTACAGGCCAATGCCATCGCATTGATCGCCTCACGAGGCATGGCAATAAGCACCCTCTATACGGGATGCCTCGCATATGCAGAGTGTTCAAGTCCAGCACACTTATCACTGATCACCTCCAACCCTCCAGGCCAGGTGATTCGGTGAAAAGATCCCTGTCAAGACACCGAGCGCTAAAGGCAGATCCCACGGTAATCGAGTGATATTCTCCGTCTTGTTTCATGCCGGCAATGGTTTCTTCCCTTGGGTGGCGATTGGCTGGGTGGGTTGGTGTTTGAGCTCATTATTACATAGGTTGCATGCACTGCGCATGGCTGGGATTGGATATTGCACCTGGGTCTGGTAGATCATCCCACCGTTGCATCGTAAGGTTGAGGGCTGTGGCGGGGTTGGTGCGTTGTTGGCGCGTCTATATGTATATATCCTTGCGAGGTGGAGCTTCCAACTTATATATATATATTTGGGTTAGGGTTGATTGGGTGTTGGGTGTGGGTGTGCATATGCCGATTTCAGGTTCGAGGAATCATGCAAATGGGAAGGGACATGCATAGGCAGTTTGTGTAGCAATTTACTAGTAGTAAGTCCAGATCTGAATGCCGGGTGTGGCCGAGATTGTGTGACCGTGTGACGAGATCGAAGTTACACATGCAACATAATCCGTAAATACTGTGTAGTATGAGAGTTAGTTCTATGTTTCATATAGTATGATCTTAACTTTTATCTAGTGACCAGTGCGGAGGGCCGTGCAAAAAAGCAAATGAGCAAGTCATTGACTTCGAGGTTCGAGCGGTGTATACACGCCCAAGGAACACACACTTGGGGGCTTAAAGCCAAAAAAAAATCGCGCATCGGTAACATCACTTGGGACTATCTTTCATGTACAATGTGGTTATGATGATTTACTCGTAGAATATTGGGCCAATTACCTTCTGTGCAGTGTCGATCAGTCTTCTGTATGTACGTGTACGGTCTGTATTGTACAGAGTACATGTGTGTAGACCTGGAGACTGGAGGCTGGCGGAGGCGCCACAGCCCGTAAATGCGGTGACTCAAAGAGGAACAGGGATATTGGCCACTCAAAGAAACTCCCAAAGCCCCAAAAGTCAGGCAATTTAGAGTTGCTTTTAGCGAGATGCCCAATGTCGCCCAACGATTGGTGTGCAATCCTCCGGGGTGATCTGCGACGGAAACGCCCGCCGATCTACGGCCTGTGTGCCACGAGGATTTCTCTTCGCCCTTCTCTCTTTGGTGCGTAATATATGACCTGTATGGACTTCGGAGGAATGGATCAACCTTTACTCGTTTGGTCGAATCGTCCGATCCAAGCATGGATGTGAATCCGTTGATCGACCAAGAACTTTCTAGGCCGGAGCCCCCGGTGCTATTGAATCAGGAGAACTACTGTAAGTGGCTGGAAAAAATCCACACATTGCACCTCGCATATCAGTTTGATCGACAAATGTGATCTCCGGTTAGAGCCCTAGAGAGAGGGGGTAAACCGGTAAGCTCCCCGTGCTATCTTACTCCCCAGAAGCGGGTCTGGATACATCTCCGAACCCTCCAACTACCGAGCACAGACACGGAGTGGCCGGCCATGCATGAGGCCAGCGAGGAAAGAGAAAAATGCCCGGAGCCGCAAGTGTTTTGTTTCAGACCCGCAATTCCCAGAGGGGCAGGTCGTGTCTGTGGTTCGGGATCTTCGCGAACCTCCATTTTTGGTTCAATATTGTACAATGTCGGTCAATATAGTTCAATATTGGTTCTTATTCACATCAAATAGAATGCTATGGTAGATTTGCGTATGGGCGTATATGCCCACCTTGCTCCTGGCCCATCCCTCATAAAAGTAGCGCCGACCGTTGCCTTGATTGCCGGCCGAGAAAAGGCCGGCTTGGGTATCGCATGTAAGTACAAAACACTGAACTTCGTTAAGCGTAGATATCGACTTGGCTGTTCCCCTGAACGCCTCTGGGTGCTGTGCCAGCGTTCCCAGTTCTCGTGTTGATCGCCTTCATGTTGCGAATCGCCAGTTTGAAGTCGATCTTGCCATAGTCGTCGGGCATGTGCTCTCCACTATAGATACAGAGCACCCGCATGCCACGCTTGTAGGAAAGACCGTTTAGTAGCTTGGGTGTAATGAGGAAGTACTGTCCACCGCCGCTGCCGCTGATGGGGTTGCCGTCCTCGTCGGTCTCGGCATCCTCACTAGAGGCACAAGCAATATCCACCAGCCGGCCGTGGACCATGCGCTCGTTACGCGGGTCCATACCTTGATTAATCTCGTCGACGACACGGAACGGCGAGGCGGAGAGAGACTGAAGTGCCATGAGATAAAAGATGGTACTTACAGCTCTCTCACCACCGGACTGGCGATGTGAATCCAAGAGCGACAGTTGTGCGTTCTCACGGAATTTAACATGGATCTGAATTGCCCACCGGTCGAAGTCGCTACCACCAACCTCGCCTTCGGTCTCAGGCTCATCTTCCACCTTGTCCAAGGTGACTTGACCAGCACATCCGATCCGGTTGAAAGAATCAGCAAAGGCATCGCTGATCTTCTTGATGAGTGCATCCAGCCTCGGCTCCCAGTTCTTGCGGATCTCGTCAATAGCGCCTCCAAGTTGAGTGAGCTTGTCTTGAAACTCGGCGAGTTTGGAACGGAGCTTCTCAATTTGCTTCTCACGATCTTCGAATTCTTTGATCATGTGGCTACTACCGCCATGGGTAAGTTCCAAGCGGGCCTTTTCGGAGTCAATGTCGGCGTTGAGCTTGTCCATGTCGTAATCAGCCAACCCTTGCATCATTTCATTTGCGTCAGGTTGATTGCGAGCTTCTCGGATAACGAGTCTTGCTCTTTGATTGACAGCCCTGAGCTTCGCCGCAGTTTCTCTGACAGTGACGTGCGCTTGGTGAGCCTGTGTACTTTTCTCTTCTAGCATTCTGGCACAATCATCGTTGCGATGCCGTAGAGTCTGAAGGTCGGAGGTTGCCTCCAAAAGTCGGACCTCCAGTTTAACGAGTTCCTCATATTCTTGGCGGAAAGCTTCGACGGCGTCCTGGTTTTCTCAGATATACGAAGCGCAGACACTAGGAGTAGACTTACGGCATATTTGACTGTGGCCTCAGCCTTCTGAATAGAGAACTCATCTTGCTTGTCTCTATACTCGCGGACTGTATCCCGTACCCTCTCAAACAATGAAGTGATATGTCGTAGTTTGGCCTCTTGTTGAGCTGCGCAATGTTAGCCAGCTGAATGATCATAACTAAGAGCGGTACATACCGATCTTCTCAGGAATGGCTCGATACTGAGTATGGGCTGTCTGTTTTGTGATTTTCTCCTTCTCGATATCATTCTGTAGGATCGGTTAGTGAGTCGATTGAAGCAGAGGCAAAGGTGTAAATACCGTTTCTTGGTCGATTCGGTCATGATCTTGTCTGATCTTTTCCATGGTAGCTTTCTCAGACTGGAGCTTGTCCTGGATGTCTTTCAATTGTTCTCTCCACAAGTCAATGTTCTCCTGGTATTGCCGCCTGTGACTAACATCCACAGGCCGTGACGTCCACACCTGAGCAGGCTTGATTTGCCGAACCCGGGTGGAAGTAGCGCTGGGACCGTATTCCTTTCGTCGATTCACTTGGAAGGTGTTCTGCCCAGATACCCAAGAGCTCAGTGTACCGTTCTGCAATTGGTTGAAAACCTCCTCTGGGATGTCTCCGAGTCCGATGGGAGTGGAGTGTAGTAACTTTTCGCTGCACAGCATGGCAATGACAGGCTCGGGGCCAATGAGGAAATCCTTCGCCCATCCATCGAATCCCATTTGGCGAATTTGATCGTCCGGCATGGGGGCCTTCATGCTATCCAGCGACATCGAACATGTGCGGATACTGACATCATGAAGGCGCAGTTCTCCATTGAGCGCCCTCTGCAAGGTGCGGAAATCGTTCCGGGTTTGTGTGGTGAACGATGTGAAATCACTCTTCTGGAACAAGGATTCGACGGCATCGGCAAACTTTGGGTCGGTGATCGAGCAGGTCACAATGGGCGGACCAAAGACTTCTTTTTCAAATTTGTCTTGGTTGTCTAGAAGCCATCGGTAGGCTTTCAGCGAATCGTGGGATGCTTGTGCCAACTTGTGTTCTTGTTGGCCGGATTGCGAGTCTAGACTGCCTAGCTGTCGCTCGGCTTGCTGGATCTTCCTTTGCACCTCCTGGCTTTGGTCAATCAGGGGTTGCCGTCGGTCCTTGATCTCTCTGGCTTGAGTTTCAAGTTCGCGCTTCTCGAGTCGTTTTTCTCTCTGTTGTCATAGTCAGTGCATTGTTCTGAACCCAATTGTATAGGGCTCTTACCAAGCTTTCGTTGAAGACATCTGGATCGAACTCGACAGGCTCTTCCTCCAACTTGCGTTGGAGCATCTTGATATTTTGCTGGGCGTTTGCTGCTTCCTTCTTATACGTCACTCCAGTCTTTCTTTCGGCCTCAATCTGACCAGCGAGGTCCTTGATCTTGCTGTCGTATTCGTCGATTTGTGTACCGCGTGCGGTGGCAAGTCTGGATGCTCGTTCTACGGAGTCCTTTCTGTGATTTTTGACACTGTTCAACTGCTCAATATAGGCTTCTTTGACATTGAGCGCGTGCAGTGCAGGCTCCAGATCTGCCTTGAGCTGGTCATGTTCTTGCTGGAGTTGAGTTTTGTTGGCTTTCAGGACCTCAAGAGCCGCGTGCCCTTCTTTGTACTCAACAATTGGGCGCAAAAACTCGAGAATCTCGATTTTTCTTTTGACCACGGCTCTCTGGCGCATTCGCTCCACGTCGGCTCTTTGCGTTTCTTGTCGGTTTTCCATGTTCGCTAGCATATCCTTGTCTCCGCGGTTATCGATCTCCAGTTTCTTCTGCTCGCCTCTAAGCGCTTTCAAGGCGTCATGCCACTCGATCATCTCTGGGCCAGCTGCCGCTCTTTGCGTAGAGTGGAGAAGGTCGACTGGGGAAAGTGCAGCGAACTCCGCAACCTTATCTTGAGGGAGGAATTGGCACAGATTGTCCACCTGGATAGCAAACGACTGGGCCAGCTTCAGCACTTGTCTGTTAGATGCGGGCTCTCCATTGATCATGAATGTGCTCTTATTTCCATCACGTTTGATGGTTCGCTGAATGATGGGGTTACGACCCATCTTCGGGGGTCCACAGAGTTCGATCTCGATAGTAGCCTCTCGGCTGCCATGTTTCACGAATTCGCCCTGGTCTTTGGCGCGCCCGAGGTGCTATAAATGACTTCCGTTAGTACACCAGACATGTATATATATATGCGCGACACCAGAATAAACCATACCTGAGGTCCCCAGCCTAAGCCCAGACAGATAGCACAGACAAGCGTACTCTTGCCCGTTCCATTTGGTCCAATAACCATATTCAATTTCGGGCCTGGGAAGAACTCTGCCGACGTGTATGTGACAAAGTTCTTCACCTTGATGCGCACAATCGCGCCCGGCTTGTAGCCACCAGGACCGAGTCCAGTGTGAGCGGCTAGAGGGACTTGAGACGCAGGCTCTGGGCTCTCCGATAGAGAGCTTTCTTCTTCACTCTCCTCTCCAGTCTCCGATTCATTGTCATCCGCGGGGTTGAGGCGGGGGCGCTTGTTGCTCGATGAAGAGGTGTACGCGAGTTCGTCGCTATCTTCATCCTCGGTGCCTCTTCGACGACGGGGAATATTTGGTGACGACATGATGGACGAAGCCCTCGAAATTGTTGAGGGCCGCTCATGGGCTGTCGAATTAAGAGTCTTTGATCGCCTTGAAGTGTCACAACGCGAGGGGGACGCGTCGAGGAATATCAATACTAAGCCTGGTTTGGGAAGGCGGTGAGGACCACCACATGGCAATAGTCTGATGGCGAACAGCTTCACCTTGATAGCATTCACCATGCCTCCTCCGAACGTTAAGCGCTTGATCTTGACTGCCGCAGTCACCTCAATTACAATTACGGGCACGCTGTATGGTGCAGGGATCAAAACAAATCAAGAAATTGCAGAGGTATGAGCGATCACTTTGCGGAGCTTTCCGAATTGTCACATCACCTAGAATTTACCTAACTTACCTTGGGATCAGACAGCAAAGCAACGACAAGAGTCTACATTCGATGAACAGATGAAAGCTTTACAAGGAATGCGCTCAAATCTGACAGCTCGGAAAGGCATCATCGAGAAACAAATCCGAGACCTTGATGCAAGGATGCTGGAGAAGCAGCAGAAAAGCATTGGCGGAGACAAGCAGCAGTCGCCCAAAGAGCAATGAGAGAGACGACTTTAGCCCACAAGAGGCAGCCCATAATCGACTAGCATTCAACCCGAATGACGGCATATCACCTTATGCCCTCTGATGCAGGCGTCAAACATGCTTTGCAGTGCCGCCCTCGAAAGAATACCACCCAGTGATCCTCGAGCACATTTTACTCTGGTAATAAGGAGCATCAGCCCCCCCACGAGCTTCACGCCAGGCCAATTGCATCTAGGGTGAGGTAGTGACCTCCGGTCATCCATCCAGCCGCACTTAGTATCTAAACGTGAACATACCGAACCATTTGGTCTCTGCTCTATGAACAAGTCGTTGATATTTGACTACTTATATTTGAGGTAAATGTGAAGACAATTGTCTGATGTACATGCCCAACCATCTGTATATTTTTGTTCTATCTCAAGCAATGTATATATGCGTGTATGTTCAATGTCAAGGTCTCACTCATATCCTAATGAGAGCGAAGCAAACCATGCTCAAGCCTCCAAGTTGAGATTTTCAAGCAGGATATCCAGCTTCTCCAGCAAGATCTGATAATTCATCGCATCTTCGTCGAATTCATCCTCAACGACGGCACCATCTAGAGTTCGAATTTCCGGAACGTGCGCCTGCTGCTGGACGTGTTTCACAACCGCAGGAGTCGTCTGCTTGGATAAATCGAGTGCGTCGACGCCATCTGCAAGCTTCGTGACATCCTCATCCTCAACCTCCTCCGGTGGCAACTCCTCGTCCATCATCTCATCAAGACCCGCCTCGTCGAATCTCAACCTAAACCGTTCCCCAAGATAGAAACGAATGTCATCCAGCATTTCAATGGAATCGGTTTCCTGTCTTGCCTTGATACGAGATGCAGATTCCTGGATCAACTCCGCGAATTCTGGAGAATCGATATGCGCTTCTAGTCGGTATGCTAGATATCGAGCAGCAAATTCTTCCAGTCGCTGCACACGTGTCAACCATGCAGCTCGCACAATCGAGTATATATCAATATCGTCCTCGTCTGTTGTTCCACGAGTCTTTGCGGCTTCCGCTTGGGACATTCCGGCACTACCCAGTGTACTAATGACCACCGCAGCTTTGGTCTTCAGCTTTTCGATAAAGAGCATGTCTGCCGCAAAGAGGACATCGACGGCGATTTCCAAGGGGAAGTCGGCTCTTTCTGTGTACAAAAATGTAAGAATGATCTCCAATACCTCTGGTGAACAGTCTATGTCAATGATCGTCAGATGCTCTTTGAGGTGAGCTTCGCGGAACGCAGATGTGAACATAGTCTGGAAGAACTCTGATCGCAGAAGCATTGCTCGATGACATGGGAACAGAATTGAATTTGGTCCTTTGGTTTTCTTTCCTTCCGTGGAAGCTGTAGGGCCGATAGGGATCGAGCTAGCTATTCCATTGCTGGCCGTTGGTTCAACTTCATTTTCATCTTCATCGGGGAGTTCATCCGCCCTTAGAAGAACATCGGCGAATATTGCGTTATTGTGGTCCCATTTCACATCGTTCACTTTTGAGGTTTCAACCTCCAGCTTGTTTCCCAGAACGTTCGCCTGGAACCATTGTTCCATTTGGTCCCGACCCTTGGAGATCTCGTCGGTTCTCCGTTGCCGGGCACGTCTCCTGTCTCCGCTATCAAGGATACTATCCAGAAGACTGTGGATTTCCAGGTACTTTGAGACTCTGTCCACTCCGGCAAACACTTCAGACTCGGTGAAACCGGTTCCAGGTCCACTTCTCAAGTCCCGAGGAGCTTCTCCAAAGTAGAGGTATTTGATGGCGGCACCAAATGCCTCCGGGGGGATTGTACTAGGAAGCTTCCATGTTGCGGATTCTGGGGCCGCTGCCAATTTTCCGCGGAAGTATGGGGAACGCGCTGCGAGGATGAATTTGTGCAGGTGGAGGGATTCATCGGAAGCAGTAACAACGATATCGGTTGTCACCGGAGACTCCTGTGTTAAAAGGGAAGTTATATGTGCGGCGAGCGGTTGCAGAGGGTCCGTAGATTTCGAATAATCGTATTCGAGGAGAAGGTTTCGGATCCGGTCATTTAGGGCATTGTATAGACATCTGAAGGGTTGCCATTGTCAATTTCAGCTCCTGGGTAGATACTTCATTCTAGTATACCTTTCGCCTTGGAACGTGTCTCGTTCACACAGTGCACCGGACTCGAGCAGCAGCTGTACGACTTCATAATGGCCACAGAGACTCGCCTTTGAACGACTGGTTATTACATGTTGTCGGGCTTGGCTTCGCGGTTACATGGCACTCACCAGGATCAATGGTGTGTAATCATAAGGATCACGGGCATTGACATTCACGCCATCGGTGATTTTCTCCTGGCAAACTTTCAGATCGCCCTGACGACATGCACTGCAGAGCTGACGGAACGGCTCACTAAGGTCCAAAGGGTTATCATCCTTGATAGTGCCCTCCTTGATCAGCTTCTTCTCATTAACCAAGCTGATCTCCAGCTGGTCCTTCCGTAAAACAGTCGGCTCTTCGGTATCCATGGCAATTGCAGGTTGCCACCTCGAGGCAAACGGCGGGGATGAGCTATCGATAAGCTCACGTGCTTATACACAGTCAAATAGTCAGCAGAACAAGTAGACCACCGCCTTCCCTACCTGGGGGTCATATCTATATGATTTGGATAGCAGGTTCTTTTACGGCATTGTTGCTCTGATTTGGCCCTCTTTGCTCTAACTTGGCCACATGCAGTCTACCAAAGGCAAAGATAGTAGACAGAATAGGGCGCAGTTGCTTCCCCTCGTCACAGGCCCATATACCTGACCTGTCAGGCCCTGACTTGGTACCTAGGTACGCTTTCCCAGGTCTTTTTCTTTTTTTGCGACAGGATATATAGAAGATACAAACAAATAGAAGCTGCAATATAATGATCTGCAGGATCGATCCTCGTCCCTTCTGTAACGTCATCCCTTGAAGTTCAATACCGCCTGCCGTAGAGGGGCAAGTGCCAATATTCCTGCGGTTGCTAAGCAACAGCCAACCCAAACACTTTAATCTTCAATGCTTCCATTGTCTACTCTGCTTCAAACCCTCAATTCCTCAATTCTACCATTTTACTAACACAGGTCTCTGTTTACGTTCATGCATCTTTGACTCTTATTCTTCCATTTGGTCTCTAGCTTTCTGTTGTCCTCGAATTGCAATCCATAGCCATGGCGATTGCTTTGGCTGAGGCCGACAAGTATGAAATCTTGGACAAGATTGGTGAGTGTGCTATGTTATGACTCCATAACTCGATCTTAGTTCGAACCTAATCATACTCTTCATTCAGGTTGCGGTTCCTTTGGAATCATCCGCAAGGTTAAGCGCAAGACCGATGGATTCGTAAGTGTTGGGTGGTGCATGTTGCGTACGTGGGAAAAACTAACATGTTTGGTGATATAGATCCTTTGTCGCAAGGAAATCAACTACATCAAGATGTCGCAGAAAGAACGCGAACAACTCACCGCCGAGTTCAACATCCTAAGCTCCCTTCGTCATCCCAACATCGTCGCGTACTACCACCGGGAACACCTTAAGGCCAGCCAGGACCTATACCTCTACATGGAGTATTGTGGAGGTGGAGACTTGGGTATGGTGATCAAGAACTTGAAAAAGGCAAACAAGTATGCCGAGGAGGAATTCGTCTGGCGCATTCTGTCCCAACTTGTCACTGCTTTGTTCCGGTGTCACTACGGTACTGACCCCTCTGAGGTGGGATCGAACATACTGGGCCCTGCCCCGAAAGCATCTGGTCTTAAGGGCAAGCAGGGGCAGGTGACCATCCTGCATCGTGATCTCAAACCCGAAAACATCTTCCTTGGTAGCGACAACACAGTCAAGCTCGGTGATTTCGGATTGTCCAAGCAGATGCAATCGCATGATTTCGCCTCCACCTATGTCGGCACTCCTTTCTACATGTCACCAGAGATCTGTGCCGCCGAAAAGTACACCTTGCGTTCCGATATCTGGGCGGTTGGCTGCATCATGTATGAGCTGTGCCAAAAAGAGCCCCCTTTCAACGCTCGCACCCACATCCAACTTGTGCAAAAAATCCGTGAGGGTAAATTCGCTCCTTTGCCTGACTACTACTCGCCTGAGCTTAAGAATGTCATTGGGAGCTGTTTGCTAGTTAATCCCGATCATCGCCCCGACACTGCGGCTTTGATCAATCTTCCTATCATCCGTCTCATGCGCAAGGAAAAGGAGGTTGTTGATCTGGGTAAGACCCTGCGCCGCCGTGAGGAAGTTGCTGTGGCCAAGGTCCGCGATATGGAACAGAACCTGGCCAAGCTTGAAAAGGAAAAGCAACAAATGAAGGCTGAAATCGAGAGCACCGTCCGCAGAGAATGGGAGGTCAAAGCGCGCTTGGAGATTGATCGTCAAGTACAGAGCGAGCTTGAGCGCCTGCGCAAACGATTTGAATCTGAGGTTCAAGACAGAGTTTCCATTGAGGTCAAGAAGCACAAGGCGAACAACAATACCTCCCGCGACGATGTCTTCCGTACCAGC